GGACTGACCTGTAGAAAGGTTGTATGAAAAGATGAAATAATTACAAAAGCATCATACTGGAAACGTTCGCGACTCGTACACAATTAGCAAGAAGCCTGGAAGGAATGTGTGCACCAATTGCCTCAAAGGTTAGCTTCCCAAGAGATTAAAAAAAAGTTTGCCCAAATTTTTCATCAAAAACACAATGTTCACTCAGAAAAATATATAAACAATAAAGGTATGTATAATCTGAAAGTCCTCTTCAGTATGGGGCTATTGTAAAGGTCTATCTCTAACACGTAACACGTATCTTTTTTTTTATCAGATGAAGAAAACTGAGACATACAGGTAAACATAATCAGGCTCTATAGAGATGTGGTTTCAAATTCTAGATTCAAGTCTTCTAAATTGTTAAATCAATGCAGTCCTAAACGAACGAATAACTACATTGACGGCTTCTTTGTCGTCTATGGGCTACATTTAATGTGGCCGGCTTACTTTTTTAATTCTCCACAGAACAATGAAAGAGCTTTTCGAAAGAGAGAAAGAAATAGCACGAAAGGTAAGTGAAATTCTCATCTTTAAACAGGCCACGTTGTATCACGTTATTTCGTTTCAAAGAGTTATCAGTTATGTAAATATACGGGAAATACTACGCTCGACTTTTGGAGAACACTGCCTTATTTGTGGCTTTAGGAGAACGCTACCTAATTTGTTTCTGTGACTTCTTGGGTGTCATGTGTAACCATAGCGTAAGCTCCACGAACTTTTCCCAATGGATCATCTACCATTTCGACGCCATCTTGAATGACGTGATGCTCATGTTACATTGCGCACTTCTTGGACTAAACCTAAATAATTTTTTATTAGAGACTAAACCGCAATAATTAAAGCAATTTTCGGGTACAAATAATTGCATAAGGAGCTTGAGCCTCTCTTGACAAAATAGCAGACAGGTAAAACCACGCCAAACTGCAGTGTCAACTGTTAACACGAACGCACTCGATAAGCTGTGATTACTTCTAGTTTTGATCTTGGTTTTTTTGTTAAACCACATTTCTCTGCATCGTCGTCCCTGTAGGGCCATCAGAAGGAACCGGCCATTATTTATAGCCGGGGGGGGGGGTCGGGGGATCAGAGGATTTTGGCTAATTGTGTCACTGTATGATCCTCCCAGAAGGTAAAATCCCTATGACCCCCCTCCCCCAGAAGGTAAAATTTCTATGACCCTCCCCCCCTCTCTCTTGCTGGCAGTCAATTTTCTATAGTACCCCTTCTGTTCACGCTCTGTTGGCGACGACTGATCCCCTCCCCGTCCCCCCTAAAAACCAAAAATAATTAGCGTTCTCTAAATACTGTTATCTATCCCCTATTGTTTCATGAAATTTTCGTTGTGTTGATTTATTAACAGGGACGTCTCCTGAAAGCGTCCAAACACGAGATCAACGCGGAGTTAGAGGTCAGAATAATTATGATTTGACTTTGGTACAAATGTTGATTGAACGTAATTAAACATTAGTTTTTATGCGACTAGTTTACGGAAATAAACGCTTGTCTGCTTTAACTCTTTAACTCCTAAGATCTCATTAGTAATTCTCCTTACTGTCTGCAAAATGGCCAAATGATTCTCATTACGTTAGTTTGGAGAATTTGGTATCGGATCAATTAGTAATACCATGATTGATATTTTTCTTTATTCTCATCATTTGTCTGCATGATATTGTATACATATAGCTGCACATAGAAAATCTAGTTACGAAAAAAGTGGCCGGAGTCCAAACTCCGTAGAAATTATTTATTAAACTTGTTCAATGAAGTACAACATTTGGCTAAACTCTGAAAATTCTTAAAAATACAAAGAAAAGGGTAGCACATTTGCGCGAACAAAAGCTAAAAAAAAGAACTGACTAACAACTCCGTAAAAACAAACAACAAAAGTACGCGAAAAATGTCTACGTCAGTTTTCAATATTAAGTTAGAATTCTTTGATTTGATTGGCTAATTTGTGAAATCACGCGCTTCGCACGTGAATACAAAAAAAAAAGTTCAAAGGGGGGAGAGGAAGAGATAAATTGTAATTTGAAATTCAAAATCAAAAAAAATTTTCTACGCGACATCTAATTATAATTTGTGAGAACAGATGTTTTTTTTTTCTTTCATAGCTCCTCCCAGTTGAATGTAAAGACATGGGGAGGTAATGTTTTGAACATGTTCTTTCAACTACAACTCTCTTTCACTCAAGTTGAAAATGTCAGAAACTAAACGTCTAGCAGTTATGTCACAGGTGACCCAACTTGTAAAAAGTCAAGAGGAAAAAACAGATAGGAAATGTAAAGGAAGATGATGAAATTTTCTGAGGCTACAATAGATTTATTTAATTTTGGATTAAAAAGAAGTACTAATCAGAAAGTCCCGTGCCATTAATTGAATAACTTCGTCTTTCGCTTGAATAAAAAACGGTTGTATTTTTGTTGCAGAGGAGTTGCTGAGAGAGAGAGGCAATTTTCGATTTGGCGTGTTGAGGTAGGCCAGGAAGAGTGTTTCAATGTAATTTCATTTATCGATAGTTTGTACCGCAATTTTTTTTGGGTGTCTGTGTTTTGTCTTTCCTACATTTGCAGAGATATGGGAAGAAAAATAATTAAAAAAAAGGCATGTTAAACAACAAACTTTACATTGCCCCGAACATCTAAAGCAGTTTGTTTCTCTTCTTCTCACAAGAAAACTCAAAATGGACGTTTAGGTCTGTTACAAAATAGGAAGCCTATTTTCGCCGCAGTTTTCTTGTTTTACTGTTTGCGAGAAGTCTGGTAAGGGGCGGGCTCTCAATCGTGGTGGCTTCTTGGCTAGCAAAAGGGTTCCAGCCTTGACCGATCCGATCTCACTATTTTAGTTTGTCTTACATACATTTTTTTTTCATCGCTTTCAGGCCAAGATGGAGCTTAACGAAAAAGACAAGTAAGTTCAGTGGACTTATAGTAATACTCGGGGAATCCAGTGTAATTGTAAAATCGATTTGACGTGATTCTATATTCATGTCCCAAGTAATAAACGGCAGTATTCGAAAACTAGAGCGTTGCAGAGAGTGGGGTGAGGTGTGCATGACCCCATGACGTGACTGACTCCTTTCTGGTTCAGAAAAAAATAAACTCAGTGAAACATATGAGGAAGCTCTTATATTCTCATTGAACGCTAATAAAAGACATCCTTCCCCTTCTCCCTCTTCTAAAAAATCCAACCTGAATATCTAAGAAAAATATGATAATCAAACAAATTGCTATGAAGAAGAAGAAGAAGAAGAAAAAACAACTCATTGTTTATAAAATCATATCTGAAACAAGTTAGTATGCGATATTTATTTAAAAAATAAACATAAATCATTCTTTAGCTTTGTTGCTTTGTGTTGCAGTGAGCTTGAAGATCTGAAGACTCAAATCTGTGAGCTCAAGGAAACACTGAAATCTCAGGTATTTTATATTCATTTTTAGTAACAAGGATCCATAAGGCTATATTCTTTTTCATTGTCCTGCTTAAATAAAAGATTTTCCAACGGGCTACTTTTTTTGCCCGATGTAAACAAACTGTAAGTACACAACAAGAAGAACCAGAGATCTTTTCAATTTAGTCATGAAAGCGGTTTTTTTTATTCTCATTCCGCTATCCCGCTGAGGATTTCCAAGTAATTAGTTACCACCAGCACAACGCTTGTTTTTAAAATAATTTAATTTATGATTTTTCGTTTTCGTTTTCGTTTGTAGGTTCTTCCTCCAAAGGAATTTAATCGTTCGGCTAAGCATTTCATTCCCAGACTTCGACGCCGACGATGAGACATTTTAAAGTTACATCATACTGAAACTTAACAAGCCTGTACCTTCAAAATCGAACTCTAATTAAAGTAAACTCTTTGGTTTTCATTGCAAGAATCTGAGTTGCAATCGCTTTGGGGAAAATAGTTCGCTCTCAACAACTGACTACAAATCGTATTAAGTTTTTATTGGATCTAATAAACGGGAATTTTATGATACGTAAGAAATCTCATTACGAAAGATTCATAAAAATTGCATAGAAGAGAACTATAATGAAAAAACTCAGAGTTTAACTGGTAAACGACATGACTTACCTCTGTAGCGTTATCCTGCCAAATTTTTTTTTTGATCAAAGAATAACAAGCGGGTCACCAAACAGTTCAACAGGTAAGCGAAGTAAACGTGCTTGTGAAAAAACGCTATGTCAAAAACTGTTTTGCTTATGGATCAATGGTTAATTTTCTGGCTCAAACGGCTACGCCTCAACCTGTTAATTACAAATCATTTATTAATCAAATGTCAATCAACTTGTTCACTTGAACAGGAACAACAATTGTCATATTGTCAACGACATGAGTGTAAAGGATTATTGATTGTTTCCTATGTGAGTTCTACACCTCCAAGGACCCACCCATTCAAGGCCGACCCGGTGCTCCTCACAGCGTCCCAAGCATTAATTAACGAGTGGCCTTGAAACGAGCCTTTTGTAGTTGGTTTCCAGCTCTCTGCCCTCTCTTTCGCTAGCGTATTTTTAAGTGATGACGTAGCGTGACCAGGAAGGAAAAGAATAACAACAGAAGAGTCCCATTCTATTTATAGAACCGTGTTTTCCCAGTAAAATACATGCTCATCTCCTTCCTTCATACCATGAACCTCGATAAATTTCAAAGTTTCGATTTGGAAAAAACAAACATACATACGAACAAAATAATGAAGTTCGTTTCAAAACCACATGACCCACTTCTCACTTTTCCATGAGGATATTCTAGGTTTGAAACTTCTTCACCAGTCCGTGAACCCACAGTTCCCATTCAGAATTTCCAAATAAGGAATGAACCACAGCTGGACCTTTTTTGTTCGAAAGTTGCTTCGTAAAATGCTTAGAACGTGTGAAACAATGTTCAAACCGCAAGTTACTAACGCATGTTGTGCGTGCCTGAGTTTAGTAACCGAGAAAGATTGGGACTAGAATGCGTAGCCGCTGATCTGCACGCTCAGCTGATTTCAAGATGGCGGAAGAGTTTATCGTCCAATACAGCGTGCAAAGTAACCCGAGTTATACCACGAATCTGGCTCTATTTACGGATGTGACAAACAGTAGCGAGCTTAGGCAACTGATCATCCAGGGAAAAATAGAAGCTGCCCTTTTAAATGCATCTATGGTACTGTCATTTCACTTGTATATTTATTGGGTTAGCTCACATGTTACCATACATAAGCTTAGGTTGAGACTTGAGGAGAAAGTTTGCTTGCATTTGGAAGAATTTCAGAGAAAGCAGAGGTCAATAAGCGTACATATGAATATAAACACACCCGTTTTTAAATACGTTGCAATTTGAAAAAAAAGATGGAAATATGTACACCTTTTGCTTACATATATATGGTATATGAGTCCACGGTTGACAAGTTTGGGGGTACGAGATAAAACCAATGGAAGATTTTTATATTCAATGCGATGCGAAAAAACTTGCCGAGGATTCTGCACTTTAGCTGCTTGAAAAGTAACCATATTTTACCCAGCAACTTCTGTATGTCATAGGCAGACCAGCTACAAGTTTATTCTGTAAAGTCACAGGCTTTGTATTTCTCTAGAGAGTGATTGTGTATGCGGTATATGCCTGTGATTATGCTTTTTAGATCATAGACCCATTTCATGTGGCAATAGCAGGACACAAAGCTCTGCAACTGTTTCAACAAGGAAAGATGAAGACCAAGACACTTCACTCAGAGATTGTTTTTAATTTGTCCCCCTCCACAAATGTAAGAAAATATATTAAGTAATAATACATTGAAGAAACTTAGCTGAGGTATTAGTGCATAGCCCCACCTATAAAGCAAGTAATTTTTTTTTAAGCAGGTCTTTAAAACACTTTGGATTGTGATAATGAATGAATTCCCTTTTTGTGGATTAACCCATTGCATCCTAAGAGTGATAAACATCTAATTTCTCCTTTCTGTATCACCCTTTAATCACACATTAACCCTCTCACTCCCATGAGTGACCATGAAAGAATTTCTCCTAACAATATCAAGACAACATCAAGAAGATAAGTAAGGAGAATAAAGAAAAATATAAATCAGGGGATCATTGGTTGATCCAAACCCAAATTCTCCTAACTAATATCATAAGAATTGTATGGAAGACAGAAAGGAGAATTACTTATGAGATCTTGGGAGTGAAAGGGTTAAAGTCACACAAGAATAAAGAAAATGATTATTAACTAAAGAAACTCCTGATTTTTAAACAAATTCTCCTTGTCAGATCATTAGGAAATGTATAGAGAACAGTATGGAGAATATGCATACTGATATTAGGGTGTAAAGGGTTAAGTGGATTATAGATGATACAGTCTTGACTGTGTGTATATGTTACATTGTGGGGGATGCAGTATCCTAATGCATAGTGCACTAGACTGTGGGTCAAGAGGTTTGATTTTATTCCCTGGCTGGATCATTGTGTTCTGTTCTTGGGCAAGATACTGTATTTTCACAGAGCATCTCTCCACCCAGGAGTGTAACTGAGTACTGGGGAAGTGTTAGGGAAGCCTGATGAAATGCTGGGGGGTAACCTTGCAATAGACTGGTATCCCATCTGGGGGAGGAGGGTAGTTGCACTCTTAGTCACTTCATTCTACAGAAACAGTATTGAATTGCAGCCAGATGGGGCCAGTTGGCCTGAGTGTTGAGTAATACATATTATAGTATTGATGAAATGGAGCTTTTTATTAATATATGCCTGTATCATAATGAATTTATGTGAGTTTGGAACTGAATCTTTTGCCAAAGAATCAGAGAAACATATTAAAACTGATGCTACCATCCTTACAGTGGCCTATACAGTGGCCTATACAGGCTTTCCTTGTAAGAATTGAATTCTCACCTAAGATTATTTTAAGTGCTTAGTCAAATCTCCAACACCCTGGGAAAAGGAGAATCTAAGAATGGCTGGGATATTAATCTTGTCATTGAAAAGAAGGTATTATCCATCAAACTGGTGTGAAATATCTTATATGATTGTTTTTAGATAAATGAATCTTTCAAGAAATTTGGAATACTAGACAGTACAACAAGTGTGTTAGTTGTCATTGTGACTCAAGAAAATGCCAACAAAAAGGTTTGCACAAGTTTCATACCTGGTATCTACATTTGTTAGTTTTTAAAACTTTACTACATCAGACAGTCATCTACTTCTTGACTGTGATATTAGTACTTAGAATATACCACACAAGTGAACAGTGCCTTTCATGTGTGCTGATTGGCTAGTTCAGAAGTGAATAGCAAGTTGTATTCACCATCATGTCTATGGTGTTATTTGTGCATAGCTTTACTTTAGAAAGGCACAGCATTGACACTTGTGCTATTGAGGAATTTGGCTACATGTGACTATTAGAAATAATTCATGTCTTTTGGAATATTAATGTTATGTGTCAATTATTTTTTTGAGACAGATTCTTGAATGCAAAGTTCGTGACAGAAATAAGGTTTTTTTGGAAATACAAAGTTCATTAAGGCTCTCAGAGAATTTCTAAGTTTAATTTGTACAGTAGGTTTGCGGCCTAAAAACTGTGGAACTTAAATGAAAGAAAATAGAAAAAGAAAGAAGTTGATTTTTAAGTCCAAACTTTTGGTATAAATTGCTTAGTTTTGAACATTAAGGGACTTGTATATATTATATGAGCAAACACATTATTTTTAATTTCTCCACAGATTTCAGAAATCAGTAAATTTATAAATGGAGAACAAGTTTCTATTACTGCATTGAGCACAATTTCTGACCAAGAAAAAATAAAGAAGGTAACTGATGTATTTCATTTTGAGATCTACTGTAGTCATTCCCGAGGTGATTGCTATCAAGAAATAATCTGGAGTAATTTATCAGTTTATTTGTAATTACTGCAGTAAGTGAGCAAATGACAAACAGATGTTGCTATCGTCAAAATGAGAACAGATGGGTCAATAATGAATATTTGATGTACACAGGGGATTCTAGGTACACAATCTGGTAAGATATTAGAAATAATGAAATTTGATCATTTTATTTTTCTTTTCAGATTTATGGTATCTTAGACGAGGAACTTCAATGCAGTTCGCTGCAAGACGGCGTAATCACACGAGTAGCAACCAAAGATGCTGCGTAATATAAATGAACTATTATTAGAAGGACTAAATAGAAAGAAATCAATCTTTTACCCAATAACATTTATTTAACAAGTAGCAAAGCCTCGGCTATGCTCTGTTCTGTCGATTTAGGCCGTTGCACGACACTCGATAAAGCAATCGCAACGACCAATCACCGTGAAGAAAAATATCACAAGAAGCCAATGAGAATTCAAAGTAAAAAAACGCAAAAGGGCGGGAAAACGGGAGTGCCGAGTCGCGTTTGGGTGTAAGTTCTGCATCTAATTGGTGGAGAGGTTGGCGCGAGTTTCATTGGACCAATCACAGGGCGTGGTACAGCAAAACCAATGAAATCCTGGCTACTTTCGACATTCGATTGAAAACTGCTCGAAACCTGAGACTAAAATGATTACATTGCTTTTAGAAGCAATTGTGTGTCGCCCAGTGTCGCCCATAACAAGAAAAACAAACCACAGGGGGTGTAGTAAATATTGTCCGTCCATCTCGGTAGGAATCTAACCAACCATTTTGTCGCCTGTGGGTTTATTCCTTAGTTGGGTCTATACGCAGTTGGATCAATTTCTATCACTGTGTACACGTTTGTAGAGTTGAATAAAAGCATTTAAGTTTCGAAACAACAGTTATATTGCCCTATTGGTTTAGATTCTCGCTTGCTGATAACTGAAATATTTTACTTTTCGAGAACAATAGTCGACACAAACTGATTGACAGATTTGTCAAGTGGTAATTTATATCTAGCAAAAAACCTGTGTCATTCGTCATTCGAGAGGTAGACTGTCAAGCTGTGACGTTCAAGCAACTCTGTGGTTTGCCCTTTAGCGTTTTAAACCTTCAGGTGAGGTTTGTTTTTGTCTATCGAGAGCTAATCGTTTGAAACACTGAATGGGAACGCTCTCTTAACTTGTACACGTGTCCAGAAAAAAAAATGAGAGCGCTTCCGCTGTGTACCGTCCCGGTTAGTGAATCAGAGAATTGTGACTACGCGCGGAGGCAACATAACTACAGTTTCATGTACACTTTTTTATGTTTATACAATAACAGACTATTTCGAGCGCTTATCACTACCTAGATCGATGGGAAAGATTTGATTTAATGTGTTATTTTGACCATTTACAAACTGAAAACAAAGAATGCTGTCATTAGATAGATTCAAAAATCGTAATTGTTCTAACACTCATCTTGACAAACCGGTCAGATTAAAAGTAGCAGTAAGTTTCACCAACCTCTGTTACTTGAACTAGGATGAGTTGGTAAGGAATACGAAATCACGGGTATGTTTTACGTCAGTTTGAAACAGTTAAAAACTCTATTTGTTTATCTACGCTTAAAGGACACCCCATTGCGAGCTACACCTGAGCAAATTAACACCTTGGTTGAAATCGCAGTTTCAAGGGCTTCTTTCAGTTATAAGAAAAATCCTAGGGTGAACGTGAATCATAACATGCGAAGCCGACTATTGGAAAGCGTTGGAAAACTTGCATGTGTTGGAAAAAGAAAACTGCATCCTTATGATAAACTATTTCTGTGTTCTTAAGGAATACTCTTGAACCGCTACATACTCAATCACGATTAAGTTTTAAGTCTTGAAGTTGAAATATCGAGGCTTTGGAGAAAGCCCTTGAAATTTTTCGAAGCTCAGAAAATATCAAAGATTCGCACAGTACTAGCTTTTACCAGTTCAATTTGTGATAATTTTACGCTTAGATAACTATCTGTTGCAAAAATGTGTTGTTTTGTTTACATATTAGCAGTAATTTACACCCTAATTAAAACCCTTTCGCACACTTCAAAAATACAGGCAGATCGATTTCGCGAAGAAGACACAAAAAACATCAGTGTAATTGGAGGGAGACTCGCAATTAGATTTGAAACAGTCATCTGTTGTTTGTCTGCGTGGAAAGAGAGCATAATCCTAATTACTCTTTACCAATGATCGTAATTTGCATATTAATTATTTGTTACTAATGACACCAGTTTCACATCTGTTCTCACATCTGTTTCTCAGAAATGTCCTAACATGACTGAAATGGCGCTCTGCTAGGGCTGAAAAGATCACATACTTTTACTACATAAATACAAGCGTCTTTTTGGTATAAAATTGCTCTTGCCGTCGAGCTTCGCGCCTCGAAAGTGTTAATATCCAAACTAAATCTTTCTCTGGTCAATGAAGCTATTAACTCAAAGCGAATTATCTAATCTTTTCGTTGATGTTCGCTAGCTATTAAATGAAATGCGTCAGATGTAATTCACGAACAGGTAAGTTTGTTGCTGTTCTGTATAATGAAGGGGCAGCAAACTGACAACAGTTACACGTATGCATTTTGTGGTTTTGCAGAAATTTTTAACTTGGCCTCTGTAGGGGGGGATGTCACTATGGGGAGTTATTTCTGTAATTTCATTCGATAAGCAACGGCTAATTCATTCCCGTCTCAATCAAAGCAACTTTGTTTTCCCCCGACACACCAATTCTGAAAAACAGATGTTTGTATTTTGGGCCCACGGGCTTTTCGGTCAGCTCTTTAAAGTGCATTCAGGGAAATTCTAGAGAGATGGCAAATAACATGTTGAAAATTTATGGATTTTGTCAAATTTTACCCGACCCCAATTCTCTTAAGCTCATTTCTGCCGTTTCCCTTGCAACGCGTCTTATTTCGTCCTCCAAATCTTTTCCACACTTTTCAAACTCTGGGACAATGAGGCTCTTATGCCTCTCCTTTCCCCCTCCCCCTCCCCCCTTCCCCCGAGCCGAGGGTCCTTCTGAGCTTTTAAACCAAGTTTGGTGATTTTCTATCCTCGTAGGTTGTCAAGTAGAAGCAAGAATGAGTCTGATCAACAATCTTTCGAGCACACACTGGCAGGAAGTAGGAAATTCATCTAGTGATGGTAGGTAGATAGTCGACAGTAAAAAAAAACAAACAAACAAACAAACAGAAAACGCCCGAGATGTCATAATTTTTCGCCTTTTTTCCTAACCATTCAAAGGTCGGGATGTTTTTTAACACGTCAACTTTTGCGCCGAATCTCGCGCCGTCTCGTGAACCAATCAAATGCATGCCTAAAGCATTCAGCCCAGCAAGGTTTGAATTGAAGAAAGGAATGAATGGCATTTTTTGGAGATTATTTGTTTTTAATTATCTGTAACAATTCTCTCAAAGTTTTCAACTCAAGTTTTTCAGCAAAGCTGACGTATTCTTCTGACGTTATTTTCAGTAATTATAATAATAGAAAGCACTTTTCATTGGCGGTATACTTACAGCCTCACTCTATCAAACTGATCAAAAAATTAGACTCTCCCGTTTGCGGCTTAGAAAGACACAAAATAACTTGCAGATCACTAGCATGCGCGCAAGCTCTCATGACTCGCGTTTTCCGCCCGAGGGAAGATTGGAGATGAGTCAAGGAGAAGTTTGCCGGGAGTCTGGAACTAATCAATGCCAGACTTCTCGCAGACCTCTTTTCGGCTCGTGTCGCTCAGGGCTTCATACTTTCCCGTAAGTGAAGAAATGCTCTTACCGAAAAGATAATAACGAGGGCCGCTCGTTGGCTAACAAAACACGATAGCGTGCGTTATCATTCTTTGTGATGACGCCCATGGCCTGGTAAGTTGTGGTCTGTAGCCCTTCAAACCATAATAATAGCATGCACATTCTCTATACTATAACTAAAAAGCAGAATTTAATGAGTAGTAAAGAGCTTTCATAACCCTTTGACTCCTACCAATGACTAAGGAAACGATCACCAACTAAAGAAGTTGTTGATATTTCAACAAATTCTGCTTGATAGCGCCTTAGGAAACATATATTAAGCAGCGTGGAGAATATGCATACTGATATACGGGTGTAAAAATTTAATGGGTGATCATTTCCTTCCATGATTCTTATAACCATAGCGTTTGATTCAGCAGCGATGCTGTGAGGGGAAATTAGACATTAGTTACCATTACGAATTGCAAGGTTAAACAAAATCCCCTTTTCCTCAGGTCTAGAATTCAAAGAATACATTATCACACGTTCCCAAAAAGACGGAAGCATCTATAAATACGCTGTCCGTGCCGCTGACGATAACGACGCCCCTCCGAGGATATTTCATTTGGAGGGCGGTGACGAGAGGAAAGACCCGCTGAAAGAATACCGCATGTTGGAGATCGTGACGCGCGCGGATGGAAACAAGGTCTTTATAACTGGGATCAGAAATGGCGGAGATTGCGTTGTGAAGATCTGATCACAGATCAAGAGTCCCAATCATTTTGTCACAGAAATGCACTTTAACTGTTTTGTGAGAATCGTTAATTGTGAAAGTAGTGTATCTCAGCTTGTGTTTAGTTACGAAGAAATCTCATGGCCCAAGAAACTAAGTCTTGTTTAATATCTGCCTTCAAGATTTACATCAAAACTGCCTCGTTATGCAAATGTCCGTCCCTAAAGTTGATACCGAAACGAGGCTACCAGTAAACTATGCCTATTGTTACAGCTTGTGTAACATTTCATATTGAACCTTTGGACGTGGATACAACTTTTTCTCTATATTTAACCTCTAGGTAGAAGTCGTGTGCACATAGAGGTTCCTTTCCTTTGGAAGGGAACCTTTTTGCCGCAGGTAACACTGTATATATGAGATAAATATTTTCCTTATATCATGTAAAGCGATTAGGAATTATCTTTTAGACTTCTCATCTTTTCAGTCTTTTCCAATTATTTTTATGATATCCGTGGCCAATAATTATCGATTATTCACAAAGGTGAATATAGAAGTGGATATTTACCGAGCCGCACAGCAGCGAGGTGAATATTCAACACTTTCACCGACACTGAGGTGAATAATTATTTTAGTATATATCACATAAAAACGAAAAAATTGTTTATTTCTGTTAGTATACCCCAAAAAAAATGGTCGAAAATTTCATTGTTGACGTACGATTTTGTCTCTTCGGCTGTTTGGAGGTGAATAGTATTTTCTTATCACTCCGAACCGGCCAATCAGCGTGCGTGAAAAGCATTATTCGCATGTGTGGTTTTTACTAAGCTTACTTTTAAGTAATAGAAGTAGTGTTGTTTCGCATCATTTTAATCAAGGTGGTTAATACTACTTTTTTTTTTAAAAGCGGGAAGGCATGTACACAAATAAAATCACAGCCATGGCTTGAGCAAAGCTAAACTTCCCTGAGCAGATTGAAGCACTGAAACTGGTTTTTCACTTGTTCGCCTCAGAATTCTATTATTTTTTATTGTACTTTCTCCATCACTGGGATAAAAGTGATAGAGCTGTTGTTTGAATCTTTGTCAATTAATGTAAAAAAGGTCTCATTCGAAAGAGTGATCCAGAATCAGGAGAAAATAATGAGACCTTATTTACTCTTGTCAGTATTTAGTGTCGGCACACCAGGCCAAATCCCAAGAGAATGTATTATGACGTGAAACAGTTAAGCGTTTCAAATTCCACGTTATAGCAATAATGACTTTCCTTCATAAGGGTTGACGCATATGTAGAATTTTCTGTCCTGTAAGATTTGTTTTTGTTTTTGTTCTTGGTTTTGATCGTGATGGAATACTTGTAAACGAACATTAAAACGCTTGTCTCGTGATTTAGAGTCATTGTGTGATTATTTTGTCATTGCTAGGGGGAGAAATCGAAAGAGGGCATGCGTCGTTTTATTGGACATATCTTCTCTACAATGGATTTAGGATTGAAAATTGAAGGTTCCCTGCGCCCCCATTTCCGACCGCCACTCAGTTTTTCATAACTCTCGGATATATTCTCTTTGTCCAAAGTTTCGGTAAAAGGATGACTCCTAAGCATCAAAAACTTGCTCTGCGCTGCGCGGGCTACATACCAACTGTACATCAGGATGTCACACAGCCTTCCATCGCGTGACATCCCACACAACCCTCTTTTGCGTGACATCTAGTGGGTACTTAAAGAGAGTTTTTAAAAGCGAAAACATGAAATAAAAATTCCTTTATTCTAATTTTTAATTTAGAATACATCCTTAGAAATTTGTTTCAAATTTAAACACACAATTAGGCAGTAATTGTGAATGTTTTCTTGTTCTCGCTGATAATCATAAAAAATTCATTATTGAACGCCTCTAGATCTAAATATAAATTTTCTGCATTGTCTGTCATTCATTTCTCATAATTTTGCTTCAAGAATTTGTTGTTTTTATCCAGAAGTTACTCCTCGTAATATACTGTAGTTTTAGATTTAAAGAGTTTTTTGCACCCCTTTTGTTACTCTTCGCACTCCTTCACGTGAGGCCTAAGGATTTGCTGACCTTGATAAAGATACTTTTGATGATAATCTTTATGTCTATACAAAAGATATCTGGTAAAGGAAAATGAGTTTTACTGTTGTAGCTACCAAGTTCACAAAGACAGTTACGTAAATTTTTTGAAGCGATTTGTTCTGTTTTTCAAGGGTGTGGTCAAGTCTCAAGCTCTCATTATTAGCGCTTCAGAACGAGCTCTTCTTCGCCAGCGGGAATTGTGAAGTCTAGGCTCGATTACCAGTCGCTGTTCGGTAATATGAGCCTGCGTTCCTCCCCTTGAAGCGTCGAGCTGGCTCTTCTCGGGGAGGAGCGAAGACCGGACGGGAGAGAGCGGCGGGAATCGAGCCCATATGAGGCCTTGAGCAACACAAATCGTCGAGAGGTCTGGCAGGGTTCTAGCACTTATAATGAAGGTCCGATCCCCGGAGAACCTCTCCCTGACTCGTCTTGAATCCACCCAAGGGCGAAACGCGCGTCTTTCAGAGCTTTAATGATTAGGGCCTGACGCAAATTACGTCAGGTTACGTCAAGCCTTCTTTTTTTTCTATTTAAGTCTCAATTTTCGTTCATATTTCTCCATATGCTCGTTTATAACTAGGGTTATCAAAATCATTTAGTCAGAGTAACTCACGGACTTTCGTAAAATAACTTGACGTCATAGCTTAAAGACTCCCGTCTGCAGTATAAGGTATCGGAAATAATGAAGACGTTTTAAAAATTTTACAATTTAGCTATTCTCTCAGTGCATCGAAAAACTTTGACTGAATGTTATAGGGTGCACTTATTTCCTTACGACACAATCCCCATTGTCGTTTATCCCTGTGATATATTTGTTACCGTCGACGCGCAGGTTTATAACTTGGATTTCCTTCAAGGGATCTCTGGATTCTGACGCTCCAGTAATGTGGAGCTCCACCGGAAGTTCCTTTTTCGGATCGAAGGCGGAATATTTGTACTTGCCCTGGCCTTCTGAGGCTCGGCGAATGATGCGGTATTCATCAAAACCTGTGAAAGTTTATTTCATTGAGTTTGTTACTTCATCATTTCTCTCACCTTCAATTTCACCTATTACCGAGATTTTTGCCTATGCAACAGATAGGAAAGAGAAAGATTAGGGTTAGGGTGTAGGGTTTAGCGCGCTTAACCCTCGCGTGAAGCGAGGGTTGCGCGCGCACTAGCAGATCACTAGCAGGACGATAAGAAGTAAGGAGCTAACGCGAGCATCTTTCCATTAGGCACGGAGGTGGAAGAAACTCGCGGTGCAAGGGGGTGCATGCGCGTCAAACACGCGCGCAAAGAAGGGTAAAGACTACGCACGCTTTTCAGATTTATGCAAGTCCTAACCCAACTCTGTTTTCTTTGGAGTTGTCATTCATAATTCAGTTGTGAATGAAGAAAAAATATTTGAAGTATCTAGATGAATGAGCTTTTTTTAGCTCTATGGTAACACTCAATGTTGCACAGTGTGTGTCTGATCCATTTGATTTAATGTAACCACCATTTCTGTACCTTCTAAATTCCCTCCTTCTGCAATTTGCCATTCTTCGGCGGACAAATAATTGATCAAATCCATGATTTGGTTCCGGGTGATCACCGTTGAGAGCTGCCTTGTTGAAGCAAAAACAGATCGCATATCATTGCGAGTTCTTGGCAAGAAAGAGGTTTGTTTATGGGGAAGTCCTGGAGAGATGTTCGTGAAACCCCCTCCCCCCCCTCCCCCCGTGACATTTACCACCCTTTGAGAGATGAATTTTCAAAAATTCATTCAAAATTCAAATCATATAATCTCCGTGCAAAGAGAGCCGGCGAATCTGAACAATATACACAACTTGAAAAATTTCACAATCAATAAAATACAGCGTGCATGTCTGTCAACATAACAACTGATTGGGTAGTCCGGGTGTGACATGCTGTAAACCCCCATCCCCCATCCCCCCATACTGCAGGTGTTTTACCAAGGGAATAAAGATCGTTTAGTAAACCGGCCATGTAGAGTGGATGGTAGGAGGAGGGGGAGGGGACTGAGAAAGGTGAGAAGACGCAGTTATTTCTATTGCCCCACCTCTCCCCTCTCACTCCTTTTTACTGTCGCTCACCCCTTGATACAAAATTTATATCTCTCCCCAGTCTCCGCCGCTGTAAGAACCAAAGATGGCAGCTTTCATTTTCATCAAGCTCTACTCTGCTGGCTAATTATCCAACGATTTTGCAACAACCATGCGATATGTACTTTCCCACAGATAAAGAGTTTGTGGTTCAATCGAAGTCATTGTGTACTAAAACACACATGTTTTAAATCATGTATGTTAGGTGTTTGCAACATGAAGCAAATGTTGCCAATTCGACCGCGACAAGCCCGATGGCACATTCCATAAGGTGCCAAGAAGACGATCAAAAGGTGAACTGAGAGGCTGAAGAGGTGATAAGACGAGGGAATCCATGTGGTGAGAAGCCAACCACACGCGCCATCGATAAACCGACCGCAATTTGACAACGCAGTCACTTGCTTCATGGAATTTCTCTGAATTCCACACAACCAGAAACACTTTTCCAGAAATTTTGTGAGGCTTTGCTTATCATAATAGGGCCCTTGAGCATGAAACCACGGCGGTGACGGCTACGAGAACATGGCAAAAAAACTGATATCTAATGGGCAGAATTAAAGCTCAGCGCGTGCGTCTTCAAACTATGTACATTTCTCAGCCGTCTTCTGCAAAACAACAACGTGAGACCTCCAAAATTTGTGTAGTCTGTGGACATAAACCCCGATAGCAAATCGTATATCTAAGTTATCGCTGCTGGTGAAGTCGGGGTCTAGCGTCGTAAGAGACGGAAAACACATCTAACCCTAAGCAAAATTCCAACTTAAATTATAAATTCCTTTTCAATCGATGTCTTCTTCGGTGTTGCCGTCCTGATTGCTTAAGGTCGCAGTCTCTAAGATAAACTTTAAAGGCTGATTTTCAAGGTAGCTCAATTTGTCGGTTTCATTTTTCTGAAATGCCTTGGAAAAACTGGGATTTCGTTCGTCATTATTGTGCCTGAGTTTTCGAAAAACTACTTTATCAGTGGTAATTTGTACAATTTTTAATCAATATTGCAATGTGATTCAAACATTAAACGATGTTAGGTGTGATGCCGTGGCACCCGCTTCATCTTAATCAATAATTCTTCTGAAAAGGAGATTAGGATTTTTGAGCGATTTTTGTACATTTTTTAGGTGTTTTGGCAGCTAGACAGAGCATAATGATCAGACAAGCGTAAAAGGCCCTTAGGATTTTACCGAACGTTAAAAAAAATCAAAAGATATAATTGGCCTTCAAATCAAATTACTCAAAATTCAAACAAACTATTCTTCATAAACTTTCTGCAGGCTAATTAAAAATGATAACTGATCTAAACTGGCCACAAATAAAACAAAAAAGCACGATAGAATTTACAGATAGCTTTGTTTAGAGATGCTGATGGTTAAGATAGAATTTGTTCTATGAAAAGTCGGTCTCCTTTTTAATTACAGACTCAAATTAGAGTCTATAACCTTTGTCCTGGCCGCAAATGTTTGTACTAACGGAACCCATTTCAACGACATAGACAAATATGACTTGAATGCAAACAATTGGAAAAAGAATATTCAGCCGAAATAAAAGAAACCAGCACCCCACGGAGTTCAGCAAGTGTTCTTATCAATAACTTACACAAGAAAAGCCGTGTCTACGTTCTTTTAATACCGAGGTTTTTCCGTGTTTTCCAAAAATAAAACCTTTCTCGAGCGGTTGAAAATGACTTGCGACTTCTTATCGCTAGTTGAGCTCTGAAACAAATCGCATTTCGATGCCTTTCTTTGTGTGTAAATATTTGATACTTAGGTACTTAAATTCAGTGATTTTTTTAACCAAGTTCCTGAAGCACTTGCGGTTTTAGAGAATGGAATGGTCAAAAGACGTTTGTCTGTGCCAGTTGAAAATGACTGAGATTCTTTGATTCACAATCCACGCGGCATTGTGTGTAGGAACCATTCAAAAACAGTGATTGTTTATCAGACTAATCGCGGTTTAGATACGAGGAGAGCTAAATTATTTCGACAGGTTTCAAGGAAAGGGGACGGTTCCACTCAACCGTAGCGTAAATATGTTTCTGATTGTATTTCGTTTTTTTAACTCTTTCATCATGAGAGAGCAACTATTTGCATAGAAAAATCTCTTTAACTTCCCTTTAAATCGCAATAAAAGTTTAACTAAAACAACTGTAATGGTTCTGAAAATGGCTTTTCCTGTTGATGGATTTTTTTCCAATGTATTTTAAGAAGGCTGCTTTTTTGACCCTTGAGGACAATATACAGTACACTTAAACTAGTGGTGACATGAAGCAAACAAAACCGCTTGAGGTATTCTGAATTTTTCAGCCTATAATTTGGTTGTAGAAGCAATAAAACGGTATAGTTTTGTTAAATCCTGAGATTAATAAGCTTTTTTGTTACGGATATGGACGCCAAATGTTATTTAAGGGAGATAACAGGCGACTGAAGTGGACTAAACATGGTTCGTCAATACTTCACAGAAATATCATTTCCGTTCGTTAACCCTTCAGAGAATTGAAAACAAAAACATGTAACGAAGTCTTTCCAGTTGGGAACCAGAGCGAAATACAAAATCTACCTCATCTTCTTGCTTGTGAGAGCTTAATTACACACGTGTTGAAACACTCGCGTGAATCGCCAATATAATGCTATTACGATCACTCAGTTGTGAAACAAGGTTAGTCAACTCTCTTTTGTCCTGCACCCCTATCATAATGAAAATGTTCTTTACTGTAGACAAAGCCGAGTGATCTGAAGCTTGGATAACTTTGTGATCGAGAATGAAAACCGTTTACTGCTGCAAGCTGTTTTATTTAGGCCGCATAGAGCACCCTGGGTGCGTTAACAAGTGATCAGAAATTGCCCAACAAATCAAGGTTGTAATTGACATTGTAAACAAATGCGAAGTTAACAACTTTAGCACGCTGTCGTTCTGAACAAATCTTAAAACATATCTGTCGGATGTTTCACGATTCAAAATAAAGCTACAAAGCATACCATTTACCTGTGTCTTGTGATTTATGCAGAGAGTGCAAAGAAGGCTCAGTCGCTCAGTGGCAAAGACCTGCTATCCAACAAGCACCTTGTCGAGATGAGTAAATGACCCTTATTACTCAGTCGAAGCTAATTAAATTCACTATGAAACACGCAAGCGTGTGATTGGCCTAAAATGCTGCTTATTGACGGAAGTGATCTGCAGTTCATTTATTTCATTAGCTGACGGCATGAGAGGGTAAAACTCACGCAATCATGGAGCCACGGGGCAACTACCTTAGTTTTTGAGTGGGTAATTTCGATCGCTTTAGCGAGTTTTTTTTCCTTCGTGTGCACGCTTTTCATAGCTATCAAATCTTACTGCCCAGCTTTAACCTTAGACAAACTCTAAGAAGCTTAGATCCGTGTCTAAGGGCTTTAACAGGCTTAAATTACTTTGTTTCACAATATTCACTTATAGGGGTGCAAAAACACCCCTCGCAATAAATTGAGTTTAAATACTGATAAGTCTTAACCATTTCCTGAAATGACACGCATTTTGAGTTAGCAACGTTCAGTAAAATGTGTATCGTACTGGGCGGTCATTATTTATGGCCTGAGATGGGGTGGGCGGAGAATTTTGTTTTTTTCCCAAGAGAAGTTATCTGATCCCCAAGTCAGGTTAGTATTCTGATGATCCCTTACTCCCTCCCCCCCCCCCTTCCCCCTCCCTTCATTAGCTGTGCCAATTTTCTTTAGTTTTCCTTTAAACCCTGTTAGGAACGGTTGTCCCCCTTCCCCTGTGATCCCTCAAAATCCTCTGTCCCCCTCCCCCGAAGCAATAAAAAATTTTCAAGTGGTGGTGGTACCTTTGATCATTAAGTGTACTGTTCAAGCATAATTACTTTAGGGGCTGTTTTCATATTCTCACGTTAGATTTCCGTGACTGGGTGCTCTGTGTCATTAACTTGTAGTATTGACATTGAGAAACACATATTTGTTAAAACTCGTCGGAATTTTAAAGAAGTAGATAGATAGATAGAAGGTGTTTTCCAGTCCCTCGGTGATCAACCTTGTAACCCTGTCGTCGATTTAACCCCTGAGAGTGACTATAATCTAAATTCTCTTTTTACAGTATCGCTACTGATCATGCATGGAGGCCAGGAGAGGAAAGGAAATGATCTCCAGCTTAAGAAAGTCTCTACCATCATAGATAAACATAAGAAACGGATAGAGGAACAACGGGCCCCCCTCGCATCTAGTGCAGGTAAAAGTTAGTAGCTTACTCCAAGACCCTGGAGCTAGTCCGTCTGCTCCCATAATGCTTTGGTGCTTTCATTCAAAATGGCGGCCTTTTCGTTCTCTGCATGGTACTCCAGTTTATTTGCAGTTTCTATGGGTATTTTCCTACAATTTAACACAAAACAGTCACAGCCGTATATGGATGAGATTTTCCATGTCCCCCAGGCCCAGAAATACTGCAACTACAAGTTTGATGAATGGGATCCAAAGATAACAACATTGCCAGGATTGTATTTTATATCCTTCGCATGTTTGCGAACTTTGGCGTTTTTCGTTGGACACGAATTACGTGTAGTGTGTTCGACGTTTTTTCTACGGATGGTTAATACTTTGTTCCTAATGGGTAACGTGTTGCTTCTGAGGCAGATCCTGTTAATTCTTCACTGCGATAATACTCGACAGTCACGTCAGGTACGGTTTTCGAATTTTATGAATAGTGTAAAGTACTCAGATACTTTCTTATGCAATCACTTCGTGCGGTATCAGAACACTTCTGTAATGGAAAGGGGGGCGGTGGGGTCTGAGTCACTCACTAGGTATCGAAAGCTGAGCCTTCACATCTGAGATCCCATGTCGACCCTTCGACCTTTGGAGTGAGTCGCATCTAATTTCTCCTTACAATAATCACCGTGTAATCACCCCTGAATGAAATATTACGGTCACGAGAATGAAGGAATAAGATCACCATCTAAAGAGACTCTTGATTGTTAAGTCATTTTGGCAAAATTTCCGCACAGCCCCATACTTCATTATGCATCCATAAATGGGTCTTTATTATTCAATGTATCACCAATAAGACGTGCATGCATAATGAAGTATGGGGCTGTGTGGAAATTTTTCTGTAATTTTTCCTTGTTAGTACCTTAAGAAATGTGTTGAGAACAGTAAGGAGAAAATACATACTGATTTTAGGGTGTCAAGGGTTAAACAAAAGAGCGACAGAGAACTCCTTGTTGAGTTCACTGTCATGACTAGGTATTCGCCGCTTTCGCCCCCTATCGAGTTCGCCCCTACCTTATACCGTGTTCGCCCCCACACTTTTCGAGTTCGACCCCATCAAGTCGAGTTTGCCCCTTGATTGAGTGATATTCAGATGAGTTGATTCGTAAGTTGATGAGTAAATTCTTCAGTCTTAATTTCATAAATAAAGCTAAATGGGTACAAGTCTAACAACTTAAGCAATGCTGTCGCGATGAAAGCGTGGTTTGCATCTTCTTAAGTCTGGTTGTAACGATCACCACATTTCGTGTTCGTTAGATAAACCGTGTGGTTCTCTTTATCACAAGTTCAGTGTATACAGTTATTTCTGGTAACCCCAGATCCCACGCAGAGTATTTAGTTGATTCCGTCAACCCAGTTCCCAAGCAGGTTCCACGCAATTGCCCAAATTCAAAATGGTCGTCGCTGATGTGACATTTGGCACATTCCGCTAGTGCCTTCATCACAAATCAACTCATCTGGATATCACTCAATCAAGGGGCAAACTCGACTTGATGGGGTCGAACTCGAAAAGTGTGGGGGCAAACACGGCATAAGGTGGGGGCGAACTCGAAGGGGCGAACTCGATAGGGGGCAAATGTGGTGCAATTCCATGACTATGTTTATATGCATTAAGCATTCTGCATGGATTAGAAATTTGGAAAGTGTTGTTTAGTTGGTATAATAAGAGCTTTTAGCTTGATCGTCAAATGAAGGAAATTGTTGAAGATGCTATTCAGTTAATGACAGAGGCACACTTGGAGAAAAAACTCCAAGTTCTCCTAATTATGATTCAAACCAGTGACTTTCTGATTAGTACTCTGTACACTTTAAGTGCTTTCTTACTGAGCCATGGGAAACTCATGGCAAGCTGAGCTGTTCATTAAGGTCCACGGTGACAAACTTCCTGCATACTGCGAGGATAAGAGTGTCACTGATGCTTATAAATGATGACAATGTACGTGTAAATAAAGATGGTAAATTTAAGCCTGGTGGTTTGAGTGAAAGATGTTATTCAGTGAATAACATTGGTGAACTCAGCCTCAAAATTGTTACTGTGTAACAATTGGTAGTCATTCATTACATTTTTTTTTCTGAACAGGGAGATGAACCCACAGAAGAAGAGAACTCTTCACCCATTAAATGTTCTGTGACAGCTTTGGTCCTGGCATTATTCCCTGTGATGTATTTCTTTACATTCCTCTACTACACTGATTCAAGCTCCACCTTCTTTGTTCTTCTATTGTATTACCTCAGTCTCCGTGGAAACCATTTCATTGCAGCCCTGATTGGTGCTGCATCAATTGCCGTTCGTCAAACCAATGTCGTATGGGTGGTGTTCACAGCTGGAGTGACTGCATTAAGAACTTTACAATCAGTTGAGAAAGAAGCAGCTTCATCAACATTTTTCACAGAACTAAAGGAATATATCAAATCTTTTTACCACAACTTTTTCAAGGTGTTCAGATACCTCTGGGCCTATGGTTTTGTTGTAGCATGTTTTGCTATTTTTGTGGTCATGAATGGTGGAATCGTAGTCGGCGATAAGAGTCAGCACCAGGCATGCTTAAATTTCCCACAGTTGTTTTACCTTCTGACTTTTACCCTTGCATTCAGTAGCTCCCAGCTGCTTTTGCCACAAGACATTGTAAGCTATTTGAAAACCTTTAAAAACATTGTCAAGAAACCATTGTACGTTATTGGGTTACTTTTATCTGCAGTTTCCATAACCTTAATCATTTACAAATTTACATATGTGCATGAGTATCTTCTAGCCGACAATCGGCACTACCCATTTTATATTTGGCGGAAACTTTATGCCAGGCATTGGGTGGTGAAATATGCTCTTACACCTTTGTATATATTTTCAGGATACTGTATTCACCATCAATTATCTCTAAAACAACCAAGAACATGGCTAGCTATGTTCTACATCTGTGTCTCCATGGTTACTGTCCCCCAAAAATTGTTGGAATTTCGGTACTATATCATTCCATACATTTTCTATCGACTTCACAGTCCACTAGGGTCTTATACAAGACTTGCATTAGAATGCATGTTATACATAGCTGTGAATGCAATTACTTTCTACTTGTTCCTGGAAAAACCATTTCGTTGGGCTCACAGTCCTAAGGAGGTTCAAAGGTTTATGTGGTAGCCAAGTGATCAAATGAAATTGAAGACATTGTTTATTTTACAATCCCTAATTTGTAAACATACAGGCTTGGAAATTCAAAACTGTGCCCTTAAGCACATCTGTCAATGTGAACCCTTTGACTCCAAGAAGTAATTATAACATGACCTCTCTCAATAAAATCCATACATTAACCAGCAAACAGGTGATAAACAATACTCAAACTTATCAGGTAGAAATTGTTATCTTGTTCCAACAACAAAGTCTTGTAACTAATTTACAAGGAAATGTATAACAGTAAGTGAGGAGAAGTAACAAGCAGATCTTGGGAGTTAAAGGGTTTATCTCTAAAATTCTTCAACATACCAGTATATCAAGCTTGCAGCCTCACAGATGTAGTGGAGTGTTAACTTGAAGTATCACAACGATATTAATTTTGAATGCTTATAACAGCAGCAGCTACATTGTAACTTTCCATGGTTAAATTTTTGAATGATGTACACTGTACCAGGTTATGATCGTACACTTTATAATTTCAATGTGAGGCACATTCAGTAGTATTAATGTCAAGACAAAATCCAGTTAGTACCTTTAACAAAACAATACATGTAAAGCATTGCATACCCAACAAAACTCAATGCTACATTCAATGTGTTTGACAATCATTAAGGTGATTTCCCTGGACAACTTGTGAAAAAAATTTCACAAATGCACATTTTATAAACATTTAGTTTCTTTGGAATAGCATCGTGTCCTGTTTGCTGTACAGGTGTATGTGAAAAACTGGTCTTTCTCTTAATCTGGCCTTTAAATGCCAGATATATTCCTCTGATATCTTCATATGTCAATAAGATTTCCCTGCAATAAAAATAAGAGAAGAAATGATGATGTAAGTTGTTGAGTACTGGGAAGAAAACAAAGAGAACTTATAAAAGGTCTCAATAAGAATGAAGCTTTGTTTTGGGAAGCCTTCTTAAATTCAAGTGTCTCATCATTACTGTCAGGAATATCAATAGTATCAAAGATCAAGACTGTGAATTTACTAGTCTTTTTTGAGGGTTACTGTAGACTATCATTATCATCATAATTATTGTCATTCTCCAATGTTTGGTACCATGCCAATCTTTAAACCTGTGGTTTTATGATAATCTCACTTACTTCCCTGGCGACAGCAGGTGACCATTCAATCAAATTTCCAGCAACTGAATGGTCACTAGTGTTCACACTTTTTGGATCAATGGAAACGAACTGGGAAGCTGGAGAAAATGGATCAGATAATCTTGTGTGTGATAGTTGCAGATTTGGATCTGGTTTTGAGGCAGAACTCCTTGGTTTGACTTCAGCTGATGGGGAGGAGCTGAATGAAAGGGGTCCAGGAGGCTCATTGTTGATGCTGATTGATCTAGACTTCTGTGACTGGGATCTAGTGATCCTGTTTTTCACAGGAGTTGGCAGAAGAGAGCGTCTTTTTTGGCCATTTGCACTCAGTGACTTCCTTTTTGAAACATTACTGGAAGCTGCTAAAAAATTAATAGTAGTAAATAGACTTGAAGTAGGTAAGGGTAAAGAAACTGTGACAGTTACAAGGGCTTTCCATTAAAAAAACTAGTGGGGGTGGGGGAAAGTGTTATGTAACAGGAGCATATGTTACATAAAAGCTTCACTCCAAGCCCACTGAAATTTAGCCTTGGAATTCTGAATTCTCTGATCTCATTCCCAAACCCACTATGTTAAGTGTTGGCTGAGCACCCATCATTATCTGTCAAAACAAAAGTGATTCAAAGTTCATTTTGTGTGCTAATAAAGTTGGAGATTGGCTTCCTTCAACCCCAGAAACATACATGTGTAGTAATCATGCATTGAGTTTTGCTCTGCAAGGAAGGGCAGTTTACCACTAAGTTAACAACAGCATCACTAAATGGAGGTAGGGAGCCTGAAACATCCAGGAACTTCCACTATTAACAGCCAGCTCCTAGATGGAGACTTCTCCTGTGGCTGGCAAATCCTAGCAACTCAGCTATGAGCCCCCTCACAGTAAAGGGAAACAGGCACCTGTAACAATGAATAAACAGTGGAAAGAGAGTGGGAAGGGATGGTGAAAACTGCCTGGATGATGAGCTGGCACTCCTCACAATGCTGCAAGTTCACACTCTAAGCACACACATGAATGCCTCAAACAAAGAGCATGTGGAGTTCTGACACATGTGCATATGCAGAAAACCGCTGACCACTAGAGAATGCTTATGCTCTTTGTTATTAACTCCATTAAATTGCATTTAACTGCATCAATAATCATGATCTCTACCTGGATTTGGTGGAGTAACATTATCAATGGATGCATAACATGCATTTTCAGGTGTAGATGGCAGGGGGGCATTCTTGTTGTGAGCCTTTGAGGATACAGCTGCTGTTGTACTACTTTTGCGCCTTTGCACAGATGTTTGAACTTTTGAGGCACTAGCCCTTGGTGTGACACTACCTCTTCTCCTTGGAGTCAAAGGCACTGCTGTGCTTTTCCCTTTAGTGGGAGTTTGTGCCCGTCTAACAGCCTGGCCTGTTGGAGTGTTACTCTTACTTAGCCTTACAGGTGTATTAAATGACTTGGACCTCTGTATGCTATTGGGTGTTTGTGATCTGGTGACCATTTGCTCAGAGCAGATTCCACTCCAGCGACGCCCAGGGGTGTGGCCAGGCACCTTCTTTGATTTCAGAACATCAGTTGGTGTTGGTGGAGCTTTCTTGCTGTGAGTGACTGGCTGTGGAAGTGCTTTCACTGGCTGAGGTCGTCCTTTAGGCCTGGAAAAGGTAGGCTTTGTCAATGCACTATTTCCATTTACTGGCTTCAAGCAGGCCTTAGTAACTGGAACTTTGCGTGCACAGACAGTTGGAATAGATGAAATGTCAGAAGAAGAACCTTTGGAGACGACAAAAGTCTCATTCATGTCACTTGATTGAACTGATACAGCACTAGAAGTGGAAGACACAGAGGAAGATGAACTTGTGCGACGTCGTCTTGGCTGACAACCAAATCCTGGAGGTTTTATTCCACTTTGTGAAACTCGTGGAATCTATGAATTAGAAGAAAAATTAATCCCAGCTCAACAAACATAAGGGTCTTTACTACATTTTGAAACCACTTCAGGGCTTTAATTGAAGAGTGTATTAACTATCTCCAATACCCATAAACAAAAATTGCCTGTACTCCTATAGGGCTTGTGCATTTTTTAAGCAGTGAGGATTCCATGACTTTCCATTTCTTTTCAAAAAATAAAAAAATTACCTAAGTTAAGCAAGTGTACTTTTTGGTCCTTTCCAAATGGTTCACAAATTTGCATAAATATCACGCAAGAATGCAGTGCAAACAAAAACATCTGCAAGAGTAGATCTTACAACACCTGCTACTGTTTATTTCTACTAAAATCAAATCTTACATTTTGAATTATTGGTTAATTTTTCAAAGACAGATCTCCACTGCTTTGAGCTCATAAGAATGACCGCAGATTTTCCACAAATTTCCATGACTTTACAGGTCCTAAACCAAAATTCCATGACTTTCCAGGCCAGGTACAAACCCTCTTCTTACTGATGAAGTTAAGTTATTTGAGGTTTACTTTTTGTCTACATTAAGCTGTATTTACCTTTTCATCCTCTGAACCACCAGTTTTCCGTCTCAGACCATACAGATGTTCTACTTTTATAGGCTGAAATGATTTAATACGAGCAAGAGTTAATAACAATCTGAGCTTTGTACTCGCCACTGCCCTAAATTGAATAATCAACAACAGATTGAACAGCTTGAAGAAATGACACAAAAACAGAGTTAAAGTCAGAACGTACACTGTCCTTATTAGTGTTCAAATCGGGCTGGTGATAGCCAATCACTTTAAAGAATTTTGAAGTAGTTTTGATTAGTAACCCTTTAATTCCCAGATCAAATCTGTAATTCTTCTCACTGTCAGCCATACAATTCTTATAATGTTAGTTCAGAGAATTTAGCATTGGATCTATGAATTATCCCTAAATTGATATTTTTCTTTATTCTCATCACTTGTCTGGTTGATATTGTATTGATATTGTAAAGAGAAATTCTGTCTTGGTCACTCATAGGAGTTAAAGGGTTAAGTGGTTCTAGGTTAGCTGATCATTCAGTACAGGTGGGGGACTACAAAAAGGCCATTGAAACTCACTGAAGGGTGACTCATTGTGACCACCTAATGGAGGTGACAAATTAATAGAGGTTACAGCAATTAAGGGGAAACAATTTCAGATCTTTGACAACTGACTGCTTATTAGAAGGTGAGTGCTTAATACTGTGCTGCTTAACACAGGTTCAACTGTAGCACTGTAATTTCAAAATGTACGAAACAATCAGCAGCTTAAAGTGTACTTGTAGTGACTGGGCTGCCAATCCTAAGCAAAATTGTAGGTACATTTTGAAAGTTTTGAATGTTTGAGAAACATTAGTGAAGCAGCACTGCAATCATACTTACAGAATTAAAACAACTACGAGTCTTCAGAGTCATCTGTGTTGTAGGAAGCTTGGATTGAACAAACTTAGAAGTATTTTGCAAAGGACGCGCTTTTCGTGCTTTAAAGGGTGACTGAAACACTCCACTCTGGGTGTTGCTTTCTTGCAAAATTCTCCTTGGAGTAACAGGGAAGTTCACGTCATCTGGAAATTCTGTTGACTGTGGTGAGATACTGCTAGCTGACTCAGGGGAAGAAGCAGATTTTGTAGTTCTTTGGTCATTTTCTTGATCTCTTTCAGCTGACACAGCTTTTTTATCATCTTGGACAGTAAATGTTTGTGATAAAAGCTTACATATATCACGATTCTCCTTTTCATCTGTCATATTATCATTATTCTGGGTTAAGGAAGAATTTTTGATGAATATTGACACTGCAGTGGCTTCTTTAAACAGTTCTGCAATTTGTTCACCATTGAGGGGACTCAAGGGCTTAAATTTTTCATCATCTTGAACACCACTGTTAACAGTAACACATCTTTCTCTGTGACCCACAGGACCAAAGAAAACTTCATCCTCATCCTCTTCATCGGCATTAATCTCTCTGATAAAGAAAAAGGAGAAAAAGCATTATGTATTATTATATGGTGAGGTAATCTTGAGGTAAATCTGAGTGTTCTGATTGGTTTTTGATTGGTTGAGATTTTGTAAAAAAAGGTCATTATCCTTGCACTTTCATTTGTGAAAGCTGGAAAATCCAAAATAAACAACTTTGGTCTAAGTGCCATGCAATAAACTTCTTATCAATCTTCCTTGCATGAGCCATACTAGGAAATATTGGCCCTAATAGATAACTTTGTATGGACCTTATCACCCTTGGTCCATGCTGCCAAGACTGATGGCCAATATTTTCTAGTACAGGCCTCAATCTTTTTCAGTAAGTTGTTCTTCAAAAGCATGTACCAGTAAAATAATTTTAAGATAACTCTTGGGTGAAGGCAGAATTTTGAGTGGGAGGGTTTTTTCTTCATTGAGGAGCATGCCTGGTTGCTGGTTAGTCTTGGAAAGAAGGGTAGACTTCTAAACAGAAGAGAATGATCATCCGAGATATTAGATTAAGTCCCTCAGGAAGAAAACTCTTGGCACAAGCTAAGCTTTTTTTCACTCCTACAAGAGACCACTTTGAAACAGAGACAGTTTACCGTGATTTCTTTAGGTATTGATGTTATAAAAAAAATTCAAGATCTTCATAGCTGCAATGGGATTTTGCACACTCCGACAAGTATCCCTTCCCCTTTCATTTGAGTGCCCCAATGCCCCTCCCCCCCTGCCCACGAATGGTTGCATTCATATTAGAGCTTTGTTGGAGAGTAAAGCAGGTAAGGAATTTGACTTCCTTTTTACATTGAGACTTCGAGAAAAATTTGTACTTTTGTATACTCCTTCAACCACCGGTATATCTCTAAGACCTAACGCGCATTTGTGTGTCGAAAAACATAGAAATAACAAACATATTTCATATTTCCTGCTAGAGCCATGGCATGTAAGCAACTGTAATTCAACCGATCTTGTGGGAACAATTGCTATTATTCAACTGATCTTGTGGGAACGATTGCTATTTACGTACTTTCTGGTTGATAACCAACAATTGATACACACATGCAGTGTCACACTTACCGAACATCAAAATCAATTGGCGAGAGTGGCACGTCAAAATCGAACTTCTCGTCTTCAATGAGACTGGACACACCGCCAATAGCACTGGGAAACGCTACAAAGGCAGAATTCTGAATTCAAACAGTTTGTCGAAATGGAAGTAGACATTGCCAAAGACAGTTAAACGTAATCTTACGCTCATGAAAAATCTCTCTGATCATGACTGACCTTCTGAAACGTAGGAGCCAAGGTTTTTATTCAATGATAATGAAAACTTATCAACTTTAACACAGAGTTTATAATTCTTAAATATAGATTTCGTAAAAGCTTCCACGAACAAGCGATCCCCCACTTCATCCAGACAAAGGTCAATGCCAGGATAAAAACACAGTCCTAGAAAGCTCTTGATAACTTACCTTCACAGTTTGAAGTTGCCATGTTGAATGAAGATCTTAACAAGCCATTTTATTCAATATCGTGCTTCAAAGGTAAATCTGCAAATTCCTGAAAAAATTGTGGAGCACGTTCAAAACTCGTTCAAATCTGTTCGAAGCGTCCAGCTCTTCCCGGTACGATTTAAAATTATCACGTGACGGTTGAACTTTGTTGCGATTGGCCAATTTCAAAGACAACACATCATGGTTGTTTATTACTTTCGAAATAACTCGCTTTCTATTTCATCCATCTCACACATTGTTTATCGTAGCACTGATAGCTTTCCTTTACATACATCGAAGTTATAATAAATGCGCTAAAAGACAGAAATTCTAAAGCTGTAGAAATTTTCATTCTTTTCGAGTGCGGTGATGGTATGTATTGCACGATAAAGCAGAGAACGAATCGCAAATTCATGAAGAAACCGCAACATTAATCTACATCCAAACCAGAGATGCCACTCTCTAGAAATTAAATCCGAAATCTAGAACTGTTTGCCTAAGGATCATTTGCTCACCCCCTCCCCCTAAATTTTTTTCCAACGCTCTCTCTTAATCTCTCCCAAAAAGAGGCTACCACTAATGCACGTCAGCCATCCTTCGACATTAACTCCAAACTTTCCTCGACAGGGGTAAATTTCATCATTGATTTCCGGTCATTTTAGAAATTCACTCATATCTAAGAGATTTAACGAACTGTGCAAGAGACCGGCGGGAAATTAGTTCTATGTCAGGAGGACCTGTAACGAATTCCAAAAACATAAGCATCTCTCTGGGGATTGCGAAATATTACTCGAAAAACGGCTATAAAAAGAAAAAGAAAAGAAAGAAATACGGGAAATTTTATATATATATATATATATATATATATATATATATATACACATATATATAATCATATATATATATATATATATATATACATATATATCTGAAAGTTGGACAAAGACAACTTTTCTGCGACTCTGAGTTTCACGCTTACGCGATCATCAGAATGACCTGTCTGATGATCGCGTAAGCGTGAAACTTAGTCACAGAAAGTTATGTCTTACCGATTTGTCCAAGTTTCACACATACCACGCTCTGCGAAAGCATCGAACACTATACCGCAAGGATAGACTATAATCAATATAATCAATATATATATATATGACCTCTCGGAACCCCTACCCCATTATGGCCTATTCTGTAGCCAATTATAGAGCCCATCTTAGTCACTTTTGGTAACACGGAAGAAGCTTTTTAACCAAGAATATTTTCATTTCTGCTCACCAGAACCCCCAAAACCCAGAAAATGTGCGGCCTCATTCTGATTACTCTGTTGAAAATGTCACCCCCTCCGCTGGCTCATCCTCACCAACATATACTTAAAAGTGCCCCCCCCCCCCGGCCTAAATTCAGGCTTTGTCATGAGGGGTGGGAGTGAATAACATCCAAAAGATTACAGGAATGCATCGTCAATTTAATCAGCAAGAATGTAAAACTACTTACAATAAACTTGCAATAATCTATATTAAGAATTTTTTTTAATCATCGAGATCTAAATTAATCAAAACTAGAATCATGTCCCTCATCGGGCTTACAAAATAAGGCTGTAAAAATTATTCTATATTATAAATATATAAATATCTATATCTATGACATTTTGGAATGTAATCTTCGGAAAACTAAGAATGGATTTGAATCGATGAAATTTTCATTTAAATATCGAGGCGTTGGACATTACGTTTTATTATTTTGTATCAATTCCACTTCTGGTTACACATGTTCTTATCCTATGATTGTAAATGGTTATGAGCGGTTTTTTTTTTCCAAACGAAATCTAACACAAACCACGGTTTTACGCAGTGGTAGGCCTTACGTATTCTCTCCAAGAGGGTCGTTTTCGTTAATCAAATATCCTTCGGCCATCTTGACGCTGTTTACAAAGTTTAAAGTTCAGATAGTTTAAGCTACCATACTACTGAGGGAGAGGATTTTGGCTATTTCACAATAAAATTCACCTGATCCCCCCTCCCCTCGGGCTCTGTAGTGTTCTAATTTTCTATACCCCTCCACCCCTTTTACACACTGTTAGCGACAAATGAACAACCCCCCCCCATTCCGCCTGAAAACCACGTGATTCGATCCTCTAAAATCCTCCAGAATAAAATCCTTTCATACTTACCCTCTGAGTCAACCCTGCCCCGTATCTTTTTATTTTTAGAGGCGCCTTCCACGGGGTTTTTCGCGGGTGTTTACATAATAGCCAATCATAAAAGAGCTGTGGTCCTCTACTGTTTACGTCACATGCAGGCCGCACGAAAGTATTTTAATAATGGCGAAAAGCGCGGAATGTTTACCATTTTTTGGGGGTGTTATGCGAACGTCAGCGCGTTTTCGCGGGAAATTTAGGAACCCCATACATCTCAGTTCTAAAAATAAAAAGATACGGGACAGGGTTTACTCAAGGGTACAATTGGTATGGAAGCTTCTTGTAATGGGCTCCTGGTTGTCGTAGACACAAACTGTTCAGGTGACAGTTCTGAGATACATGGAAATCGGATAAATAATATTAAAAAAAATTAGAAATGTGACTCAACAATGGTATATGGTCTCTAGAATTGCATACTTCAATCAGGTTCAACCCATTTTGAGACACTGTTTATGCATGAGCGATTATATATATGTACTCCTATACAAGAAGCCTCTTAGTATTCTTTAAAAACAAACAAACAAACAAACATCTTGCATCTCTTAAATGAATAAAGGAAAAAAAAACAGAATTAGACTGTAAATAGCGGCTACGCTTTCATTTTTAGTCGTTTTTATGACGGGTAAAAACTAAGACATTATTTTTCTTCCAATTAAGTCTTTCGCATCCATTGGGAATTAAGAGGTACATGAACCCTGTTGTACCCGGCTGGGACATTAGCCGGCAATGACATCCCGCGACGGAGCCCCAGTTCGACGGCTTTTTTTTTTTTTTTGCCTGACCTTCGCCATTTTCTGTGCGCCCACTTTTTCGTTTGTTCCAACTAACAGAAAACCTGTCACGGGCTAACTTTCCTCTGGCAAGGTACTCTATGGAAAAGATCCTTCGAACTGTCCTTGTTAGTAGAAATTCATTTAATTCAAAGTTCTTCTGACTAAGTGTGCGCACTCAAACTTGATCTGGGACTACATCAGGACGGAAACCCAACGACGGCGGAGATTCAGCAGCAACAAAAGTAACTGTCTCTTTTCGTGGTGGTTTATCCATCATCAACGACGAAGATGGTGCATAAATAACATTCTTTATGTGCGTATTCGACCTAGGGTATCCCGTTTGAGAATCGGTCTCCGTAGGCCGGAAATTCAATCCTTTACCAAGCAAGAACCACTTCCATTGACTACGTACCTCTTGGTGCCGTAAACAGTGAAAGTAGAAAATAAAAAATCCTTGAAGTGAGTTAAATATGCAAAAAAGATAGTCAAAGATCAGCTGTGCACTTGAAACAGCCAGGGCTCCAAAGCCCCAGGTCAATCCCAATAGAAGCAAAATTGCGATGGAGGTGCGTGCTCTTCGGTAGGATGTAGATTTTTTCTCCGCAGAGACCAGAGCACCAGAATGCTTAAGAGCACGAATGGCCAGAATAAAAACTACGAAGTTGATGAGGATTACGAGAAGAATAGGAGCAAACTGAGCAGCTTGGAAGGGCACACCAAAAAGTACACAACTGCGCGAAAATAAAAAGAGGAATCAGGTTAATATAATTATTTTGTTCCTTATCAGCAATGGGACTGTTGCGCGTAATATTGGAAAAAGTTTGGGGGTGAATTCAGAAATTTTTGATAGGGAGTACAAAGTGTGATTGAGACAAGAGCGGATTTTTTTACAACAAAGCCTAAATAAGCTTAAAGATATTTCACGACGGGTGGATTTGAAATTATCATTGTTGAATGATGATAAGCGATCTTGCCACCATTGACTTTTCACTTCTGCCTGCCATGTATTACATTAAATCTTGCTCACCGCATCACCTCTTTTGAGAGACACATGGGACGGTAACTAAACATTTAAGGATGGCGGTTTGGGAGAAACCCGAATATAGTATCGAAATTTATAATGAAAGGTTTAATGATCCTGGGTTTTGAGAAACACAATAACTAAAGCACCATGACTTACACATCTTTGTTGCCATAGTAACTTGTTGCAGCGGACAATGTGACGAGCACTGTAATAGCAGGCACGCCCCAGGCCACCGCGGACGCCTTAAGCATGAATTTGGACTGATAAGTGCCCATCACTTGAACAAAGGACATGTACATGTTATATCCCTCCACACCCATCCACATCACGGTCGCCAGAGCGAAATAGTGGAGAAGAATTGCTACAATACGACAACCCAACAGATTCTCTGTTTGTGCTGCGCCCGCGATGAACACGATCAGAAGTAGCATGAGTGATACACACAAACTCATCAGGATTGGCTGTTGGTTGGTTTTACGTAAATTCCTGCGGAGGAGTGAGGTTAAATCCAGTAAACACGTTTTAATTTCGATCGTAAACGACACGTAATTATACAAGCGAACAGGAGCCCTTTATTGAGGAAATCATCACTCTAATAATGAACTGAATATCATCTAGCATTTCGTTATCACGAGCCAGATACATCAAACATCACTGGCAACCATATTAATGGCGGTTCAATATCAGTGTCTGAGAAACTGCGAACCTACCTGGCCCGACTACAGTCAACTGATAACAAGTCAGGGTTAACGTGGGGTTAGGGGAGGGGTAGGTGCGCAGTTTCTCAGAAACTGATATTGATCCCTATTTTCTCTAGCAAGTCCCGCTCGGTTTTCAGAGAGGGAGAGATAGATACTTGGACTGACTAAGTATAGGATCATTGCACAAACCTGAACATCGCATACGTCACCAATGTGAGGGTAAGTCCGACCAATGAAATTGCACAACCTATGTAAGAGATGATTGACAAGGCCTTGGCGTGTTCCTCAACGTGCTTCTTTGGACCACCAGCAGAGAATAGGACTGCAAAGTTAGTCATGTGATCACAGTGACACAATATCCGGCCTGCTTCGATCTTTACTTGTCTGCATCCTCGATCGGACCAGTTGCCCAGTCCCCCTGGAAAGACAAGAGCAAGGAAATAGTTGATATTTATGGGGTTTCTCACTTCCATCAACCACTATCTATACCTGTAACATACGCTTCGGAAACATGCGGCCGAAGGTTCAAGGTAAAGTGTCTACAAACTAAAAGGGAACAAAGTTTCAAGTCAGGATATTTTTCTCGTTTATAATTCTTCCTCAGCTAAACGTTAACAGATAATTTTGACGGGGATCCTCTTCAAGCGTTCAGCTCGCATTTGAGGGTGGAAGGGGGGGGAGGAGAAGCCAGGTTACTTGCAAGTACTTGAAATATTTTCTCACTTTCTATCGAAAGAAAGGGGGGGTACGCCCTTTGCCTTGCTCAAATGAAAACCAGGAATGACGTTTGTTGGAACCCTCTACTTACAGAACCTTGGTAATACAATTGCTTAAATCTTTGGGCAACTTCGGTTTCCTTGAAAGAAATTAACCGTGCTGACACACAATAGAGTAAGTTAAGGAAAAGAAAAGGAAATTATTAAAATATGAAATAGTTAAAAAGGAAAGCAGGTAAAGTTTCTCACCCATGGCATCAAAGTCCCAAAATACACATACAGACTCTCCGTTGGTTGTGTCCACTTCGACTGCAGGCTCAAAAACCAATTCAACTGGTTTGGTAAGGTTTTCAATGGTCATATCCTTCACGCTACTTGAAATAACTCGACTCACAATTGAAGAATTCTCCTGTCCACTTTCTTCATCAACCGGCAAAACCGGTTGGAAAAACTTGTCATTCTGGTAAATCACAAAACCGATCTTTACTGCTTTACCGGAAGGAGCCTTATTCTCAAAAATCACTTCCGGTAACGTAATTGACGTTTGGACGTCTGCCATCGGAAGTTCATCATTAACCATGTTGTCCGAAGTCAGTTTGTTCGGGTCAGCAGTGGGTGGTTTGACAGCAAGAGACATGCCTGTAAAAGAGCCTGGGTCCACACGATTTGATTGGATAGCAACGCTTGGAGCGATAAGACGCCGAGAGTTTTTGCCCTCTGAGAGTGGAAGATTTCGGGCCACTTTATCCAACGCCCGAATAAACCTTAAATAATGAATTCATAAGAAAAAAAAGAATAGAACGTAAAACCTCAAGAAAAATAGGGAAAATAATAGGGGCGGATTTAGGAATTTTCTAGGAGGCGGGGAAGGTAATGTTTTGATTCAGAAAATATGAAATAATTATTTTGATGATGTCACTGAAATTTTTTTCTGAGCTGAACTAGACAAATAGCTGAACTAGCTGAACTATGCAAATAATTATTTCAAGATAAGTTTGCTTCATCATAAGGTTGGAATAATTTTGACTTCAGACAAGTACTTAGGGAACAGGAGGTGGAAGGAAGGAAAAAGTAGTAGGAGAATTCGAATCCCTGGACTCCCGGACCCCCGGACCCCTGGACCCTTCTTTTGAATCCGCCAATGAATAAGATTCCTCGGCGTAAAGTTTGAAACACACATTGATGGAACTATACTGGGTTACCAACATTCGCCGACGAACCTTTTACTTACAGTTAAACAATCGAACCTCGAGTCATATCAACAAAAGTCTGTGGCATGAACTTACTTGGAAGAAGATTTACTGGTTCGTTGACTCTCTTGTAAATCTTTCTTTTTCATCTTCATCACATTGTCGACAACATCTACAACGTCTTGGGCGGTCTTAAAGGGAAAATTTTATAAATAAAATAAGACAGACGATCAGTTCCCTCTTGATAAAGTACTTTTCTCGAGATATTGATGATTGTGCTTTTGATAAACTTTGGGCAAGGAAACTGCAATAAATAAAGGGATGTTCTGAACGCTACTGTTAAGTTCCACCCTTTCTTTCACTTTCTCATTTGACTTTCTTTCTTTCAGTTCTTGCTTTTACTGAAAAAGTCAGTGTCGTTGCAAAGTCAAATGTTCCCAAAAAGTTCGGCAGAAAGGCTTGCAGTTATTCTTCCTGGTCAATGCAATAAAAAGAATTATTTTTTGGCATAAGGTATTTTTGCAATGTCTCGACTGCATAACGCTAGTCGTGGGATTATTCCGTTCGTTTTTCGGACGGATCGACTTCATTTCGATTTTGATTTGATTTTTACTGTTTCCAGCCGTCTTTGGACCACAGCGTCTGATTTCGGTTGGCTCCGCCCGAGTTTGGCCATTTATTTTCTATTCGTGTTTTACCTCATTTAACGAATCATCCAGTAACACAACACTGTCTATGACGTCAGCTATCAGCACCGCGTCAGCTTCGTTCATGTCATTTGGATCCGACGTAAGAACTTTCACTTCTTTAGTTACTTTGGCTGCGTTCTGTTTGTTCACTTTTGTCTGTGAAATTGGAAAGAAAATAGTTAATTTACGATCTTTCTTCCTCTAAAAGAATAGTGTTTAATCCGCACGTGAAATTGACTGAAAACAAAGATTATTCGTACGAGAAGAAAAGGTTACCAAAGTATCGAAATCTTGGTTTTTGTTTTAGAACTACAAATCGTTTAGGCTAAATTTCCACCGCCCTCTCGAGTCCGGTCTTCGCTCCTTCCCGTGGGGGGGAGAAGCGCGGGCTCGTTTTCCCGAACAGCGGCCAGTAATCGAGCTTACATATCGGTAGGCGGGAAGAACATTTCTCTAGCATGGTCCCTGGAACAAAAATTTTTAAGGTTGTACCTCGATTTTATTCCATAATTAGAGTAACAACAGATATATTGAAGTAATGACCTACCTTTGCGATATTGTTAAGTTTATTTGTTCTTTCAGATTTAAATTTGCAGAGGCTCACATCCGGGCTCTTCCATATACCACCTGTCGTAAAGTTTCCGCCACAAGGGCGCGTTGCATTGGCCGCAGGCGGACCATACGGGCAACTTACAGGGGACGAAGTTCCACCAATCACAGTTAACTGCCACTCAAATATCCCCATAATAGATTTTTTGCCGGTTTCTTTCGACAGACAGTGAGCTGTGAAACAAAGGAATTCGCACTTTATAGGTATGGTATAATCATTCTGAAGATTTTCAGTTAGTGCTGTGACCAGCGAATAGTGGTTGCGACACCAATAGAGTTTACACACTGACAGAAGCCCATAATGAGCTCCTGACAAACATGCAATAAAAACTGAAGGAAAACGACCAAATATTATCCTGCCTTATATAAAAGCTTCCCTGAACTTGCCATCCAAGGCTATTGCAATTTCAAGTGAATGGTGGTAACACAATGATTGCCAGCTGTGTTCATCACGCAATGTTTACACTCTCCTTAGTCACGCAATAGTACTCGATAAGCTCAAGAACTCTTTTACGGTCACGCAATACTTACTAGCACTCCTTATCGTCACGCTATTGCGCGAGACCCTCAATGGTTTCAGTATGTTATCCATGGTACGCTCATCAGTCAGTAACGCCTCGAGTTTGCTATAGTAAGGAGCGATATCTTCATTCGTGGCTGAGCTGTAAATCACCAAGTCGACCCCCACTTGATTAAACGAGTTCCTGTGCATTGAGAGAAAAGCCTGTCACTCTTGGAGAAGTTATGTCAATATATTATGGGTCATTTTTCTTCCACCAGAAATGTTAATTTTACAGAATGGAGGTTCAAAAACAACAATAATTAGAGGAGACAAACACCAGTACAACCCAAACAGAACAAAGTGAAAACAGCTGAAGTTGGGTGTGAATGGCCAGAAAAATTATAAAGGATTCCAAATGTCCCAACTTCTTCATAACATTTAAGGCGTTGACGCAGTTTCTCTAAGATCTGATTGCAAGTTCTCCTTTCTTGCTGGTATACATTTCCCACAAGGTCAGTTGTGAGGATTTGCTGATATCTTAGCGAGTCTAATGGCAGCATATATTTACAGTTCTGACTTTTTACTTTCCTTTGTTTTGTACTTATTATCATAATTTATTACAAAGGAAAAATCTAAGACCAAAGAGAAATTCGAACCATGAAAGATAACTTAGATGACGAAAGAGCAAAAAAAGACAGCACTCACCTGAATTTCATAAGTTTGACCATATAATCCCACGCAGGGTTTCCACTATTGAGATAGTTTTGCAGCTGAAACAGAGAAAGAACGAGCCAAAATAAATAAATGGCCTGGTCAGAGGAGGAATGAAACAAGTAAGACCAGGCAAGAAAAACCTCCAGTTTAGTCTTCAAGATTTAAGTCCCTTCCTGATTCTTCATGTAACGCAATTTCTACATTGCACGACGAAAACATACAAAGGCTGCTAAGGAGACAAAATTCCTTCATCGCGAGGGCTTTATTTTAACCCATCCTCGATTTAAACTAAATATCTCTTCGTCAGAAGTATCTTGAGACCACGAAATTACCCACACGAAGACTGGATCTCTGATTAAAGCCTCTCCTCAGATTTGAATCATCTAATGGATATTTTCTAGTTCATTTGAATCAACTTACTTTTCTTTCAATTGTGATCTGCATGTCTGAATAGCTTGAGCTTCTCGGATTCAATAAATCATCCTTGAACTTTTCATTAAAGATTCGAAATGATACTCTTGATGTAAAAGTATCTGGAGAAAAAAGTATACGTAATAACTAAAATTACCTTCTCCAAAGAAACTGTCAAGACATCAAAAATAGCGTCATTATACTACCACCATCGTCGTCATCGAAATCAACGAACTACCAAAAAACATCGCAATTTCAATAAAATTTTTTCCAGCCATTTGCTTCAGTTCTTCTATCTGCAGCGCTTATTTTACGATGCACAAAGAAAAGAGCTCTCCAATTGATTGGTTGATGAAAAAGCGCGCCACGAGCAGTTACATTTTTCCAACGGGCGACCTCACCCATTACAGGTCTCAAAAACGTCTGTTGTCTTTCTTCTCGTTATCGATGTTACTGTCGCAGTAATCATCGTTTATTTACGTCATCTTCGCCGCCGATGTCAGAAGTCGTTTTCTTCATCGTCATTGTTCGGTATCGTTGTATGTAACCGTCGTGGTTATTGTTCGTTCGATGTCGTTATCATCGTCGTTCGCATTTACACCGTTAACGATGTCCTCATCGTCGTCGTTATTATAGCTATCGTGACATTTCGGTATCACCATCGTCATGGCCATCGTTATCATCATCACCATCGGTCATCTTCGTGGTGATCGTCAATGTTCGTTATCGTCGTTTTCATTGTTGTCACTATGGTCATTGTCTCTTTAGGTCATTACTGTCTTACATACCATCATCCCAAAAGCAAGCGCTGCTCAACTAATGTTTCAGTGACGTAAATTTGTGAGGACACTTACCCTTCATAGTGACTAAAGCCGATGCAGTGGGTCTGCTAGTCAAATACGTCGAGAAGCGGCAGTAATAGTCACCTTGATCACCATACTGAAAACTGTCAATCTTCAGTTGGCTACCCGATTGTCCAATTGGCATTCCGTTCTTAAACCACATGACCGTCAAAGGCAGTGAACTGGAAGCGTTGCATTTTAAAATGACTTTGGCGCCTCTTTTCACAGTCTGAGGGTTTGGGGCCACGGTAATAACTGGTGGACCTGTGAGCATAAAAACAAAACATCAATATGATAAGTTAACACAAATGGACGAGAGGAGGAAACAAACCCAATCATGTTAACAATCCAGTCACTTGACGAAGACACGTGGTGGTATCTTACTCATACCAAAAAAGGCTGACACGTGACTTACCAATACACTTTGAGTATATCTTTGCCAAATTTGCTAGATTATGAGGATCAGAAGAACATTCCATTTGTAACATCTCACTTGAGTTGAGCCGCTTTAGCCAGTCAAATAAAGGCCGTAAGCACTCTCCACTTGGGCAGGAGTCAAGTCCCTTGGCGGAAGAAGCATTCTTTGGACATCCCTTGGAGGCATCTTCATAAAAATCTCGAATTTCTTTGCAATTGTCACGTGAAATAAATTTGATCTTGGCAGTGTTTTCAGTTTTTCCCCAGTGATCGCTGTCCGTGACGCGAATTTTTATATCAAATTTGTCACCATTTTTAAACTGAAAATCGTCCGTGACTTCAATTCCCCCGGTCAGACGGTGAACACAGAAATAACTCATTGGCTTAACAGTGCCAGCACCTTCACAAAAGTCGTCAATGTCGCGCCGTTTCCGTTTTGACTCACTGCGTGACAACTGTTGTTGCGTGACATTCTCCATGTAAAACAACAACGGTTGAACCAAAGACTCTAAGCGCCCCGTGACAGTAACATTCGTGACGAGAGTTTCAGATTTGATGTCATAAGGCAGATAAACGACCTGGTCACTGAGCTGCAATGGATTTGTGTCTGTAAAGTAGAAAATAAATCAAGAAAATATACATGAGGCTGATTTTGACAAAGTAAAAACGGAAAGAGAACTAGTAGTGAATGGATCCTTGCTCCTGTACACTCTTTGATTTACGTTATATCTATTTCACTTACACCGTTTTGTTCAATGTCATACCTGAGCAATTGGACTCGCTTGTCATTCCTGTTTTTCCAAATGTCTGTTTCTTTGCTGGACATTTTTTGCATGACCTTTGACCCTGCTTGTTCTGATAAGTGTCTGACGGACAACGGTCACATAGACTACCGGAAACGTATTTAAACCCAGGCAAGCAGCCTAAAGAAAGAAAGACAACAAAAATTTACGTCTGTCTCGGCTTAGATTTGAAATAAGCTTAATTTATCACCAATTGATGCCACTTTTGCGCGTGGAGTGCTACCAAGCGCAGACAATTCACCTCTGTATTGTCAGGAGCCGCAAGCTTGTAGAAATCTGTTAGATTTCTTTGGCTCAAAAACATTGTATAGATGAAACACCACAATTAAGCGCGTTTAAGTTTGTTTGAATTTTTTAAAGCTGTTTATTGGAGGTTAAGGTGGGCTCGACTTCCATCATTCTCTCGATTCTCGTCTTCGATCTCCCCGAGAAGGTCCCTTGAGGGGGAGGAGCGTGGGCTCTTCCCTAACCAGCGGATGATAATCGAGCCTGGCTTAGAGGTTCGGTTAGAAGAATACAGTGGTCAAACGTCTGCGCATGTTCGATAAGGGGAGTAATCTCTTGGGTACAAACATTGAAACGATTGGTGTCACACATGGCGGCCCTTCCTAGTGCCTTCAGGCTTTTCAAACTCACAAAACAGTAAATCATGACATTTCAAAAGCGAATAAAGTTTTCTGTAGAGCCCGAAACTGATAGTAAATCAACAGAATATCTGTAATGAAATAATATTTATGTCAGAGTAGTTTCAAGTTCTCCTCTTCCCTACTTCTCTTTCTCTTTACAGCTTTCTGTGAACATTTCAGCTCATTTTCGTGAATTTTAGGTAGAAGCGGTATCTTTACATTTTTCTTTAAATTTTTCTCGGGAACTTGGCGGACGGGCGGCCGGCCGAAACTATTTCATTTGTGCATGCCTCATGTTTGACCGCTGTGTTGGTTATTGGTTGTTGGTAACTTACCACATTTGGTGCTGTTAATCCGTATTGAGCCCACAGCACAGCAAGGCGGCGGTATATCTCCACCACAGCATGATGTCGTATTTGATATTGAGGATAAATTGTAGGTGGAGTAAGTCATATCTCCTTGCTTTATTTTTGGAGTATTTGAATCCAAAAATTGCTTGTAGGCAGATAGAGTACTGATACAGTCAAACAGCTTCTTGGAAACTTCATAATCTGGCACACTTGTTGATGCTGTAAATATCAGTGGTATTCTAAAAAAAACACTTCGCACTCCTGGGAGAGAGTTTATTATATCTTTCCTGGTGACTGTGACACTACTGCACGCAGGGAGAGTGGAGAGAATGGTGGATATTCCACTGAGAAGACCAGAAAACGTCCTTCTGGTGTTACTTATGGTGCTACTTGTAAGACCTCCCTGGATTTCATAGTGAAATGTGATGTCGACCTCGTAACATCTTTTCACATCGTAGTTAGCCATCAGTGAAGCATCTGAAATCACAGAAAAAAACCTAGAATTTGTTTTAAATGACCAATTGCAACACTCAACAAAGACTCTTCTATACATATATTTTTTTCTTGTTTTTATCTTAGTTCCTAGGGACAAGAAATTATTCATCGCCGTTGGGGATGTATTTTAGGGTTTTATATTTGGGGTCACATGGTTTTTGGGGGGGAACAGAAAGGAATCAGTCGTCGCCAACAGAATGTAATCACATCATTTGCGAGTACAGTTATCTAGCTGCGCGCTAGAACACAATACAGGACTGAGTGAAATGAATCCATCTGTAATACGTTGTGAGCGTTTGAAGAGAACATTTATGTTTGTGTTCTAATGATTCGTAATTCACCTTGCTATGGAAAATCTACAACATACCATTCTTATATCTCACAAGAAATATTGAGAGCGTTATGTACGAAAGGAACCTTAGCGTAAGAAAAAACGTTTTTCAGAGATGTCGAGCAAATGGAAGAACCTGCAGGACGACACTTGTGATGTCACAAGTCTATCACTTACTAACAATCCTGTACACGTCTTGTGCCCAACCCCCACCAGTTCCGTTAACACATTTGGTCGAAGTTCCGTACTTTTTGTACGTCACATGAGCCAGCGGTCCCGACCAGCATTCCCCTGCATACTGCACTCCAAACACTAAGTACCCAGCCCTCTTTGCGGCCTGTGCACATCTCTGAATAGCATTGCTATCAAACCTCCAGTTGCCAAGTTCTTCTGGCATGGCTCGAGTACGATAGTCTTGAAAACATCCAAGGTGGAAAAAGTTGACTGCCGGAAATAAAGGCATAGCGGTTTTCAAAGCATTCGCTCTTAAACTGGCGAGCTTCTAGATTTATAGGACTGCAATGCGTAAAGTAATCGATTTGCCTTAGCAGACAGACTATGTTTTTTTTTAAAATTTTTTTTAAAATCTGGGTGGGTCAATCTTGTGTCAACCGTTTTTTTTTTCTCTGTTTTAAAAGCGCTATGAAGTTGGTTTCCTTTTACATTTCGACGCAAAAAAAACTTGTTGAGGTAAAACTTAAATGAATGAATACTCCGAAAGCAAGGTAACAAGGAGTTCCTATTCTATGCTGCTATTAGTCACTCAATGAAATTTCCTTTGGACAGATAATATAATCCATGCAGGTCATTTCGTTTAGGTATCATTTCAGTACAGATGTCCTTTCTTTCAGGGAAGTGGAAGACACCTGGTTGAAACTTAAGCTGCTTGGAAATCATACAATACAACCATTTTCAATATTGTTTTCTTTTAAAACAGCCAATGGATCATGTGTATCAATCTTAGTTGGCAATAAACGTTTTAATCTCGGAGAATAACAACAAAAAATAGGCGAAAAAGGAGGATTAGCCAACACAGACATTTAAGACAACTGAGAGCAGAGGAGGACTGAAATACTGTTTTCAAGTCATTAGTTTCCATTATGGCTTCCATAGTTACTAAAAACACATCAAAAACTAAAACCTTAGATAAGCAAAAATTTGAGCCTAGAATTTCATTTTATGGGGAGTGGGGTGGGTCAGGCAATAGAAAAATTACCACAATAGCAGATGTACACATTGTTTCATTCTTAAAATTTAAAAAGTCCTTGTGGTATGGTAGCGGCAGTAGCAAAAACAGCACAGGAGTATGTTTTCAATTTTGCTTCGGATTTTTCTGCCTAATATGTATGTTTACTTTCTGTCAGTCGTGAGAAAAGTCAGGGTACTAATGACCTCATCGTTCATGTCGTCTCACAAACATGAAAGCACGGCTCAGGAAGTAAATTTATTTGATCAGTTAATGTACATTGTTGTTATTCCTTTTATCAAAGTAAGAATTAAAATATTTTTCAGCTACACTGTACAGTTCTCGTGATCAAACATTATGACATACAAAAATTTTAAAAATGCTAACAATGAACCAAATAATGACATTGCCAAATGCTAATGGTCAGTACAATCTGTAAGGAGAGACGTTAATTTATATGCGTTTTCGATATGCTCCATCGACGCGGCTTTTAAAATTTTTACATTCAATGAATGTCACTTCTGGAATATTCATTGCTTTGTTTTTAGTATCTAAAATTAACGCTTACCCAACCCGTTAATTCAGACAAGCGGCTCTAATGAATTCTAGCATGTTATGTAAGATTTACCGAATTTGCGAAAACCGCATCGTCACGAAGGACCAAAATGATAAAATCGCTATTCTCACTGACAAATTTTGAGGAGTAATAATCAAATCGAGCAAAATATTGTATGGTGTCACGTACGATGACTGAAGTTTACATAATCAGAAGCATGAGAGACTGAAATTTCACAATATACTAATGCTACAGATGATTCGTCGATAATAGTATTAATTGCGATTATCTTTTAGCAGTGAGCTATAATAACTAACTAACCCATCAGAAAATTACGACTGAAACCTCTGGCATAACTTTTTAGTCAAACATTTCACGATATTTGCATGAACTCAGTTCTTTGTTTACATCACGCATGGAATCACCCCTGAATTAAATAAGCCGCAGAGTTAAAATGAATCAGAGCGGTTTCTGAACGCAAAAACATGCAAATAGAAGAATTCGGTTCCCCGTATCATTTATTACCAATCTTACACAAGCCTTTTCATGTCAAGAACCAATACAGAGTATTGCAAAACTACAGAAGTAAAAACAAACAGCGATAACGCTCACGAATGCTAACACAGCAATACGTATTCACGCCGGCGAAGTAGTTCGTTTGCTGAAGTATGGCTATTGGAAACAACTAGTAGAGAAATCTTTTATAACAATGTAGTTATTTCTTCCATGGTAAGACAATCTCCCATAGCGGGGGGGGGTTCATTGGTCGAACATTATCAAATACTCATGTTCTTACAAGCACATAAATAAATTCTCACTAACCTGAGGTCGATCGTGTTTGAATGAAGAAGAACGTTAACAAAGTTGAAGACAACACAAATGTTCTTCTATCGTACATCCTCTGTATCCTGATGATCCTGATCAAGTGAACGATGAGAATTCAAGTTTCAGTCCTTCTCGCTTCGAAACGTTCTTTATTCTATGGGGTTATTCCAGACCAGTTTTGTCAAAAAGCTTGACTGAACACGCTTCATACACTCTCCGTCACGACTAAGATGTCTCCTTCTCTCTATGCAGATGATCTGTACAAAATTTCAGATCAAACAGACGATATTAGTAATTGCAGGCGAATTGGAGACAAATGAACGCCTCTTGACCCGCCGGAACATGACCAACTCGGAGCGAGTCCATAGGGTATTTTTGTTTTTATAACGCAAGGGATCTGGACACTACGAATTGCGTGACTAAGTTCATTTGCGTGCAAAAGAAGTTCAAAATCTTAAAAGATTTTAAGGGTAAAGCTATATCCTCTCACCTTATAGTCAAAGTTGATCGTTTTGATATTTTATAGTAATCAATAATATCTTTAGAAAAACAGCGTCATTGGAAAGGAAACTTCTAGACCATTTTCAGCACTTAATCGCATCTTAAAAATTAACATTTGGTTTCGCATCGGAGATTTTACGTCACTGTAAAAAACGTGGGAATGTTTACAAAGGTTTCGATGCACGTTTTCTTTATTCAACAAGTAAACATTTAAAAAATAAATCTATCAAGAACCTTCTGACCAAGACGGCTTTCAAAGTCCGGAAATTCTTGCTTGAACTCGAAATTGAAATTTTTTAAGTTGAGCGATGTTTCTAAGTTTCCGGCTTCGTAGCCAAAGATTTCACTGGCTCTCGAAAAATTACGGCAAAAATTAGAATTTTCATCGATGGAAATATCGATTATAAAACATCTATTTGGTATGTTTGACTTATCACTTAAAGATATTGCAAAAGATTTGGCGACACATAAGCTCCAAGACGCGAATGAAAATATCCTTTTTCAGAAACTTGGAACCGGAACCGGAAATTCGAAACCATATTTGGCATCAACCAACAGTTTGTCGAGTCATTTCAAGGGCCTCTGTTATTGAGAAAATGAATGAAAATTATATCAGATATATTTTTTTCTATTGTTTCACGTGTAAAACTATGTGGATTAAAATTGAAATATAAATTTCGGAGAGAAAACTTTCAAAAGTTAACAGTTTTGTATCAAGCGAAACTACTTGTGACGTCATGCGTGACATCTTGTCGAAATTTTGTTTTGAACACACCTCACAACAAAGTGGGGCGGAAACAAATTACGTGGCCTTGAAATTTCGTTGTCGATGATAACATGCAGTTTTATTGTTTTGATAGTAGATTATCTTTTGCATGCCTTATCTTTATTCTATCAGAAACGAAAACGATAAGAATGAACTGAGACGGAAAAAATTATTACAGGAAGTCGATGAACAAGAAAGTTGCCCTTGCTTTCCACGACTAACAACGACCAAGCAGTTGTGTGAAACTAGGAATTTTTAAGTTTGATACCCAAAATTTCATTAATTGTGGCTTAAAACAGCATAATTCGACAATGAAAACTTAAAAAATATATATTTTTGAGGCGATTAATTTGCGAAAAATCAATAATACTTTGAGCATGCATTTGTCAAACAAAAAAGATCTTAATTTGAACTTGGTGTGAAAGGAACAAGGAAACTGAAAGAACGAGCAGAACTTTTCAAAATTCCTATAAAGCAGTATCTTTTTCATCTTCTTACGAATCGAGAACTCCGCTTTGAAGAAATCAGAGAAACGCAAGGAAGTTACTGCAAAGAGAATGAGAGGCAATTTATTTTAAGTTTAAACATCTAGATGCCGAAGCTTACCCGCGCTTGAGAAAACGTATTAACAGTTGAAACTCATTATGAAAATAGTAAGCCATCATAATTTAAATTTACATCTCTATTCTTGGACGACATACCTTATACTATCCAGCGACGTTAACTTCCTTTGGTTGCTATGTTATCTGAAACCTCTGGGAAACCTTGACTCTTCGACTGTCTTTACTGAAAAATGAAACCATATAGATTTATGTAGATATCCGTAAACCTTGCCGCTGCTTCGAACGACGTACTTGAAACGCACTTGTGAACTGTCACACAGTTTAAGGAGTGGCCGACAAACGTCATAGTCTATATTTAAGAGCTAGTGTCAAAAAGATTTGCCTAGAAAATTTATTGCTATTGAAAACTGTCAGGCATGAAAATAAGGCCACGAATCCTGAGAAAACAGAATAATAATTTGCTTTAATTGCAACACACGAGGAAAAGTAATAAAAATCGTTCAGTTTACCAATGGCAGGTTTTCAGCCACTAAAATACCATTTCTTTCTCACCAGCAGTTGACGTATTTTTGCGTCAAATTCGTCAGGGTGAAAACGGAATAAATCACTCAGACAGATTTTCCTTCTTAGACAACAGTTTATACACAGGAAGGTATTTTGGTTCTCAAAATCTTCGGTTTGTAACAATTCTTTATATTTTTTTTAATCCTAAAACTTCTTTAACAATTGGTTTTTGGTATTTATAAATGAAAGAGGAAGATTTCGGTTGCTGTATATGTTTACTTTTAAAGGACATTTGGTCGATTCTCCGCCTTTCTCTTTTTTTAAATAAATAATTGTGTTTTCGGTTACTGTATTATTAGATCAGAGTTATTGGCATGATTTATTTTCTTAAATTTTCCAGTTTCGATGTAAATTTTAACCAGATTCCCTGTTTCTAATGGACTCACAAACCCCATTTAGCAAGGACGAAAGGTAACTGAGTCGGATGATTAAATTTTCATCGCCCCTTCAAGTGACCCGAGGTGAAACTTCCTACATGAAATGATCTTATTGCGAGACAGGGTAATAACTTCTGCAACGCTGGGAAATAGAAAGATGTATCTTTTATCGTCATCAGTAAAAAATATAGGTGTTCAGCCTTGAAGCTGGTTTTGGCAGTATCTAGAACTGCCAGGATGTCCTCAACGCTTTAACGCCATCAGTCAGGTTGGCGTAAAACACAAGAAGCTAATATAATAGTATGGTATTGTGCTCGTTAAGTTCTCCCTTAATGGAACCTGGAATATGTCAATCATTAAAAGCACTTTATCCATCTCTGGGTCCTATAAAATATCAGGAGTGCAAAAACTTGCTCTGGTCACCAGAAGGTTTTTTCTCATCGGAATTATACGAGTCCTCCATGCCTTTAGCATATCAAGGAAACCGACCGTACCAGTTGGAAAAATCAACCTGCTGTTTGCTAATATCCGCTCAAAATTAATTCGTGTCACGATTTTCGTTGTCCTCTCTAACCTCCAGAAACTATATTTTAGCGGAACTTAATCACAATTACCTTAGTAATACTCATTTTCGCGGGAATAAATTTTCGCGATTTTTAAAAAATCGCGAAATGAAAGACCTGCTTGTAAAAAATTTTCGCGAAAATTAACCACGCTTAGTTAATGCAATACCCCGCTCTACAATTTTTTAATGTTAACGACATAACAGTCTTGTCTACGTTCCCTCCTCAAGTTTCATTACGAGAGTTCTTGCTGCAGTTCCTGCAAGATATTCCTGTGTGTTTCAGCAGTCGTCAAACAATCCATGCCTATCTAGCTCCTTGTAATGGAACATGTCAAACTGTTTTCAGTTTCGTCATGTTATGAAATGGTTTTGTTTAGTGTCATTGGAAACTATTGTTATGGAAAATTAAAATGCGTGGAACCAAATCTGAAAATAACTGTTTGTTATCGCAGATCGCTATTCTGACAATTTTCGCGAAACTTAATTCCTTCTAACATACATTTTTGGCAGAATCGCTAAATTAAACGCGGTCCCGCGAGATGTGCAGTTTTTGCACAAAAGGGTATCACGTATACACGCGTAGGCAGTAGACAGGAATTAAAACTGCAGGTGTATCTTACTCTTAGCCCTGACGACCATTTAGGGGCATTCGTTTTTTATCTGATTATCCAAAATTACGGCAATTTCCCGTTTCAACGAGATTGAAAAATTTAAAACAAAACAAAAATAAAATCCATGATAATTGTTATCTGGGGATTTTTGCAAGATTTCGAACGGTATAGGTCAAGCTCTCTGACGTATATTTAAGGAAGACTACGGAACCTTCAATGGAAGAAGAATGGGGAAAAATAGTTGACTGATGTAAAACGGAGACCTTCAATGGCTTTTACGGCATATCCGGCAAAGGGATGAGTTAAACTGCTTAGCTGATGTATTCTTCCTGTCTAGTCTGAAGCTGTCGCACACAAACTGCAAAGTCATCCAGAGAGAGGATATCGAGCGGGAAGGGAGACTTGTTGTTGCCAAATTCACCTTTTGAGCTGAAAAAATGAATCGTCAACTTTATTTTTAGTAAAAGAGAAGTGACGGCAGATAGAACAGAGTTGTACAAACTGTAGGATAACTGGATTGTGTTGCTTTATGCCTTACACCAGAACTGACTGATTCTTAGCACGTTGTTTTGTCCGATTTACCGTGAAAATTCAAATCGCGTTCCTAGCATCCTCTCATTAGGAAGCGAAACTCCCTCTTTGTTGAGAGCAATGTTACACTTTTATCTGCATGGAAAATTTTTGCTTGAGTTTATCAAGGTCTTCATTTACGAGTACCGAAAAGACAAAACCTAAAGTAATCATGACGGCCAATCAGAAGAAGGGAGTATACCACATAGAGCCAATGAAAACGCAATGAAAAGGCAAGCAAAGCGTTAGTTTTGCATTTGATTGAGAGTATATATGGTGCGAGTTTTCTTAACCAATCACAGGGCAAAAGCATAACCAATGCAATCCGGATTATTATCGACTCTAAATTGAGAATTTCTCTTATCTTTGTTTCTTCTCGTCTCTTTTTGCTTGTTTCGTGTATTTTGAGTTTTATTACTCGCCAATAAATTGAAAGTAATTTGAACTGGGCAAAAATGACTTGAAATGCTGTGACTAAAAGGAATTGTTTAGTTGATACTCTCATACAAATTGAGATAAATTTGACTGGAAATACTCGAACAGAGAGTTTCTCACTTAATCAAACTGGTCTGATGAGTTAAGACTTCAATTCCACTGAGTTCCTGTGAGTATTATCCTAAAATAAATAGTAATCTGTCTTGCTTGTCGCTTGCGCTTAATAACAAAGCTTGTTAAATCAGAATCCCACTGTTTCTGTATATTTCTAAGGGGAAACGTGGACGACGGGCTACATTTTCTGCTCTCTGTTTCTAAAGGAAATATTGTTGATTTTATGTTAATCTGTGCCTGTTGAAGACGCTTCATTTTTGTTTTATTGGATCACACGCGGGTAGCGCGTCTAAATACAACCGGCGTAACCAAAGGGAAATGAAAACGTAAGACCACTAACTCACCGAAAGAAGCCCAAACCAACTTTGTTCCGAATTTGAGAAAAAGGGCTGAATTTTTCCTAGTTGCCGACATGCAAATTGAATGAAAGCCCAACAAATAGCGGTTTTGAATGTGGTAAACAAAAGGATAGCTAGATCAATATCATGTGTTTTTTATCATTATTTATTTTTCATCACAAACTAAAATAGAAGGTACCTCTGTCAAAAGCGAAAATCAACAAGGAATGAAAACAAATTAACGTTTTCAGTTTCAATCTCGCAGGCAGAAATATTTCACAAATTGTGTTTTCGGTCTCTGAGAGTCACTCTACACTTTGTTTACCTGTAATCGATTTTATAAAGTGCATTTGCATTATTTCCGAAGGGCGAGAGTCTCCTCTTTGGAGATCGGAGCATATGGAGCGTCCAGTCTCAATCCTATTAATTAACAGACCTCAAATTTAAGTTACAGGTCCACAGTGACAGGAACAAAAACCAGTTTTATTCGTTTCTCATTGTTAACGCTGTGTTGAACGCTTTCTTTTCTTTCACAGCCGTAACGTTGAACATTTCTACGTAATAAGGAAAGCTTCATCCTTTTCAAAGACATAAAAAAACGTTGCTGCTGAGTCTTGCTGTTTCTGACCTTGGTGTTGGGTTATTGTTACAACCCAGTTTTACGTCGCTGAGTTAGCCAAGGCTCTACAATGAGCAAAAACACGTCAGGCGATTCTGCGTCCACTGGGCGCCATATTATTAATATTACAGGTAAAGTAAAGTTTATCTTGTATGCTTCGTCTGTCAGTATTACTGCTCTCGGTGTAGACAAACAGATTCTCAGCCATTCGTCTTCATCTCAGATATCAGGAACTCGTAACTCACAAGCGCATTGTTGTTGGTGTCTTGTCTGATATGGGGGTGTAGTGCTTTGTTTTCAGTGATAAGGATCTTTTGGGTCGACATGTGTCTCGTCTCTGACTGCTGTTTACTGTAGAATTTATTTCGTAGCGCTGCGCCACAGACCAAATTCAAGCTTTACAAGTACCACAAATTTCACAAGATGGTGAAATGGTAGTGAACGATGTAAAGCAGAGGAAAACCGCTACTAGCACGTTCTATGTTTTCATATTATTTTTTATTCGCTACCTGCCCAACTAATGCAATTTTGTAGCGTATGTATCCCTCTGTCGACCAAATGCCACTTTAAAGCTATTTTATTTGTACAGTTGTTCACTGTTGTGCCTTACTTCATCTCTAAATCCTGTCATTTACTGCTGGAAGATGATACAAGTGCGCCGTGGCACCGTAAGGACTCTGCAAAATATTTTTCTCCGTCGGAACTGGACGGAAGGTTCATATGGAACTTCGAAGCTGCCTTGTCTGAATCCGTCTCAGTTGTCTTGGAATAATCGTTATGATGAAGAACAAAAATAAGTTTAACATTCCAATGAAAAGAAACGTGCAAAAGAAATTCAATGTTTAAATACGATATTGTCAGTAAATGACCATGAATTTGACTATTTTGTTCAGTGTGATGATTCGTTTTGAGTTTGCTTTTTTAGGCACTTGTTTCTTTTTGAATTTAAAGTGTAACTAAACCGTTTCAATTGAGAACAAGTGTCTTATCCGAATAGACCTTGCTTGCCGTTAATTCGTTAGGATAGCAACTCAGAGTTGGACACCCTTCCTCTCTCGCTACTGGTATGGAAATTAATTATGTGAAAATTCAACATAATTTTTTTGGGGGGAACAGCTGATATGTATTCAATATGAGGAATTTCCTTTTTTTCGTCTTACTTTTTTCTCCCATAACAAAAAAGAAGAAAAAAAACCGCAAATATCTGCAGTTCTTTTGTTTTGACAAATCTACAATGATAGTGAGACATGTTGATGGTGTCCTGTCTCGTGAAGGATCTTACTAACTGTCAGGGCAACCCACAATTTATATCGAACTGATATCCGAATATACCGAAGGAAATGAACTATAAAATTAGTTACGATTATTACTATTACTCCTTAAATTATGAATTATTTCTTTTCGCTTCGACGAACTGTTAGTCGAAAGACTTGTTACCAGAACAGTATCATGAATGTCTTCAGCGTCGAATAAAAATGCATGTGAAAAAACAGTTTGAAATTCTTGTCTCCTTAACCCTTTAACTCCCAAGATCTGATTGTAAATTCTCCCCTCTAGCTGCTACATATTTCCTTGTAAAATAGCTGCAAGAATTTGGTGTTAGATCAAGATAACAAGTTTAACCTAATAAGTTTGAGTATTCTTATTACCTGTTTGGTGAATAATGTATGGATATTGTAGGGAGAAGTTACATGTTAATCACTTCTAGGAGTTAAAGGGTTAATCAAGTCTGTACTCATTTCATAGGATCTTTCACAGAACACCTTTAACACGACACAATAACATCGCAGAGATTATTTGACATTTTTAACCTTTCCGTCAAAGGAAACTAACCTAAAAATACCATCGCAATATGGCAAAGAAGTAAAACGTTTCTTTAAATATAGACAGAGAATTAAAACGAGGTTGCCTACTTTGTGAATTTAATTACACGCATTATGCAACAATATTCAGTTGGGACCGGTATGACTCTTCACAATGAGATGAAAAGACGACGATGAAAATAATAAAAGAGAAAAAGAAGAAAACACATGGGCATCGGCTATGACTGTACTGTGCAGTCTGTTTTAAAATTTATTAACAACTCGGAACTGCACAGACGAACAATCCCATTTAGAAATTGAGAAGCCAAGTCATGGTTGGTGCATCTTGAAAAATTTGGCGAAGAATTTTCAACCGAGTTCGAAATTTTATAACCGTTTCATTCTTTTCCATCCTTGCCCCACCACAGTTTAATGCTCCCTTGTGTTTTTCTTTACAGTTTATCTAATAGTTTTTAGCATTCTCTAAGTTTAAGATTTCTCTGCCTAATGTGAAACATTACTTCTAATAGAGTCTCAATGGAATGAAGGCTTACAGTTAAACTTCAGGCCATTTTATGGCTAAAACTTAACTTCCTTCCTTTGTTATTAAAAGAAAAAAAATTTTTCGGTTAACATTTTACGGCTAGCCGTTTTACTGCTACTGGTTAACCTCATTGAGACCGTCCTGAGATAGTTACAAGGGACCTTAAGCAACCCAGGACGGCGACACCAACGAGAACGTAGCAAAAAAAAAATATCTAAGGAGCAGAACAATAGCTCAACACGTGCGTTTTAAAACTATGTACATTTCTAAGCCGTCCTCTGAAAAATAACGTGAAATCATCAAAATTTGTGTGGTCTGAGAAAGGAAACCCCGACGACAAATTATTTAAGTTTCCATTTGGAATTCAACGTCGCCCTCGTTCGTTATGCTGAGGTTAACTTGTGGCGCCGTAAGAGATATATGGTAAGCACATCCAGTCATTCGCGAAATTCCAACTAAAAATACATATTCATTTTTAAATAGACATCTTCCTTAGCGTTGCCGTCCTAACTTCTAAAGATCCCTATTGTCGCTTGAAACTGAATTTCGATCCATTTACGACTTTCTCCCTGCTATTCCTTTTGCTTTTCGGGTCCAATCTCTGATAGGCTGGTGAAAGAAACAAGTCACCAAAGAAGACAGAGGGGGAGGAGTTTCTTCGCAAACTCAGATGAACGGAGCCTATTAATCTTCAGTGCTGCCGACAAAAGGGTCAGCGGTTGGGGATCCTAGTTGGTAGAGGACCGCAAACAACGTCTACGCATGTGCAAACGTTGTAATGACCAGGTTATGTGCTTTCAAGCTGCCAGAACCGTGTTTCCTCGCCCGTGTTACCAACAACCACAAAAGCCAGTAAATCACGGCATTTAAGAAGCATCTAACCTCTTTGTTAAGGCTCAAAACAGACAGGATACCCGCCTGAAATATGCTTTGAATCCGAAAGTCTCAAATTTTCTTTCCCACTACTTTTGTTTCCTTCCACAGATTTCTATGAAAGTTTTAATTCTGTTTCGTTTATTTTGCGTGGCAGCGGTTGCTTCTTTTGTATCCCTTTAAAATATCGCGCGGGAAATTGGCGCGCGGCCGGCCAGAAATGATCTCCTCGCGCATGCCCGACGTTTGACCACTGTGTTTGCTGGGAGTTAGCGCGCTTTCTACAACTTAATCATAGTCACTGACTACGATAAAACAATCTCATTAAAAAAATGTTTATTGAACACACACAGTCAAGCAAGACTGCGAACAGGTCTATAAATATACCATAAATACAATTTAAATACACATCTTTCTTAAAATTTCTTATTTTGTTTGTAAATTGTTAAAGGCTGGAAACCACTACAGAAATTCAAAACGTGAAATCAAGTTTACAAAGGCGTAGTACAAAATAATTGGCGGGAAAATTTCAAATCTATCTAATAAGCATTAATTAAACAGCTTTAGACACCATGCGCAGAATTAACACACTAAGCCATTAGTCAAGGTCTCGTTCAGCGCGATATAAGTACAAGGTACACTTTGAAAAGCGCTTAGCCAAAGACTTAGTCGAGGTTATTCTGCTGAGAAAAATTAGAACCTTATCAATCTTAGGAGTTAGAGGGTTAAACTTTAAAACCCTGTCACTCCCAAGATCTTAATAACCATGGTTTCAGTTCTGAAAATTTGTTATCAAATCAAGAGATATACACTGGTTGGTATTTTCTTTTTCTTCTTATCACCTTACTGCTTGTAAATGTTTCAATCCTACGAAGGAAAATTCCGTTTTGGTCACTCTTCAGAGTGAAAGAGTTAATGGAATAAGGGAATTAAGGCTACTGTAGCAACCGCTCTCTTGGATGTCACGCAACACTCGCCCTAAAGTCGCTCTGCATGACATTTCCAAAAAGAAAGCTGGAACGGAGACCACTAAAAATATGTTGAGTTATTTTTCCGAAACAAAAATAAACTAATTCAAGAAAGTTTGCAATTTCTCTATCATTAGTGTACGTTACTGCTAATTTCAAATTTAAGAAATTTGACAATGCAATGTTACAAATCTCAAAAATACGCAAATCTTGCCTGCGATACAGCCCAAACTCTATTTACAAAGCTTTTCCCAATTTTTTTTTCTGTAATTGATAATTTAACTATTTGGTTTTGTTGAAGTACTTGCCGTGAGAGAAATTAGACAACTTGTACGTTAAACAACTACACCAAAAACCAGAATTACCCGATTTTCTGACCGCCTCTTTTTAGTTTTGAAAAGAGGAAAGTAATCCCCTTAAAGTACTAAAGCACGAAGTACTCAGTAGAATTATAAAGTAATTTAGGGAATCTTTTTGTCATTGCTTTTCAAATTACACTTCAACAACATTTCAACAATACTTTGAATATGTAAAAACTAAAGTTTCTCAGGAAAAAAAAACTGAAAAGATTTCTCTTAATGCCGTGCAATATTGTTACTGATGAAAGCGATACAATGTAAACTTAAATATCAAAGCTTCTGGCCATTTATTTTTTCCCCGAAAGAAACGTCAGTTGTTTTTTTCCATGCCCTGCACTCGCCTTTATCTCATATATCGTCCACTCTTGTCAAGCTTAAGAATTTTCGCAAGACGCTGTTTTGTCGTGGTTACAGCCTTTTGACGTCCTCTTTTACCCGGGACTGCACAGGAAGTAAAAGTGAATGACAGTCAAAACAGTGGTATGGTGGGTCGAAGGGTGAAGGGGGGGGGGGTAGGTAGGAACGGCTCGGATCCCCATCCCCCGAATAAATCTATCTAATCCACCTTGAGACTCTGTAATATTTTCTTAGGACCCCCGGCCCCCTCAATGTCAGTTAATTGGCAGTCAATTTTCTGCCCCCAATACTCTTTTGGCGTCGACTGATCCTCCCCCCTTCCCCTAAAAACCATGTGATCCTTGCAAAATCTTCCACCCACCCGCATAATGACTGACCCCTTATCCCTTAGTGTGCGATTCAGAGGTGATATTGTAAGGAGAAATTACATGCTATCCCCCCTTAAGGTTTAAAGGGTTACACGAGCGCAGTGGTGGATCCAGGGGGAGGATCAGGGTGGGGGGCGGGGCGGATTAGACCCCTGAGCCCAGAGTCCTGTTGGGTTTTTACGACTTGTCTGACAAAAGAGTTATTACAACGATGTAATGGCAAATTAAAAATGAAGTGTTCAAAATTTACCTGTTTTTAAAGATTTCTTAGCTTACAAAGGCAGCAAACGTAAAACGATTCTATTTTTTTGTTTTTGTTTTTTTTTTCCAAATAAAACTTTGAATGTCCCCCACCCCTCCACCCCTACACTGCAGGTCTGATAACGCAAATATAGGACGTCATTTTCTAGATCTGACTTATGTACAACTCCCTACGAACAAAAACTCACAGCAAAACATATAGAAGCAAGCTGTCAACAAAGAGGAGGGCATGACCGTAGATATTAACCAGCCTCACCTTTTGCGTTGCTATCAGGTTTTGAATTACTCGGTGTTGGATCTGGTACTGAGCCTTTTTCACTTCCGTTGAGCGCTCCTGAATTATTTCCGCTTGAGCTTCCTCGGTCACTTCCCTTGGCACTTCCAACGGAAGGAGAAGGTCCCTGTAAACGAAAGATCGAGAGAATGAGACTTACAAAGTGTGACTACCATAGCCTCACCGCAATCCCAAACTAAACCCTCTTTTCAAAAAATTTGCTTTTGCCAGGCAGAAGGTTTGGCTCAAAGCTTGAGCCTACATCAATAATCCAAAAGTTAAGGAAAAAGTAAGAACTGAAACTGTTTAACCCTATTACACCATCACATCAGCGTGCATATTATCCGTACCGTTCTCTCTACATTTCCTAAGATTCTGAAAAGGAAAATTTGTTGAACAATCGATAGCTTTCTTAGTTTGTGGTCATTTCCCTTATTCTCGTGACATCAATATGTGATTCAGGGGTGATAATGTAAGGAGGTATTAGACACTGGTCATCATTTGGGGTCAAAGGGTTAACACAAAAATCGATATAAACTCGAGTCTCGTAAAACCAAAGAATTGGCATAATGCAATCGACAATTATACAATGCCACAAACGTTCGATTTTTCACAAGAATGACACTACTTAAGAAGGACATACATTGAAAAATTTCCAAGGTAACAAATTAAAAAAAAAATGGAAAGTACGTTAATAATGGTTCCACTCACCTCAGGAGCGCTTTCTTCTACTGGTGAATTCAGCAAACTACCGGTGGTAGTTCGTCTGGATTTCGGACGAACTGGCCTCTCTTCCCGCGATGGCGAACAATGCAGTTTACCTGTTGAGCAAAACATGGCCATTTTTTCCAATCTTGTTTGTTTACTTGAACGTGACATTACGTGACCGATGTTTTAGCTGTGTGTGACCAAGGCAAAACCTGCGCACTGCTCAAGTACAAGTGAACTCAACACAGCTAAGACATCAGTTAAACAAAAACTTTGAGTTACTTACTTTTCGGATTCCACGTCGAGTCAACTTTTTCGCTCTTTTTCTTTCGTTGGCCGGGCTTCCATGAATTATTTTTGTCTTCCTCTGTCATCTCAGCGAGCGGTGGATATACTGCGCAGAAAATGAGAAAAACATTCAGGAACTCATCACAAGGAGTCTGAGAGAAATTGACAACAAGTAATGTGCCCAGAGCGCCGGAAAATTTGCCCCTGATTGGTTGAGAGAAAGGCGCGATTTTTTTGGGCCAATCATAAACAAGGAGTCCACGAGACAGTGATAACAAGTAAACTGCCCGCAAGACAACGCAGGTGACCAAGTCGTGATTGGTTTTAAAGTTGCATCTGATTGGTTGACAAAAAGGCTCGAGTTTACCGGAACAATCATAAACAAGGAGTCAATGGGAAAATGGTAACAAGTTAACTGCCAAGAGCACGGGAAGACGCGGGTGACCAAGTCACGATTAGTTTTAAATTTGTATCTGATTGGTAGAGAAAAAAGGCGCAAATTTTGTGGACCAATCAAAGATCTTGGATTACTTTAAATACTCGATTAAAAACTGCTCTTTCTCTTGACCAAAATTTTGTCAGATTGATGCACTTAAAGCATGAGGTGCTCATCAGTAACGTAGAATTGTTTTCTTTGTTTGCCTGATTGCATCCAAGGTTTTCGCTATCACGAACTCTAGTTTATCTCCTCACCGTATTTACTGTCGTGGAAATATTCTGGGTCTCCAAATCCAAGATCTTCGTCTTCGCCCTCCGAGTTACTCTCGCCTCCCGCTCGCTTGGAGTTCAACTTGGAAGTACTGTGTGCTACAGTTGAATGCGAAGACTGGGCACTAGCTGATTTTCGTGCGGTACTGGGGATAGATTGGGCGGATGAAGATCCGAGTGAACTGACACCAGCGCCAGCACTGAGACCGAACAAGAGGGTTTTGGCCGCTTCTATTTCCTCCCTGATGAAAGGACCAAAAATATATTTTTTAATCAACGTCACGCTCTCAAAAGCTCGACCTTCATTTGTTCTACAGACATGACGTAACCTAATGACATCAACGTGACGTCATGTACCGACCCAAGCTCTCTCAACGTAATTGAAAGGGGATTTTGTCTCGAGCTAATTTTATTGTGTATGCCAACTCTTACTTAAGATCAGTCGCTGAAGTCCAGTCCAAACCGGCCACAGGTTGTTGAGTCCGGGGAAATGATCCCGTGGCCTGGAGCCCAAAAGTGGTCGCCAGGCTTCCATGTGTCGTTCTTAACTGTGCAGGGACGAAGCTGGGAGTTCCCCCGAGACTGAAGTTAAGTTCATTATCTGAGGTGTCGCTGCTACTCTCTGTCGTGTGGGTGGGGTAGGAAGGGGCGTTCTTGTTAGGCATGTTGTTCACTGTGGATTAATTAGAGGAAGATTCGTAAGTGGATTGTAAATTGCATGTAACGGTAGATATGCAATTCAGTTGATGCTGAGATCTTTTCCGTGGCAAATTCGTGCAAGTTAGTCTACTTCAGCAAAAGAAATCATTTTCAACTGTACGTACAGACCTCAAAATCAACACTTCTCGGTGGACATTGATAGAATGTCTTGCCCCCTACCCTTTCAACAGCCAGGCAAAAGAAAGTGTCTCCGTGGTCTTTATGTTTTCACATGGAAAATCAGTAAGGGTCTGGAAAGAAGTATTTCTTCTCTCTCGTGCCGCTTTTCAGCTCGCCCTCACAAACTAACTGCTTGCCTAAAACAGGCTAATGTCAAGAGGGGCAATGTAAAACATAACAGCTTACTGGACAGTTTCAGCCGCAGTGGTCCTTGCTTGGACGGAGAACAGGAATATGAACCATCCGGGATATCGCTTCGGTCAGACACCTCTTGCGAAAGCGGCTGGAATTTTTTACCTGCCATTTTTCTACTGTTGCGATTGTTATTACTATGAAAGAATAAACAGCAGAGCGTTGGAATATTTTCTCGCCCTTAATAACACAAGCGTAATATAAGGAAAAGTTTATACTGCGATCTGTTGAGGAATCATTCTCTTCCGAACTCCAAGTGACAAATGTATGTTGGAGCGTTGTAGAACCAAAATATCGAAACTATCACAACAGCCAATCAGAACGATGGAAAATATCAATGAGAGCCAATGAGGGCTCAAAATAAAATCCTGTAAGCAAACTGTCTAAAGCGCGGGAAAACCGAGTGGAAGACAGAAATTAAGCAGGAAAAGCGAGTAAGAAAAAAGCGTTTGGTTTTAAGCTTGCATGTTGATTGGTTGAGGGTGTCGCGCGAGTTTTCTAGACAATCATAATATAATCTCGGATTAATTACCACAGTTATATAACTCTCGAAAAGGAAAATAAACAGAAGTCGGAGAAAAAAAAAAAAACAAAAGCAACAACAACCAAACCTAGAGGCTGAATATTAGAGCTGGCTGTATTTAAAAAACTCACTTGATAATTTTTCCATTCGATACAACAAGCTTCAGCCCAGAGTCCACTGAGGCACCGAGCTGCGCTTTGTTGCCATTCGACTCCATTTCGCGTGCCAGTGGTTCCTGCGTTCGTGGAATCTTCAGCTTGAGCGAGGGAAGACTTGTTGAAAGTGGATCAGCTTTTCTTTTTAAATCTAATCCAGTGTTTGCTATTCTTATCACGGGTTTACTGTCATCCAGCTCACATTTTAAATATTCCCCGGCATTTTTCGAATTGCAGACATTGTAGTTCTCCGGTTTGGGAGCTTTGATTTTTAGGCGCGGCACAGACCCGTCAACCAACGGCGCAGCCACTGGACTCCCACTTCCCTGTTGACAGTTCTCGTCGATTTTAGGGGTTGAGGGCCTTGAAGTTTTTCCCGATTTCTGAAATCAAAGCAAAATTGTTTCATGATGTTAGCTTACAAACTCTTGCCTAAAATTTTCCCTGAGCACGATTCATCAGCCGGATGGCGCTCTCCAACTTTTAAACGCCCAAGGTCTCGAAGGTAACAATGGATTTTATGAAATAAATAAAGACATAATAAGAAACTACATGAATACAACATAGAATAAATGATACAAGTCCCCTTTGTGGCACATTTAGATTTGGTTAGGTAAAAGCCAAAATAACAGTATTGTAAATAGAGAACACAACGACCACTCGGATCAAAGCATATCATCGCGAGGAGAACTCGACAACGCAATAAGTTTCAATTTTCTGACTTTCAAAGCATGAGGTAAAAGAAAAAGAATGAAAGCCTGGATTGCTTCCGTTCCTCGGTGGAAAATTTCTCTAAACACAAGTGAAGTAGACAAACCTCGGTCTTTTTAAGTTCTTTAGCAATAGACTTAATGAGCTTGCTGGGCGATACACTGTCGGGAATGAAGAACTTGTGAAGCTTCGTGAACGCCTGTTAAATTGAAGACAAATTTAGCAGCATGACAACACGGTATTAAATAAGAAGATACGTTGTTGTTTTAGCCTAGTTATAAGCCTTTTTCTACATCTGGGTAGTTCGTAAGGCCGCAAATTTCTAAAAAAAAAAATTCTTTCAAATCAGCACTAACAATCCTCATGGTATCAACAAACGCTTTTCATTCAACCAATTCATGCTTGTGTTTTCAGGGCTCAAAATTAGCACTCGCAAACTTGCGAAATGCGAGTGGTTTTTCGAAGTTGCGAGTCTAAAAAATATCCTCTAGCAAACATTTGCTAGTTAGGTTCCTTCTTTTGCTAGTAAAAAAAATCTTACTAGCAAAACTTTGCTAGTAGACAAAAAAGTTAAGTTCGAGCCCTGGTTTTCCACGTGGCCATGTTCCCACCAATAGCGCAGCTCCATTTCTCTGTATATAAACAACACACAACCCACAATTCCTCTATTCGTTCTGACGAAGGGCTCGAAACATCCGCTTTAGAAACTCCTAACGGTGGCCAATTTACATTATCAACTCAGTTGATAGAACCAAATTATCCTGTAATAACGGAGCTCGCAGAGCGTAGCCCCATAATTAAACAAAATAGTAGTAACCCATCAAGCCGAAAAAATTGAATGTACGACCGTACAAGGTGCTACTTTTAACATGCGTGGCCAACTGTACCGCGGGCACGCCAACGCCACGGTTTTGTCCAGTAGTCCAGTGGTCAGTGCACTGGGCTCCGAGTCGGACGACCCGGGTTCTAGTCCTGGCGGTAGCAAGGCGTTGGAAAAAAAATGCGAGCTCCGCTTTTAGGCTTAGCTAAATCTATATATTAACCCTCTGACGCAGCACCACAGTTTCTTTAAAAACTTACCCCATTTAAACTAGCAGTGACTGCAGCCTTACCTCTCCTTTAGCGCTCCACTCCTTGAGTACTGCTACGAGGCTGTTTAAACTCTGTATTACACTGATGGGAGGTTTTCTGCCTGCTTCATGGACGGCTGCGCCACAAAACACAACAACAGAAAAGTAATTTGAAAGTGTAGTCGGATCGCCCAGGTGAAAGAAGTCACTGATGTTTAGACAACCTTGGCGCAAGTCATCATCAGAGTCGAGTGAAGAGTTATTAGCGAATCGAGTGATGTAAGTCCAGTTCAGTTTTGCCATAATGTAAGACTCGTGTAGCGTAAGTCGGTCAACACAGCGGTCGAACGCTTGGCATGCGCGAGGGGATCAATTTTTGGCGCCGTGCGCCAATTTCCCGCCTAAAAATTTCTGAGGAAAAGATAAGAAACAACCGCTGTTTCGCAAAATAAGCAAAAGTAATTGAAATGTTCCCAGAAATCTATAAAAGGAAACAAAAGGAACACTCAAAACTTTCCGAACACAACTAAAGCTTAATCAAGCACAGGCATCCTGTTCATTTACCATTCTGCTTTAGTCTTTATTAATTGCTAATATGTGCATTTGGTAAACTTTTCGTGTTTCGCAATTACATTATTTTCTGATAGTGTCGATAATGACATCTAACTGGTCGTAAGAGTGCTAAAAAACAAAACTGCACATAGAAATCCTTTCCTTACCCTTTATCTTATCGAGTAAATACACGGCAGCATACCAGTTTATCGTCTCAAAACACGGATGAAGGAATTTATCAGGAGTCTTGAGTTGTCTTTCGAGTTGATAAACCCTGAGAATATTCAACAATATGCGCATCATCCTCAAGAAGCGATTAAAACGTAACTTCTCCCCATAATATTCATACATGATCCGGCAAACAGGTAATAAGAATACTAAAACGTATCAGGTTAAAGTTGTTATCTTGATCTAACACAAAATTCTTGTAACTAATTTACATCAAAATATGTAGCAGCTTGAGGGGAGAATTAAGAATTAGATCTTAGGAGTTGAGGGAGTTAACCAACGACTTAATGATTGACGTAAAATTCAGATTAGACAGATTATCCAGAAAACAGGCGACGAAAAGAGGAAGAGGATCAGTGGGAAGGTTTTACCGTGATATAACACCAAAATCTCTTCAGTAGTTTCCAAAGAAATGTAGAGAAGGTAGAAGGGAGAATTACTAGGTAGATCTTAAGCATTGGACTTACCTCAGCTGAAGTTCAGTGTTGTAAGTACAGAGAAAGTTCCCTCCAAACACCAGTGAATCAACTGGTGTAAATACTGCATGAACCCAGCCTGAAATGATGAAAACATTTCGCTGGTAAACGTCATTCTCGCTGCACAAAAAGTGAACTAGAGGTTTCAATTGAAGCCGCCGGTTTCCAGCGGTCTGCCACCGTCCGTTTAGCCAACAAGTAGGCTTTAAGTTTTTGGGTTTTGCCTCACGGTACACCCGCCTATTACACCATTCTCAGCCGCTTACGGAGAAAGCTATTGAAACCACTGATAGACCACACTAATGTGACACAATGTGCAGTGCTCTTGTGTTCTACATGTATTCTGTGCTCTAAATCTCGCTACTCAAAGCATGTACAATGTAGGCTGACTCTGAATGAGTTCGCATTTTAATTAAGTAACTGATGATAGTTCCTGAGAGAAAAAAAAACGAGGGAGCTGTTAGTGGGGTCGAAACCTGACCCAAACCTGCTTGCTGTTTTCCGCTCCTCCGTCACTACTGCGCCGTATGTTAACTTCGCTCCGTTTTAAAAACTGAACGCCTTTAACCCTTTAATTCCCAGACCAAATTTGCAATTCTCCTTACTGTCAACCATACAATTCCTATAATGTTAGTTCAGAGAATTTAGTATTGTATCATTTAATTAGCCCCAAATTGATAGTTTTCTTTATTCTCATCACTTTTCTGGTTGATTTTGTATTGATATTGTAAGGAGAACTTCTGTCTTGGTCTTTCGTGGGAGTTAAGGGTTAACAGGCTGCTTCAATTCATACACACCTGTTGGGATAAACATGGTTTGGCCTGGTTTTACTGAACACTTGTAGCAGTTCTTCACCATATCACCAAAGAACACCTCGCTTTGCCGAGCAGAGGAAACCCATTTTTCATACTTGGTGAAATTTTCTTCACTGGGTTCAACAAAGTAAAACACTTTTTCACCCTGAATAAGTGAGGAATTTGTGTAATTAAAACAATATACAAACTAATTTTATGTCAACATACCTGATATATGTCTATGTACCTGAATAATGATGTAACTTAAACATTTTCTCTTCCAAGATCTCATCAGTAATTCTCCTTACTGTCTGTCAATCAATTCTTTAATGTTAACTTGGAGAATTTGATATTGGATCAACTGGTAATCCCCTGATTGATATTTCTCTTTATTCTCATTACTTTTCTGTTTGATTTTGTATTGATATTGCAAGGAGAAAGTCTGCCTTGATCACTCTTGGGAGTTAAAGGGATAAGTTTTCTTTTACAAATACAATTCAAATACAATTCTCATAAATGGATGTCATTTACCTTAATCATCTGGCTCATAAAATATTTAGATCAATCTCAGATCTAAACAACTGCACACCCAACCAACTGCACACCCAACCTTCCCCTAACTCAACAACAGGCAATTGATAACAAGAAAGGGTTAATGTTAGGTTGAGGGGGGGGGGGGGGGGGTGTTTAAGGTACATAAAGCTGCACAGTTGCTTAGATATTGACAATGATCCAAATATTCCCCACCTGAGGTGTAATTATTTTCTTTGGCACTTAAATTGAAGTTTGTCTCTCCATATGGCTTTCATATGTTGCTTTTTCTTTTCTAGACATTTGCTGAGTTTTAGATAATTCTCAGTTTCCTCACAGCCATTTTTTGTAATTAATTTGAACAGATATTCATGTTTAACTTCACTGACCTTCAAAACATGATACCACACTGAGGTGCCTCCAAAGTCAACATGGAAATCTGTGTATGAATTCTTCACACCCATTAAACAGTATTTCTGTACCAAAGGCTTCTTGTGTGGGCTGTTAGGGATAGTAAAAACAAGTGAATCCTGTCATAGTTTCCCTCAGATACATTGTATTTCCTTGATTTAGTGTCCATGCTTTAATATGTGCCCTTCCCTTCCCTCCCCCAAATACTGGTAAGCATCCATCCCCTTGGTCATAATATCAAACAAATGCCCCCCTTGATTAAACACCCCTCTCCTCCCTCACTTTCTTAACCCTTTACACCCTAAGATCATTATGCATATTCTCCATACTGTTCTCTATACATTTCCCAGGTTCTACCAAGGAGAATTTGTAAAACAATCACAGAGCTTTATTAGTTGCTGATCATTTCCCTCATTCCTGTGACTTCAACCTTTTATTCAGGGATGATATTATAAGGAGAAATTAGAACCTTGTCACTCTTAAGGAATAAATGTGAAATAGTGGGTAAACATGGAAAACCTGTATCTATTGCCACTTTATTTATAACCTTTTAATCTTCAACTACAGTGGAATCAATACTGGAGAATGGTTTGTTAGAAAGCATCCCCATGATCAAGCGCCCTCCTTCCAATGAGTGCCCCTCTTTATAGCTAAAGTTCTAAATGAGCACCCAGGCACTTATTCAAGGAAATTCCGTCTGTGTATTAAATGGTCAATCTTCTAAAAGGCTAACGCTACAATCAGAATGCATATTCTTCACACTGTTCTTTAACCATTTTTTTCCTAAGGTCCTGACAAGGAGATTTGTTTAACAATCAAAGTTTCTTACAGATGTAGGTTGGTGATCATTTCCTTTATTCTCATGATCTTACTGAATGATTGAAAAAGTAAATGTAAGGAGAAATTAGATGCTGGTCACTCAAAGGCTTAAACCTTTCACACCCAACATATCATTACTAATTCTCCTTACTATCTGCAATATAATTCATGTGATGTTAGTTCTGAGAATTTGGTACTAAATCAACAAGTATTCTCATTGCTTGTCTGCCTGTTATTGTATTGATATTGTAAAGAGAAATTCTGTCTTGGTCGCTCATGGAAGTGAAATGGTTAACAAATACTCAGTAATTGATATTTTCTTTATTCTCATCACTCGGCTCCTTGATATTGTTTTAACACTTTAAGGAGAAATTCTATCTTGGTCATTTATGAGACTTAACCCTACCTGTCATCAGGAAGATCTGTTGGCCACACATGACTGGCCCAATCAATATCTCGCACAATGGCTGGAGCATGAACAAGAGACGACAAACTGAAAAAAATAAGAGCCCAGAGTAACATCAGTATGGTAATATGATAATGGCAATAGTATATTATTATGTGCCAATCAATTTGAACCTTCAAACCCAACCTCCACCATACATTATTATGTGTTACTCAATTCAAACCTTCAAGCCCTTCAACTCCCAAACAACCCACTGTCATCCATGCCCAGGAGGTGGGGAATTTTTAAACCTTGTCTGGCTGAGGTAGGGAATTTGAACCACAAACGCCAATCTTTCCTGGGAAATACAAGTGTTTAACACTTAAATAAGGACTGAGGTGTTGAAGGTAAAGTTTTTACAAGCAGATGGCTCAGAAGAAAAGGTCCATAAGTTCTAGTTTTGCCTTTTTCAAAAAAAAAAAAACAAAACAAAACAATTATCAGATTTAGCACTTGGGTGGGGCATTTCAACACAATTTAGAAATAATTGATTACTGGTAGAAAGGAAGGAAGTGAACTAACTGCTGCATACATGTACATGTATTATACAGAAAAATTTCCATACCTTGTATTAGAGAACTCCAAACTAATAACATTCAAAATCTTTTTCTTGGTAGGACTAACATAATATTCAGTCCATTCTCGCATGCGCATACGATGATCCTCCTGCAATTTTTTTCAGACAATTACACTTGTAAACTAGACCAACTGATTCAAGTGAATAAAAGGGGTACCTTTCTTAAGAAACTGTGGTGCTGCATCAGTAGGAGAGTATAACAAGGTAATTTACCATTATCAACTGAGTTGAAAACGAAAATTGGTTTTGGGCATTAGCCTGTAGTTGAAACCTCAGCTTTGAAACTCTTTACAGTGGCCAATTTACATTATCAACTCAGTTGATAAGACTAAATTACAACTGATTCCAACACTTGTTTAATTAACCCTTCAACTCGCAAGATCTCATTAGTAATTCTCCATACTGTCTGCCGTATAGTTCTTGTGATGTTAGTATTGAGAATTTGGAATTGGATCACCTAATTATCTCCTAATTGATATTTTTCTTTATTCTCATTACTTGTCTGCTTGACATTGTACTGATTGTGTAAGGAGAAATTCTGTTTAGGTCACTAGTGGGACTTAAAGGGTTAATAATGACTCATTCCGCTCTACATGATACAGAACAGCTACAGATTAGTTCTATTGTCATCTTCATTGCAAACTACAAATGTACCCCATTTTCCACCTCTCCTAAACAGATCTCTTGCGCAACATGCCAAAACTGCTAAAAATACATCACATTCTTTGGAATGAAGAACTTTTGGGTAGAAAAAGCGGCAAGTTAACAATGTAAAATTAATATATTGAAAAAAGGTATCATGTTACAAATGCATATCACATTGCTTTGCAGATTCATTGAATAACAAGCAGTAGCAGTATATTTGCTACAGATACACTGTAAACTAGCTCATACTAACGAGACAGATGAGTCAATGCTCGAGTGTATATGTGCCCAATTTAGACGTGCTTAGGTTATATTTACTTATGTTCACATTAATGTGCATTTTACATGTGTTTTTAGTCAACACATATCTGGGCGATACTGTACATTTGTAGGTATCATAACACATGTGTGGATGTGCACATACATGATAATGAATTCATTCTGAGAAATTAAAGATATATGGGAAGTAATTGGCTTTTACCTGTCTGCAGACATCAATGACATCTAATTCCCTCATAGAACCTGCAACATATATGAATTACTGTTAGTCCAGTTTACTAAACACAAAAAGAAGATCTTGATTTTACTTGAAGAACAAGATCTTTAACCTTTTAACTCCTGGAAGTGATTGGCATGTACATGTAATTTCTATCTATAATGTCCATACATTACCCAGCAAACAGGTAATAAGAAAACTAAAACTTATTCAGAAGAAGTTGTGATCTAATGCCAAATTCTCATAACTGATTTACAAGGAAATGTGTAGTAGCTAGAGGGGAGAATTGATCAGATCTTGGTAAATTAAGGGTCACAGTAATCTATTTTAGCTGATAATTCTCAGTTTTGCTTGATTTTAGGTTTACACCTGCACCAAAAAGAAACGTATACTAGCTAGAAAACTTAAAATTTCAACTTTTCTAACTACTAACATACCAACATGTCTCTCAACATCCATGACAGTAAATTTTTTGTCTGGTATAACCATTCCCAAACCTTCTTTATTGGTAACAAGGATAGGCCTGTTGAAGCCATGTGTCTCAAAAAACTCTGTAGACAGATCTGTGCCATTTTCAAACTTGAGAATAACATTATCCTCCCTAAACAGAAAGACAGAATTTGATAAATGTCCACATAACTGTTTCGTGCTCCTTCAGTTACAAACTTCATGCAGCTGTGTTTCTTTTCACCAACTCTATTTATGATGCAACAAATAACACACTTTTCTCTGACATATCTCAGTGTGCCGGGATCTTAAGTCCTGGAATCTGATTGACTACTACCATGCCCAAAACTGTCCAGCTTCTAATAACATAGACTATAGTCTTTAATTTCCTCAGCGCCAATTGTGGTAATGAGGAAAAACAACTAGCAAACAAAAAAAAAGTAATTTACTGGTCTAGATTTATCTGTACGGGAAAAAAGTGTGCACATGGCCTTGGGTACAGCCCTCGGCAAAGACCTTTGCACAGTTTTTTCCCCATACAGACATCCTGTTGAGGTAATGACATTTACAAAAGTACGTCAGAGGTATATTTTGTAAGATACAATTTAAAGTATTCAGGGTTTTAACCTTTAACCTTTACTTTTTCAGAGTGACTGGCTTCTAATTGCTCTTTACAATATTACCCTTGAAACAAATATTTATATAAGGGTCATAAGAATAAAGGCAATGATTTCCAATTTCAGAAGGTCCTGTTTGTCAATGACACTCTCCTTGTCGGTATCATAGGAAGTGTAAAGAGAACAGTATGGAGAATAAGGAGACTGATCGTCTGGTGTAAAATTTAAAAAATCCAGTAGCAGGAGAAAAGTACAAGCACAATTTAACCCTTTACACCATACATTAGTATGCATATTCTGCATACTGTTCATCATACAATTCTTAAGGTGCTGACAAGGAGAATTTGTTTAACAATCAATAGATTCTTTAGTTGGTAATCAATTCCTTTATTCTTGTGATCTTCAAGTGTGATTCAGGGAAGTTATTGTAAGGAGAAATTAGATGTCAGTCACTCTTAGGGGTGAAAGGGTTAACAGAACAATAATCTGCACATAACAGGCCATCAATTCTGTGCAGTCACACTGCAATCTTCCCACATCTGATGGCTAATAATCATCCTGAATATTACCAGAAAAATAAAATAGCTGATATTAGAGAAAAGACACACTGACTGTGATGGGAATAAGGAAAACTTCTTTACTCACTTGAATTTTCTGGTTTTTAGCTCCTTGATAAATGCAACTGTCCCTGCTTGGATGGCCTAGATGAAACAAAAAGCCAACTTGTCACCAAAAAAAAAAACTAATGCATACAAAGACATAAGTCACCTAATGAGATATAAATCAATCATGCAGATTTAGTTCATGTATGTACAGTTAAGTCCTGATAACAAGAACTCTTGCTAACTCAAACCAAAATTGATGTCACCTGGATTTCCATCATACAATTATTGCAATGTTACCCTCTGTACCTTGAACCCTTGATAACTCAAACCACCTACTAACTCAAAGCAATTTTCGTTTCCCTACAGGTCATTTTCAAAAAATTTTTACTCACGCTAGCTTGAACCATGTCAAAACATGTCTGTCAATACAAGACAATCAGAACGAACAGTGTACTGCAGTTCAAAACATTTATGTTACATAAAGATTTCTGCAGTAATTTGGTGTTCCATTTTCACTCAACTTCTCTATGATTAAATTTGAGTAAAACACATGCTGTATGAATAGAGAAATGAGCAAACACCATTTTTGCCTTATTTCTAGTCCTTTGTTTCCCAACTGCGATAATTTAAACCTTTTTCAATTTCCCTTGAAGGTTTGAGTCATTGGGATTCGACTTTACTGACATTTCCACAACCTTACCAGAAGTGATAAAAAATTAAAGTTTCCCAAATATTATTGCCCAGAAATAACATTTTTACCTTTGACCCATCATCTATTTCACTATAGTCATGACGATGCCAATTGCGTCTTTTCTTCACTGAAAGCAAGAAAAGCACAAGTCAGTAAATGGTTTGAACTTTGAGGTAACATTTGATCATGCATAGTTCATGTGAGGATAGGCCCAAGAGGAACTGTTGTTACTTGAGGTGACTGACATTTCCATGACCTTGGCGGAAGCCAACAAAAGAGACGAGTTTTTCTCAACAACTGTTCAGACAACCCTAATGATGATTTCTGCTAAGGTTGTCAGAGGTAAGTCACCACTTCCCCAACAGTCCCAAGTTAAAGAAATAAATATGAAGTAGACAGGTGAGGCACTGCTGAGAAAGGTATTAATTTGGACAAGAGTAATCAGAAATAGTTTAAAGAAGAAAATAAAGCCAAAATAAAAGTAGTAATATTAATTACAAGTTCACCGCTATGTAGCTAAAAATCGTTAACCATAGTTTTTACCGCACGTGTTGGATAGTAAAATAAAAAATTAATCATACAATTTAAAGCGGAAGGAATCCAAATATAGTTCGCTATGAAAAGATTAAAAAATTGCGAAGAGGATTTGATGGTTTAACCCGCATGGTTTGTACAGCTTTCGCGAGACTTCAATTCATTGTTTACCATTTCAAACAACTTTGATTCAATACACAAACGCTTAAGTTTTGAAACTTCAGCATCCAAAATTAAAGAAATTACAGATATCAGCATTTGAAATAATCCTTGTGATTGGATAGAAAAGTCTCAGAAACCTTCGAACATAAACTGACTTGTGTTGCATTTACATTAATATCCTTTTTATTACTTCTGATTCTTTCACTCAAACAGGTGATCTCATTGACGGCAGTAAGCTGTGATCTGCACGTTCAATTTTGTCTCAGGATATGATTCGCTTTCTCTTAATCGAGATCAACTCTGTAAGCGGCATATTAACCGAAGGAAAATCTACCGGATTTAAAATCTTTTTTTGAAATTACGGGTAAAAAAAACCAACGGACATTTTTTCCAAAACAGTTAGGGAGAAGAGTGAGCACCGGAAAACCTTCCTATGTATTGCTTTAACCGATCGAAGTTACCCTTCCAAAGTATTTCACGTGCTGAAAAAAACACTGCTGACTTTGTGCATTCTTATACCTTTTACTCAGTCATAAAGATAGTAAAGATGTCATTTACTTACAGGTTAGTGGCCCGTGTAGTAACGCACAATCCGGGCAGTGGTACCGCTCGATGTCTGAAGCTTGATGCTCTTCAATACCAACACAACTAAAAAAAAGGCAGTTTAACGATTATTTTAGAGCGAAAGAACAACTAGCCGCTAAGGAATAGAGATACCGACCTTCCGTGATACCATTCTTCGCAAGAATCGCACTGGATCATAAACTGAGTCGGGTCGTACGGTTGTCTACATACACAATACAAAGGGTCCGCCATGTTGTTTCTCTTTGACACGATATGACGTCATGATCAGAGTGGCCTCGCTTGTGTTCGAAGACTTCTTAGTCTATATGGAAGCGACCGCTCAGTTGGGAACAGTACTTGAGTAGATTTGAAAATATGGTCTGAATAAAATTCAGGCCTGTGCGGGATTTAAACCCATGACCTCTGCGATACCAGTGCAGTGCTCTACCAACTGAGCTAACGAGAAAACTGGGAGCTAGTCATTATGTTGGTTCCAACACAGACACTCTCTGCTGAAGGACACTCGCGTAGTTACAGTCACTTTTTTCGCAATTCGCCTTTTTGCCTCCTTGTCAAACTATGTATTCACACATTCCTGTGGATGCTCCCTCGGAAGCAGACACAAACACTTTTAAAAGTGAAAATTTGATTTTTCATTTGTTTGCGCTCGCTTGCGTGCGGACACTGTTCACAATGTACCTTTTTGCCAATGGATTGTTTTTAAGAAGCACCAAATTACCTGTATGGACGGTAGCAATATAGAAGAGTTATACTGTATACTTTTTTTCATTTTTTTCTTCTTTTTTTTTTTTCGAGTTTCAACATTGACGACAATAAAGAGTCTCAGTTGCTATTTTTGGATACTCAATAAAACATGTAATTAACACCCGCTAATTGACTCCCCTGTAAGTGAACATGCAACCTATTTTTCTGTGGTGTCCACTTTTGAGAATATATCTTTTCGGCAGACATTTCAACCAACAGACATTTTTTCCAATTCCCGAGGGTTTTCGCTTACGAGAGAGTTGACTGTATTTGAATTTGATGTCTTGTGTCACTCGGCGCTGCCTCCACCACCTCCACCGCCTACTGCGCTCGACGTTAGGAGAACGCGTACTATTCATGTCGCTTCTGTCTGGATACTATGCAATTTCAGGATTTGGGAGGCATCTTGGACCAGCTGACAATTCGCCTCGATATCATACGATAGCTTTGAATCCCACTGCTTAATTCAAGTCCCACAGGTTGATCTCGCTTCGGTCTGGATGCCGTCCGATTTAACCTTTAACTCCCACAAGTGATCAACATGTAAAATCTCCCTTTTCATACAATATCCAGAAAACAGATAATGACAACCTAATCAGTTAAAAGTTGTTCTCTTAATTTAACACCAAATTCTTGTAACTAATTTAAAAGGAAATGTGAAGTAGCTAAATAAACAATCAGATCTTGGGATTTAAAGAATGAAGGTTGAGACAGCGGTCAAACTGCGGGTATGCGGGAGAGGATCAATTCTGGCTTGCTGCGCGCAAAATTTCAAAGGAAAACATAAGAAACAACCACTTTCTCGGGAAATTTACGAAATAACATACGAACGTTCATAGGAATCTGTGAAAGGAAACAAAAGTGGGGAAAAGGGAAACTCCCAGACTTTTCGAAGCTTCTTAGGCTATCCCATTGATTTGCCATTCTTTTTTTAGCTTTACCAAACAAGTTCCACGCTTGTTAAAATCCTTGACTTACTGGCTTGTCTTTGTTTGTAACTTGTGTGAGAAAACCTGGTTCTGACAGCCTGAAAGCATGTGACCTAGTCATTAAAATGTTCGCATATGTGCAGACGTTTGACTGCTGTGCTATCCTGGATTAGCTGACCACTCGCCTCGATTCCATGAGAGGGACTCGTTTCCATGTGATAGCCAACGTGGACAATCCCTTAAATAGAAAAAAATTCTTTCAAAAAGACTACAAAGTTATGCAAGTTTCTTGTTGAATTGAAACTAGTGAACTTCTGTAAGACACAATATAACCGTCTGTTAATTTTGATCTACCATTCGTTTTGGCCATCACCATCGAATCAAGTCCATTAAAAGATGTTAAATTATCGAAGCTTACTTAGTAAATTTTATTATCAATGAGTTGATAATACCAAATTACCTTATTTAACTCTCCCACCGACGCAGCACCACAGTTTCTTAAGAAAGTTACCTGTTTTTATCGAACCTTATTGCTGTGTTCGGCTTTGACACTGCCTGAAAGCACCCCACAAGTTAAATTTCCCTGAATATTTCTGGGCAATATAATACAATTACTGAATATCATTTTACCAGAGACCGAACGTACAATCCATGATTACTACCAGTTTGCTAAAAGAAAATTTATAATTGATTCTTTGTCTCGATTTCGTCAACGTTTGGCACTGCAAACTCACTTATTAAAAAAAAAGATCTTGAAGTCTTTGAGATTCCGTTATGGTTACTTGAATTTGGTTGAAATCGCAAGCTCTGTAACTCACGCCTCTCTTTCACGCCTCTCTCTCTAAAATTGTTTTTCGTCTAGCTTTTACTGATGATAATCTAGCATTTCCACATCATCCGATTGTGAAAATGTAGGTTGATTAGAAAAAAACAAAGAGCCAGGTGTCAGACGGGAATTTAAAGGCGAGTGATTGAAGGGGGTAAGTGGTACTGTACTGGTGGAGGTCTTGCAAGAAAGCTGAATAAAGGGCGTAACTTGCTGCGTGGGTGGAAGAGCATAGCAGGTTAATTTAGTTTTTTTTAACTGAGTTGATAATGTAAATTGGCCACCGTGAAGAGTTTCAAAGCTGACGTTTCGGGTGTTAGCCCTTCATCGGAGCAAAAGAAACGTCAGCTTTGAAACAGTTAACGGTGGCCAATTTACGTTATCAACTCAGTTGATAATACTACCTACCCCGTATTTGGAGCGTTAACACTTCGTCAGAGCGTATAGTAGAACACGAGACGTCAAGTTCAGAAACTCCCTATAGCAGCTAATTTACGTTAATAGCTCAGTTGATAAAACCAAACTTCAGGAAATACGAGCGATAAGTACTCTGATTTCATTATTTGTCACTGAGGACAAGACAAATATGAGATTATTCTAGTTTCAAGACAGTCATTCAAGTTATCTTTCTCTACGTGCTCGATATTGAATTTGAGTGACAACTGTTAGCAAACTAATCATGAAACCGTCAAACTCGTTCGAGGTTGTGAAATCCAAGGTGACTACGGTCAGCAAATAAAGTCTCCAACACCCTCTTCTTTTGGCGCGGTGAGATGTCAAAAAAGTTACAGCCAACTAAAGCTTTGAAAGATACAGTACTTAATTTTTGGGCCTATTTCTCACAAGCCTAGCTCAATTTTTTTTTAATTGTCACCTGGAAGAGTTCGCAATTCCAACAGAACATTAGTGAAGACCTGTTTTGGGTCTCTTCAAGAGCATCTTTTCAGACCATCAAAGTTCATTTTTTATTTATTCTGTGGAAATATGTCAAACGAAGGGGGAGAGTGAAAAGGCGGAATCTTATAATCAATACCAATCCTGTCTGTTGTGATGGTATACGAAAAAGAATTCCTATTTCGGTTCCCTCTTTTTTTTTCAAACCTTTTTTTTTTTTTTACGATAAGCTCAAATAGAAAATAGTACTCAGACATAGGTGAATGTACTGTATGCAAAATATTCGTCGACATATTTGCAGGGGTGAGTGACAGGTAACCATTGACTGGTCTAAAGACGATACAAAATCGCAAAGTTTCGATTATTCCATATTGTACAATTGCAATTGTAGTGGTTAAAATTGAAGTAGAACACCGATTTCTCGAGCCCACGGTATCTCGCAACTTTTAATGATTTCAACCATAACAGTCTCATCGATATTTATAATTCATTTGTCAACTTTATCTCGTGAATCACGACTCTTTAGTTTTTAACAAGAAAAATTCAAGATTCCTTCTAATTTAACCGCTCTGATTCATGATTCATGATTCCGCTTCCTCCCCCGAAAAACTGGCCTCCCTCGCTCAGAACTGTAGATCTGTAAATCTAATTGAAACCAATTTCCTTTTGCCCAGAATAGCCGCAACATCGTGCGAAACGCGATGTGAATCTGCCATACCATGTTGTTCCCAGTGTCTGAAACCTGTTGAATGCCCGATGGATCTTTTCTTGTGTCTCCGGTGAAACTCAGTTGTACCTGCTTTAAATTAGTTTCCTTGAGATCTTGTCAATCAAATGTTTTCCACAAGCCAGGCGGTGGTCACGAAAAAGAGAAACTATACTGGAAGAAGGTCGATGAATTTTATATTGGAATGAAGACAAAAAATCAAATATTTGGATATATGTCAAATAAAATTTAAATTACGAGGAACAGTTTATGACCTATTTTTTTCCTTGCCTTCATTATCTTGTTCAGGCCATGACACAAATACCCCATTATGATTTGTTTAAAACGAAACAATGGTTAGAGACCCCGAGGAAAGCCTTTAAGAGAGGCCATAAACAAATCAAAATGAGTTATTAAGTGTATCATGATACTGAAATCTGTTTAAAGACCCTAAGTCTAAAAAGTCTTGTTCATTGAACCAACGACGATGTGAGACTGTAAATATAGATACAGGGACGCCCTTAAAGCGAACATTGTGTGTTTAAAATCGCTTGCTCTTGTTCACACTGTGGGAGTTCTTGTTCTTAGTTTTTTTTTTCTACTTCTCTTGTTGCGCTTTCAGTGATTCGAAAATTTTTCTTCACTTTACTATGAAACAATAACAGCCCAAACAATTTGTCTGGTCAAATTTTAATGGTTCAGCCTGTTACAAAGTAAATGAAAGAAAAAAGAAAAATAGGAAAATTTTCAAAAGGTATAAAATATAGGAAACAACCGAAAATGCAAGTACCGAGTCTGCGTTGAGGAAATCTGATAGGATCGATTAATTTTCACAACAAAATATCTTCTAGACGTAAACATCAACCCGAGCAACAAAACAATTGAAATTTTAACAACTCGAAGGAAGATCAATTATTTAAACTGTACTGTTTTTACGATTTCTTGCAACGGGTCAGTCATCATCAAGCGCCCTAATCAGTAATCCGTGAAAAGTGGTGATGTAATCTTAATAAAACCCACGCACACAAATTTTATAAACTCTAAGGCGAGGTCTCCTCTTCACAGTGCCTTGACTCTTAAAGCAAGAGCAGCAAGGGTAACGTTAAAACATAACTTCATATTCGTAGAATAACTTCACAATATTATTTTTCATGACATTTGTTTTATTTTACAGAAGACTCAGCGAAAACAGCCCAAGAACAGTTTACCGAGTAAAAGATTTTTCAAGTTTCATTTACTAACGAGTGGCCGGTAACAAAGAGATCCCCTAACAACAGGTAAGTAACGAAAAAACACGTACAGCACAATAGCTTCTAGTCTTAACAACAAATGATGATAGATAAAGCCGAATCTGTGCTCGGGTGGGAAAGCGCTTGAGGGGTTTTAGCATCTGATACTCGCAAAAATTCCCTTAAAAGTAATTCTCTCGTTGGGAAGTGTACATCCCGAAAAAAGGCTCGGAACTTATTTACCCTCTGACCCCTAAGAGTGACTAGCATCTAATTTCTCCTTACAAAATCACGCCAGGATTAAACATTATGGTAACGAGAATAAAGGAAATGATCACAAACTTAAAGAGCTCTTGATTGTTGAACAAATTCTCCTTGTCAGCACTTATGGAAATGTAGAAAAAACAGTATGGGGAATATGCATACTGATGTTAGGAAGTAAAGAGTTAAGAGAAGCAGAAGAGAGAAATAAGCCTCAGAGGTTGCTTTCAAATGAAGAGCATCGGAAACGCGCGGAGTGGGAAGAGAATAAAAAATGTTGCCAAGGAAGTGATTGGCAATTTTTCAAGTCACAACTTATCGCCTTAGCTCTTCAAAGAGGAAACTGGATTGAAAAACCGAAAAAGGCGTCGACCATTTGCGCGAGTAGTTCCAACTTTTCCTTACAATAGATTTTAATAATTAATAGATTTTGATGTCGTATAAAGCCTTTGTAGATATAAAAGTAGTCAAGATTATTGTGTCTTCTCATCATTTCACCCTAACATAACTGCGATATTTGCTAATCATCATTAGATTTAGCGCAACTTAGTTTCTTTTCTTAATTTTTTCAGGTTAGTCGCACGTTGTTTAAATGTTGTATTTTGAAATTTTGCATTTACTTTTTGAGTTTCAGGCGCTTTACTGTCGGAGGGTGTTTACGAAACATGGCTGTAGCCGTCACTTTCGTTTTTCTTGCTGTGCTACAGGGAATTCAAGGTGAGAACTCTTAAGCAACAATACTATTATTGCACAATCAAGAACACGCGGGATGTCGAGAAAACACAGTCACGCTCTGCAAGCTCTTCGAGTGCTCTCCCAACACTGACAATCCAGATGGGTTTACCATGTTAAAGAAGCCGAGAAAATGTGTTTCATTACCCCTATTACCCCCAGCATAACTGTAAACGCGTTTTACCCGAGAGAATAATTAATTCATCGTCTACTTTGTGATCAAGTCGCTGATTTTTAGCAAACACAATCAAAAGAGGGACGTAAAAACCAATCAAAGCACTCGAGAGAGAATGAACAACAGAGAAGAACGACAATGAATGAATTTATGGATTTCATAAGACTTTCAGGAAAATTCTTGAACGAAATGCCTATAAATTCATTGTTATCGATTCCTTGAAACGAAGAAAATAGGAACTTTTGTTTCTGTGACAGAGGTCTTGAGAAATTGTGGTTTTTTACTTTTGCTGCGTGTTTAATTTAAAGTTTACAACCTTTTAGTTCAACCACATACTTGCAATCTTATCAATCTTCTTGGTAACTGAATAATTGTTTCCCCAAATCGTTTAATTTTTAATTTGTACTCGTTTTTGTTGCGGGATTTCATACCATTATAGGATTTACAGTGGTGTGTAGACTTTAACAATAAATTAGTCGACCACTCAGATGAAGCGTGTTATGTAAAGTTGCGTTATAAAATGCTGTTCTTCATTTACATCATCACTGCGCATAAGCATCACACATAACGACAATTCTATCCTAAGAGTATGCAAAAAGTTTGTGACCATCGACGTAAATAAACGGCCTAGCCCACCACGAGCGCCCATAGCACGGTGTTAGAACATTCGAAGTACTGATTGGATGGTCGTCGGTGTAGTGTATTAGGACAGCAGTAGTTCGCATATGTATCCGGGAACTTAACGTGTGTGCGAGAGCGGGAAAGTGAGGAATGATGCATGTACTTCGTGTGCTCGGAATACATATTTTAGAGCTTTAATCAAAAGGGCTTCCTTGCCGAACGAATTAAAAAAAAACCACTGTACCTTGCTCAATTTTTAATAGGAACTTAAATACGTTTTTAAGTGTTTTATCTTCGTTTAGTTTAGACGAGTTAAAAAGTTATGGCGTCCTCAAGTTTAAATGGCATTTAAATATGCTTTGTAAGATTCGTTGCATTTACGTACAGATTATAGCGCCGCTGACAATATACCGAGGGCGCAGTTTCCCACGCCATGTGCATTGCTTAAGCGTTACTTGCAGTTTTTTTTTTGCCGTTTTTGCCGAGTTAGTTTAAGCGAAGAATTTTTAGGCTGGGTAAGAAGCAATAACTTCGAATCTTCGCAAGGAACCTGGACGCATAGAAGTTGTTGTTTCGTATTTATTTTGCCAAGCGTAACTGGCCCCAACACGCTTTAATTAGCACTTTTGAAATAAATTTTTGCTGATTTGATTTAATTGATCTTTATTTTTAGATATTTTTGGTTTACTTATTCTTCAGAGGACCCCCATAAAAACCACTTAAAGTGATGCCAACCACTTCGAGTGATGGAGGTCTCCTCTTAAAATTTGTATTACATTATTATTATTATTATTATTATTGTCATTATTATCATCATTATTAATATCATTTGTATTATCGTTATGACAAGGTCCAATTCTTGTTTCCTCTTCGAGATTTATTCCAATTTCCTTTTCTTTTCTACAACTTGAATTAACTTGATTTCAATACGTTTGAAATCGCCAAATTCATATTTTATTATAAAAATAACTTATTGCCCCCATTGCTTCTCAATCTTTTTGTAACGAACAGCCAAATTCGCTTCTCTGACACCACAACAGCCAGTAATTATCGAATCCATTTATGCCGTATAAATCTCAAGTAATTTACAATTCTCTACCAAGGTCCTAAAATTTGGAACTCTCTTCCTGTTTCAGTCACTTGTTCATCAAACCTGTTTGGCTTTAAGACGAAAATGCAAGAGTTTTTATTTAAATAATCTCTGAATTGGGCTAGCCGCACATTCGCAGCACTTTTTCTTTCCTTTATTTATTACTGTAAGTGAGGTGGCTCTCCCAAAAGCCCGGTGGCTTCCTGGGTCTCCTCGCCTATTAACGCTGTAAATAAATTTTTGTATTGTGTAAATAAGGTAAATAAAGATGATAATGATGATAATGATGAAAAAGTATGCATTGTACAATTTTTTTTCCTTTACGAGGAAACAGAATGCAACCCAATGAAGATACTACAATAGCTGGAAAAAAGATATTAAAAGAGTACATGTTTTTTTTTCGTTTTTTTCGCAAGGTAAATTTCAATCCACTGTAACTAATTTTCTGACTTCCTTTGATTCTATTTCAGCCAACAAGCTTGGCAAACCATTCAGCATTCTTGATGGTTTGAAGCCAGTTTTACCGAGTGATGATAATATCAGTCCACTGTTTTACTCAGTGACAAAGTCCACGTTGTTAAAAAACGTACAACATCAAACCACCAAGAGTGACATCACATATTTCGGTGACTTTATCCAGGTGACCTACCATCCAGATGAAAAGGACTTGATAAAACAATTCTTCGCCATTTGGCGTTTTGAGGACGAAATACGTGACGCGGCAGCATTTACCTATCAACCGAGGTCAACTAACATGAATTCCTATGCCCAACTCCTTGGGATAACTCCCAGCAACATGGTGGGGAAATCTTACGTTCTGGCACGTTATTGGAAAAGAATAAGCACTACCATCATCACCAATTCAGAATTTTCAAATCTTGAGCCAACCTCCGTTTCCTCAGATGCGACAAGTGACGAGATAACAGCTCTTTTTTCAAAATACGGTACACATTACGTTTCCGGTTATGAGATGGGAGACTTTATTTACCAAGTATTTGTGTACGACCAAGAAATCGGTTCCGAGAAAGTCCGTAAATTCTTTCCCTTCGAAGATACTTCATTCAGCTTTGGTCCCAGAGGTTACTCTTTCCGCCCGTTTACCCAGCCAAGAGATGGCGAACAGGGGTATACTCTTGAAGCAGGAAAGATTTTGGCGGCGAGCGGTGATATGGCTTTGAAGAATATCCTACCGAAACTGAAGGACGATGTCTACAAAGTGAAGGAGAGCATCTTTATGTTTTTAGTAACACAAGCTTACCAGGACACTGACAACCTCAAGACATTAATCCCAATGGGACTTTCCTTCAAAGGGATTATCAACACACTCTTCACGGCAGAATCACCTTCTAAGTCGAAGTGGAACGATGTACTATCTGCGACAATTTTCCAGAAATTTGGGGCAGCCAGTCACCCTAACTTTCCTTTGCTCATAGACCCTAATGTTGCTGGTTTTTATGGAAGTTTCAACCCGGATCTTGTCACATCCACGGCTACTAACTATGTCACCATAAGCCAAATGAGCTTTAAGCTGGATGATTTAGTCATTTCAGACCCTAAGTTCGTCACACATTTATTCATCTTTGCAGATGTCTTACAAATCAGCGCAACTGCCAAGCTGATGCTTCCCGGCTCAAAACAGATTTATCTTGTGTGCCGAGAGTTCTTGGCTTTATCCTCTGGTAACAAGGTCCCAGAAATAATTGTTGGATCCCATGAAAACTCTGAGCCTGTCGTTAAAATATTTGCCAAAACCTTTCGTGGAATATTGAAGCTCACCCAAACCAAGACCGGCACACATAACACTTACGCAAACGACTACGTGTACAAGACTGTGGAAGACCAATCCAACCAATTTACAGTCAAAGTCGACAATACCAAGAAACTGCTCTACCCCGATAAGAAAACTGCAGCGGAACTGTACGACAGTGATGGAAAATCTCATGAAGCAAGGTGGGTCTACCAAAGCTTTGTGAACAGCTTAGAGCTAGCTGTGACTAGCGTACACAGCATTTTGGCTGTCCGTTCCTCACCCAGTTTAGTTAATAGTGCGGGGAAAACAGCTAGCGAAAGTTTGAATTGGATTACAGAGACCCTTACGAAATCTTCACCCTTATCCCCCGACCTTGAGATGGTCCTTGGTCGTGCATTACTCTTAAGTAAGACCCAGCTGACAGAATACGCCAAGTCAAGACTCATTGTTCCCAGATTAATCTTCCTTCAATACAAACCGCTCTACGATAAACTACTGACAGCCGTTGCCAATTACGAAACCACCTACAAAACAGTCTCCACCGAAATACAAAGTCGCAAACAGCTGGAGAAAATAACCACTTCTTTGCAAGAACTCAACAAAAATGTCAAAAGCTCTGGTACTTTCTTGGTCGCACAAGCTGAAGTGAATGCCAAGTACCAAGATGATGTTGCTAAAACTCAGCAAGCTCTCCATGACTTGGAGAAGGATCAAATCAGCCGTAAAGAAGCTGAAGCACAATCGTTACTTCAGGAGATAATAAAAATACAAGACGAGGTCGAAAAGAAAGGAAAAGCGTTGGCTGCGGCAGTCAAACAGTACCTAACAGAGCAAATAATCTCAGCCATTTTCACTGTTGCTGAAGTCATCGGGTCGCTGTTTACCGGGGGCGTCGGCCTGGCAAATATCGATAAGAAACTGACAGGTATTATACGAATTGCGGAAAAACTAAAGAATGTTGTCCAAATTATCGAGCAGGTTAATAAGCTTTATGCACTCGGCAGAAATATGAGGAATGATATTGGTACGGTCAACCGAGCCTTAGGTAACATTCCAAGTTCATCTATCAGTAAAGATAGTTTCCCATCAATGCAGGATTGGGAAGATTTTGAAAATGACGTCGTGTCGTATACAAGTACGTCGGGTTTTTTACCGGAACAGGTGGCTGGGGAGGCGTTGGATTTTCAGCGTGAGGCAAAACGTTTATCATCGAGGGGCAAGAGATACGTAAACATTGCTGCGAACGTAGCAGAAAGAAAATACAAACAAATACAGATTGAAATGCAGCGAGATCTTGCCAAGAGACAGAGCACTCGTTTAAGAAAACTCAAGACAACATTGACACAAACAGACCTCTCGGATAACGATGCTAAAACTACTGATCTCTTCGAAATCGGTAACATTATCAAAATGAAGGAGAATCAAGTACGTTCACAGCTCATCCAAACGTTTGTCACCATGGATGCCGCTTTGCAGTACCACTATCTCCAAAACCCAACGCTGGTAACAAGCTACGACACTATGGCCATTCAGGCAGCGGCCATTCGTCAGGTGCAATCGTCTATTTTAGCATTGGAAAATTTTCCCACAAGCCCTGTGAACCTAAAAGAGCCCATAAGATTCCTAGTTTCTAATGTGCCCGTCAAAGCTTTGCTATCTGAAGAAGGATACGCGATTAGAATTCCACTGACCTCTCTTCCTTTCCATGAGTATGTGCGAGTCCGTGTTGTGAAAATAGAAGTAAAAGCAGACAATATTGCACAGACTAAAGATGACACTGCATATGTTCAAGCCACTGCTTTGGGTGACTCATTCGAAGACAGAGACCTTGATCGTAATCCCAAGTCCTTTACAAGCACACCCACTGAATATCGCTTTGTCTATAACATTAAAACGGGAAACCCAGTCGTGGAAGTCAACCCATCTCCAGACTTCGCTAACAAGTTTATAAAAATGACTCCTTTTGACACTTGGATCTTCCGTTTTCCAAAAGTTACCACCAACCAAGGAATCCAGTTCTCGACAGCGCTTACTACTCTCAGGATCAAATTCTTCGTCAATGTCATCTTCCACCCCCCAAAATCCACCAACAACGATCAACAGTTCGAGCGTCACCTCTCCGACGACGTGTTAGGAAGCAAAGAAAAGCTTCTCCAAGATTTGAGCGGTCGCTCATTGGTGCGTGAATGGGATGCCATTATGGCAGTAAGCGCCGAGCGCGTGAATCAACTTTGGAAGAATCAGTACGACAGTAAAACCAACGCTGGATTCGTTAAGAATATAGCAACCGAAAGATCTTTAGTCCAAGATACCAGGGGATCCAAACTCGAAGCTAGAATCATAATGGATGTCGGTCCACCCGTTATTCAGTTTATTAGAAACAACCAAAACAGGGCAACTCTGAAAATCAAAATCAAAAAGGCGACCGTGGAGTACTGGGAGTTCATTAAGAGAAGTAAAGACAAGTATAATTACAATGAAACTGCAGCAGTTACAGACGAAACTGAGATAACTGGCACCATGAACTTACTTAAACTGGAGGGATCGCTCACAAAAGGCAAAGTAGTACTTGATCTAAGTGACGGTGTTTTCGATGTCATAAAGTTACCTTTGACTGACACCCTGCAAGCAAACATCAAAACACAAATAGAGGTATACTTTAACACCAAGTTAAAATCAGAGAATTACGAATTGGCTCGAATAACTTACGAAGATAAGCTCACACCAGCCAGTCTTGTGCCAGACAAGTTCTACCTTGCCACGGGTGGATTCGAAACTGCCACTTCCGGCTACGGGACATTGTATATCTTTTTTAAAACACGTTCGGCGAAATCGATTGTAACAGATCAAACGAAAAAGGACTTTAACGACCCGCTTTCAATTGACCAGAAAGTTATTCCCAATACATTTGAAGTTGCCTTGTTCATCAGTAATAGAGTGATATTTGACGATATCATAAGAGAAGACATCAAAAAGAAATTCAAGTTTGGTGCCCACACAGAAGTTCTTCCAGGTCAATCGATATCACCAAATCAGCAAGCCGTATACGTAAAGGGAGACGATGGTGCATCTCACAGTATTTATATGACTCTTAAGTTTGATCGATATGCAGGGACATACCCTTATACCTTCGTTATGCCAGGAAACACCCTCACAGTTAAACCTTTAAGCAATGGGCAGAAACTTCAAGTGCACTGGATCAACAACAACTTGCAGTTATCCATCCCATACGTCACTCATCATTGTCCCGGGCAATTTTCAAGCTGTTATGACGTGACTAATTATAAGTCAGTTACCTTCAGCACCAATTACGTGAGAACCTTTAAGGCCTCCATTGACAACGAATTGACGATATCGTATACAGAAGAGTCCAAATCTGGATCCGCAAGTAGCGTATATCATTGGACTGATTTTTTCCGGGCCCAAACCTACACAACTGCGAGGAACACGATCACCAGCAATGTGGGCAACTACTTGTCAGGTCTGCAGTTCAACTTTCGAAGCATATCTGCATTTGCGCTCACTCAGGTTCTCTTCCCAAGCCAGAAAGTGTTTGTCTTGACGGAGGTTTACATTCCAGGCGATATGGTTATCCTTGGCACTGTTAATACCAAACCCACGGAAGCCTCCAAGTGATCAACAACAAGCTGAATTATGAAAATGTGAGCGAAAGGTAGTTTTCGTTATGGTTTTCAGTTCAAAAACCAAAGGTGCAAACTTAAGTTATTATCAGTTATCCAGAATAAAGGAGATAAACTGATCCCACGTTTGTGATTTGATTTCAATTGTTCCTTTAAATTTCTGATTCATAAAAGAGAGCAGTGGGATAATTAATCGAGAAGGGGAGTCAAGGTATAGCTACAGAGGAGGGAGAGCACAACCGCAACGTCGATAAAAAAAGATTTCAAGGATTACAACAATAAATACGCTCGTAGTGCAGTTTTACTGGAAGTCTTATAGCACTATGGAAGTTCGATAGATCTGTGCGAATTTTGACACAAAAATTGTATTGTAAAGATATACATATACGAGTCTAAAATGCTGACGCCCATAACATCTAGGATCTGGCCGACCAACCCCAAAAATTTTCAATTTTTTGGGGAAAAACTAGAATATGGGACTCTCGATACAAAATTTTTGTACAGATAGCTTCAAAATATGGTGGCTTCCGCTGCCATGAACCTCAAGCTCAAACTTCCCACGTGATTAGGATCAGGGTTGGGTTGTTAAAGCTGGGTTAAGATAACCCAGGATTAGTGCAAGATCTGATTTCAGATTTTTAAGCTTTAAAAGAAAATTCAATCAAATTATTTTTGTCTAGAATATGATTACTAGATACTTTAAAAAAGGATCCAGAAAATTATCCTGCCAAAAAAGGCTTCTGAATTTAGGAATAAAGAAACCCAGATTAAAATTTAACCTTGGGTAATTGCTAATCAGCCTTGAAACAACTGGGTCCTAGGCTTAAACCCTAATGCTTGGCAACCAGACTCAAACGTTCCATATGAACAGCTAGAAGCCAAAATTTCTCTTGCTATGCTGAATCTAGTATGGTCACCAGGCTAATATTATGAGGCCATTTAACCCTATCACTCCCAAGATTTCAGTATCAATTGTCCTTACTGTCTCTCTTGCATTTCTTTGATCTAAGCTCTGAGAATTTGTTTTAGAATTAAAGAATATTCCCTTGCTGATTACTGGTTTATTTTTGCCATTGTTTGAAGATGATAGTATATTGAGATTTCTTGGAAAAATTATTTCTTAATCTCTCCTGGGGGTGAAAAAGTTAAAAAATTCATAATTAAGTCAGATTATTTATTTCCATGATGCGATTATTTGATGGTTTTCCCAGGAATGATTCACCCTCTAAGGAAAGGAGTTATCTGATGTAGTTAATTTATTACCTTTTTTAATAACAATAAGGAAAAAGGAGAGGAAGAAAAAGTGGCTATATATTTTGATAAAACTGCACCTTAAACCTTAAACTCCCATGAGTGACCAAGACAGAATTTCTCCTTACAATATCAATACAATATCAACCAGATAAGTGATGAGAATAAAGAAAAATATCAATTTCGGGATAATTAGTTGATGCAATACTGAATTCTCTGAACTAACATTATAAGAATTGTATGTTTAACAGTAAGGAGAATTAAAATTGGATCTGGGAGTTAAAGGGTCAAGGATCTGATATCAAACCAGGGGTGGGTCCATAAATTCTCAATGTGAGGTGTCCAAACTTCACCTCTGAAAAGCCAGGATTATTTTGTTACTTTAAAACCTAAAAAGCAAGGAAATATTTCAATAAAAGTAAATTTTAAATATTTCATATTGAGTTGTAAGTTGTGACCCTGTTGACTTGCAAGAATCTTGAGGTTAGACAGGTGATCAAAAGACCTACAGGTTTGATAAAGCAGTGTGAGGAGGATCCAAACCTAATGAGTTTATTACATTTATTTCCTTTTTCATAGTCTCTGTAAAATTCACCATTATAGGGCCACAAGTTTATTAGCTCCAGCTATTTCATGTTAACCCTCATAAAATAAAGTCCTTACTTACTTACTTAATTACATGATGATGATAAATTATAAAGCACAACCAACTTACCACAACCACAACCACAACCACTTATTGCTTCACCTCTGTTTTGCAGTTTGAGTCCAGCATTGCAGAATTCGTTTAGGAGTGTTCAATTGTAACAATTGAATAGTATGGAACACTCTGATGCAGTATCTTGGAATATATTGGGCATGAGTTGCCAAGAGGATTACACTTCATGTAAGGGGTGCATGTATGACGAGATATGAAGTGCTTTTCGAAATCAACACAACTAGGGAGAATAAATTATACAAAATACAAAATTATCCATAACACACCAGTCAAAGTAAACTCCTAAACCCTCTCTTCATGATGCTTGCACACACACCACCCCACCCAGTTTGGAGATCGACATGTCGTTCCTCGATATGACGTCAGTACCAGTGAAGCCTCGCTTCCGTTCACCAACTAGCGCCATATTTGATTTGCTACAATGTTGCAATATTGAAAACATCGACGATAAACACATGGATAACGGAAAAATGCTAAATCAACTTGCTTCCCTGAATGGCTTAATTCTCGCCTTGACAGCAGTGATACTCAGAAAACACCCTTTCCCTCCTTTCCTAGAGAAAATGGACCTATTTCACCGGTAAGCTTTTAAATCAAGTACGTTCGAGTTGTTGTTGTCATTTTAAAATCGCTAACACACTTTTCGGCTTTAAAAGAATGACTAATAAATTAGTTTCTTTTATTCTTTTATTTCGGGCACAGCACAAGTTATAGAAGCATTATTCGGTAATCAGTTTAGTATCGACTTCAAAGTTTTGCTCGTCTTTAATCTAAAAAGATTGGTTATTTTAGAGCTACCTGTAAATCTTTCGTGCATTTAAAAGCTCACATGTAGCGAATATTAAAGATTGGATTTTATATTTCATCTGAACTTACATTGAGAAGGTCTGTAATTGAGCCCTGTTTGTTCTAGTAACTAAAAAAAACAAAAATAATAGATATCAAGGTCTCATAGACTACTATTCCTCAAACGTTCTTCGAGTTTTTTTCCGTGTAGATGGGTCTCAAACTCATCTCGTATTCCGTTTCCATAACAATATACTAACAGAAGTTTTTGCTCGAGCTGGTAAAACAATAGCTACTTAAAACGTAGTTTATGTATAAACAAATGCTCCCTTTTGTGCTGGAAACAATATCAATTTAAACGGTGTCATGATTTCTGGTTGATTGCTCATCAACGTCACGATATTGTGATTGCAATCTCAAGTAATGTGTTGCCATCTCGATGGTTATAAAGAATTTTACAACTTAAGAGATGCCGTAGTGTGTTCGAACTTTTCTGCTGGCGCACAATATTCTAAAAAAATTTGTTCTAATTTTCAGCAAACTTGGAACTGATCAAAAACCATGAGTTCCCGCTCAATTACGGAATGAGATGTTTTATGAGACATTAAGACTCTGCGTGATTCTCGCTTGGGTACCGATATCCGAAGGTAAGTTTTGTATGTTATTTTGAAGTTAATTATATGAATGATATCCATGGAAAACTTAGGCAGGCTGATTCAGTTCGAGAGAATAAATGGAATTTTCTATAGAGAGTGTGGTTCTGTATCGGTGGGGTTATCACAACATAATTTGGTTTTATCAACTGAGTTTATAACGTAAATTGCCCACCATGAGTCCCTGAAGCTGAGCGTTAGCCCTTCGTTAGAGCGAAAGGCGAATGTTTATGGCATAAATTCTCGTTATTTCTATAAAAAAAATCCAAATGATCTCGATTCGAGAGAAATCGTACGCTCTGTCAAACATCCAAAATTTTCAATCACTTTCTGCATCAGTAGGCGTCGAGTGCGTTTGTAGCAACATAGGATGCCAACATGAAAACTGTTAGAAACACGAGATCCAAGCAAAAATAGAATTAATCTTCTCGATAAGCATCTTTTTTTTGCTTCACACTTAGTGCGCATGAACTGTCTGGTTTTCCAAAGTTGACAAATTTTGCAAATTTATTTGTGTTGATGTTCATTACACATACGTATATATATCACAGGCCTTTTTGATTAAAGCGCTACTTCTTACTATAAATCGATACATTGTCCAGCAAACAGGCAATGAGAATACTCAAAGATATCACAGGTAGAAGTTACAAGGAAATGTGTAGCAGCAAGAAGGGAGAATTGACACTCAGATCTTAAGAGTTAAAGCGCAGTTAGTGCATCGCGGGAAATGTAGATTAAACTTTTTGAAAAGGTAATCGCCATTGGCAATTCTTTCCAATCTTCTTCAGCTTTCCCTATCCTTTTTCCCGTTTGGTTAACGTGTTCTTTTACACTCTCACAACTATGGCCCATTAACCTTCTACTCTCCGGAAACAAGTATTTATAATCTCCATAAAATTCTCCATACGTTTCCAAGGGTGCTGACCAAGGCTGTACTCTAAGGAAAATTTCAGGGAGCCCTTCGGGCTCCCAAGCGTTTTAGCTTGGGTGCCCAGGCCTAAAAGATGGTCGCCCAAATCAAAATTTCGGCGAGCCCTTCGAGCTCCCAAACATTTTAGCTGAGGTGCCCGGGCCTCCCAGTTGGTCGCCCAAATTAATAAATCAGTCAGTTAATTCTTAAAAATTAAACAAACTGTTTTCGTAACGAGTCAAATAGAACTATGTGCATTTATTTATTGTTTTTATGTTCATGAAACATCGTATCCTTTGACCTCCTGAAAACCTATCGGTGAAATGTTCAAGACAAATGAGCTTTTTGTGGATTCGGTCGATTTTATTTTTAGTGCGTGATACGTAATAACTTGTCAAGACACCAAGGACAATGCGGGACTTATAGAGTTTATACCCGTTTCTAAAACAATCACAAAAAAAAACGTATCTTTTCTTTTTTATACATCGTGTTTTACTGGAAAAACAATCTTAAGTTATGTTTTTGCCTCGCAGACACGGCAGTAAAAAGCCGGCTAAAATATTAAATTAGCATAGAAGAGCGACTCCCGTGTTTATTCAGCGATTTATTAATCGACCGTACTTTACGCCTATCAGAGCAGAAGTAACAACTTTTGAAAAACTAGCTGATGAGCCATCCCAATTTAAAGGAAAGATTTTAATGCTATTGGAAAAGCCGTTAAAACCGAAAACTGTGCAGCTAGTCAAGTTCAAAGTCAAGGATTATGCTACATGTGAATTCACGTGGAACGACCTTTGAACATCAACGCGCGCCCGATGGAACAACATTTTCTTTTAAAAGAACGACTCCCGTGTTCATTTAGCGATTTATTAATCGTCGACCGTACTTTACGCCTGTCAGAGCAGAAGTAACAATTGCTTTTCAAAAACTAACTAACGAGCCATCCTAATTTAAAGGAAAAATTATAATACTATTTGGAAAAGCGGTTAAAATCTAAAACTGTGCAGCTTGTCACGATCAAAGTCGATGATTATGTTACACGTAAATTCACGTGGAACGACCTTTGAATATCAACGCGCGCCCGATTGAACAACATTTTCTTTTTTTTTTTTGACTGTAAATCAAGAAACCAACACCAGCCAGTGACCGGCCGGGCGACCAAAAAAATATTTTCAGTCGCCTGAGGCCAAATGTTAGTCGCCTCAGGCGACCGGGCGCCGTTAGAGCACAGCCTTGGTGCTGACAGGGGAGAATTTATACAACAATCAAGAGCTCATTTAGTTAGTGATTACTCTCGTGACCCTATTTGTTTGATTCAGGGTGTTAATAGAAATTAGATCAGAAGGTTTCATTATTATTAAAGACAGTTGTCAGAGCCAAAGGCAACGTAAACGTTTTCTAATGATGCACCAGTGGTCGCTTTGAACAAAACTATGACAAAATTCTCGAACGTGATTGGTTATCACCAACCCGATTTGAGCACCAATACGACAATGTATGCGTCATGCTTGTAACTGGTTAGTGTAATAGGACAGGTACCACGTCATGCCTGTGTAAGTGGGCATAGTTTTTATTAATTAGCTCTTCCAATTCTGTCAGTAATTATATTCGTGATTGACAAATCGGATATTGTTAATCCCTCATATAATGCAGACTGAATTGGCTCCACTCGGTCCTATTACCATTATTAATTACTGTCCCAATTGATACCGCGAATTTCATTGGGAGATAAAATTTCTTAATTAGATTTTTGCTTAGGGGCTATCTTGGTCAAAGTAAAATTTTAAAACTTTCTGGAAGTATAATTGTAATCTGCAAAGTACTGATCCCTGATCCAGGTACCACGTCATGCCTGTGTAAGCGGGCATAGTTTTCATTAATTGGTTCTTCCAATACTGTCTGTAATTATATTCGTGATTGACAAATCGGACTTCCGCTTCGTGTTCGTCCGATATTGCAAATCACTCGTATAATTACAGACTGAACTGGCTCCACTCCGTCCTATTACCATTATTAATTACTGTCCCAATTGATACCGCGAATTTCATTGGGAGATAAAATTTCTTAATTAGCTAAGAAACTCTGGCGATTTTTGCTAAGGGGCTATCTTGATCAAAGTAAAATTTTAAAACTTTCTGGAAGTATAATTGTAATCTGCAAAGAACTGATCCCTGAAACTTTCAGGACTTAACAAAACGTACGGTGATTTCTTCAAGTTGCACACGCAATTATTGTTGGCAGAAGTTACCGAATGTTTCTCAATATGACAGCATAAGTTTTTATCAGAAATGAACTATGCTATACACAACAAAGGCTTCTCGGAGAGGTAATTTCACTTTCTCTTTTGCTAAGAAAATCGAGATCCATCATTAAGCAGAGTTCCTCATGAGGGCGAATCTGAAGTTTGTGCTCGCGAAATACTAGAGAGAGTTGTGTCCAGCTTGTTCAAGTAAATTTTCATAGATAAACGACTGAGCTGGTGTAATCAATTTATAGTGGGTATGATTCCTTGATGTTATCCTGTCTCATTAGCCTGGCGCGTTGCAAGGAAGAGTGACTCTTTCTGACACGTTTTAGGAATTTTTGTTGTTGCGCAAGGAACGCCCACCAGTTGTCTAAACCGTAAAACACTTCCTGTAGGTAAGGATCCAACGTAAACATTTGGTTTCCCCTCTTTAATTGAGAAAAGCATCTATGAAATAACACTGTGCATGACGATTGCAATACACGTTTTGGGCCAAGGAACATCTTATACTGCATCACTGCATTTTAGTTGTGTTGTATGTCTTATGAAAAAAGCATAATTGGTGTTCCAACGCAGGTTTCTTGTTTCTTCCTCGTCTTAGGTGCCGCGCCTGTGTTCAGTCCTGGTTCCTATAGCGGTAATGTTGACGAAAATGTGCCCACAGACACCACTGTCAGCGGAATCACTCTGTCAGCGTCTGAAAGTGGTGGAGGCAGTGTTACTTACTCGATTATTAGTTCGGCGGGTCCATTCAAACTGAGTGCGAATGGAACAAGAGTGCTCACTAATGGACTAGCTGTTAATTTTGAGGCACAGAACTCGTACACTCTAACAGTTCAGGCTGAGTCCGCAGGTAATTATGGAACAGTGTGATGACGTGAGTGAATCGGTGTCTTTAACTAGAGTAAGCCTGGTACTAGTTCGCGGTAAAAATGACACGTCATAATTACACCCCGCATGAAAAATGACGCGCTCGGTCAAATTATGCGGTGCGTAAAAACTACCCGAGATTTTAAACAACATTGCCTTCGTAAATTGAACTTGGAATCTTTACCCACGATTGCCAACTCATTTAGGTGAATTATTTCTCTATTACCTTATTTATTACGTACAAAAGCACAACTGACACTCAATGCATCATGATTTCACTGAATGATTTTATTGTACAAAGCTTAGTCAAATCATTCTAGAACTTACTGATTAATTTTGACAAAACACTCTTACATGTGTCCTGATCATGATCTGACGCTCTTCGTTCACAAGTGACAGTTCTTTTCAGGTCTTGTCTACCTGCACCTTTGCGATCACATTCTATACGACGAAGAAGTGTAAAATAATGGTTGTAAATAAATAACCTTTCTCATTCTTACAGGTGGAACAGCAAGTGCAAGTGTAACTATTACGGTAAACGATGTCAACGAAGCTCCAAGCTTTACGCTGTCTTCGTACAGCGGTGAAATTTCAGAGAACAGCGCTCGTGGAGTTGATATCATTACAATATTTGCTGTAGATCCTGATGGTGGCGATACGCTGACCTATAGCCTCTCGGGCTCGGGTGAGTTAAAAAATAAATTGGTTATATCGACGAAATAAGATTGACACTAAAGAAAACTTACAGTTATGGTGTTCAACTTGTGCGACTAGTTGTCCTTACGGCTACCGCTGTCATACGGAAGCATACCCTGTAGCAAGTTTATTGTAAATGAACAGCAGCCTTCATTTGACTTGAACATGCTGAGATATTTACCCGCGGGCATCGTCTATTCCGAGGAATAGACGAGGAAAGTGGAATTCCCTAGTTTCAGCTAAGACACGTGGTGACATTAGAAGTTGAACCAATCACGCACAAGCAAAAACATTTGAAAGATTATTGGCTAAAAAGATCAACAATGAGGACTAATCCTTTCTTTCGTTGCTAAGGTTCGTCGCTGTTCAATGCGCTGAGCAATGGAATCATTGAGGTCGCTGGGAGCCTTGACTTCGAGACAACACCTAGTTATTCCTTGACCTTGACAGCAACAGACTCGGGCTCTCTAACTGACACGACAGCAGTTGTCATCTCAGTCAGGGATGTTAACGAGAGTCCCTCATTTGTTGGTGCGCCATATTCTTCTATCGTTCCAGAGAATGACGCTGCAGCTAGCGTGGTGACTGTAGCCGCTACTGACCCAGACTTAGGTAGGTTTAACGATGACAATTCTTCTGTCCACAGTAGTCACAGCGTAGCTCGCTAAAAGAATGTTCAGGGTTTCGAAATTACTTCTGGAGTTGGGTTCTGGTGTTGTTAACTTGGAGGTACACTTGATATGCTTTATGGAGGTTTCACCTCATTGCAATTTTGCCCTAACTTTTCTCCCCCCTAAAGACGAGTTCGCTCCATCAACTTTAACAAGTTCGCCCCTTCCCCTAGATTAGTTCGCCCCCAAATCTTCGATTCGATAACATGGCACATTGTGACTTTCTATCATTTTCTGTCATTTTTAATATCAGTTGATTCAGACCTTCAGACTGTTTACGAAAGTTTCTCTGACAGCTTATTTTTATTTACTTTGCAGGAGATTCCATCACATTTTCCTTATCTGGCGCCAAAAGCTCCGACTTTACCATCCACCCTACAAGTGGAGTTGTCACCCTCAACAACGCCTTGAACTACGAATCGCTCAACCTCTATTCACTCACTGTAACGGCGTCGGATGGTAACAGTTATGGCAACGGAAGCGTGACGTCAACATCTTTAACCGTTACGGTGACCAATCGGAATGACGCACCAGTCTCTCTCAGCAATTCTTACTCGGCTACAATTGCAGAGGACGAACCTGGTGGAACAAATGTGTTGAAAACCGGCGCCTCCGACGAAGACGGACACGGAATCTTGTTTAGCTTGTCGGGAAGTTCTGATTTTGATATTCTCAACACGGGAATGATTCGTATTAAGACGGGAGTCACTTTAGATTACGAGACACAAGATAGTTATAACTTGACTGTGGAGTTTTCCGATGGTACAGCGAGTATTTCCAAGTTTGTATCCATCACCGTGCTTGACAGAAACGACGCCCCGACACTTCGGAGTTCTCCATACTCCACGAGCGTTTCCGAAGAAGTATCGATCGGCACGAGTGTCTTCGCCGCCAGCGCAAGTGACCAGGATGGGGATTCGCTGGTGTATTCGTTGTCCGGAGCTGGTGTGACGCACTTTACTATTGACTCTAATACGGGAATTGTAACGACCTCTCAGGCATTGAACTTCGAAGATACCATTTCTTATTTTATGACTGGTGAGTATAGATGATTTCCAGGAGAGTTCTGTTTGTATCAAAAAGAGATTTTCTACCTCAAAAGCGGGACTGATTCGTTAAACGATCGCGATGTAAACCAGCAAATTATGAAATATATCTTTCCCCCTGTGAATATATGTTATGTCTTTAAAAATTTGCTGAAAGACCATGGTTGTGATCATAAATGAATGCTCAAAATCGTTATGTTACTGTTTTACTCACTGTTCGTCTGCTGTACTGCCAGGCACTGTCTTCGTCAGTCGATGAGGTTGGACCTGTTGACGAAGACTGGCAGTGTAAGAGACGAAACGCTGCGCTTCTCGATTAATGGCTCGACTTTGCAACCAATAATGACTCTAAATCGTACTGAAAAGCGATTGTTCATTCATTTGTAACAAATTGTGTGCCTGTGCGATCCCATTCTCAGATTAACCTTTTACAGTTTTGCAACTGTATTTATGGATTTTGTACTATTTCGTTTGAAGGTCTTTCTGTTATATACTTTTGGTTCCTTTTTAATCATATATCACTCATATGCTCTTACTTCTCCCCCATAGTACATGTTTCTGATGGAAAAGGCGGCCGCGACTCCAGCAGTCTCACCATCAGTGTAACAAATGCAAACGATGCCCCACAATTCCTTGGGGCGCCATATACGGCGGCCATTGATGAAGGGCTTTCAAGTGGATTCACCTTACTAACGGCTTCGGCAATCGATGATGACAGCGGTGATACGCTGCAGTACAGTCTTTTGGGTACCAACAACGCTGACTTTGCGATATCAAGCAGTACTGGTCTTATAAGTACTGCAAAGAGCTTAGATTATGAAACAGTGACCTCATACGCCCTCACTGTATCAGTGCAGGACGGCAAAACAACCGTAACAACTTCTTTGACAATTACTGTAAACAATAAGAACGATGCACCTGTGTTTAAGAACGCGCCGTATCTAAAAGCGGTTGATGAAAACGACGCAGGCGCACCCGTATACACTGTGAGTGCAACAGACCAGGATACCGCCGACAGCTTGCAGTATTTTCTCTCTGGCTCAGGTTCAGCTGATTTCGTTTTACACTCTTCCACAGGAGTCATAACTCTGTCTCGCGCACTCAACTATGAATTAACACCTTCGTATTCCTTATCGATCCTTGTACTTGATAGCAATGGAGAAAGCTCAACAACGAATCTTGAAGTGACAGTGAACGATTTGAACGAATCGCCAAGATTTGTTGCAACACCATACAGTGCGAGTATCGATGAAAATCTTCAAACAGGATTCCATGTTGTACAAGTGACCGCGACTGATGAGGACAGTGGTGATTCTCTAACATATTTTCTATCCGGAGAAGACAGCAGTCACTTTGAAATTAACTCACTCACAGGCCTGGTGACCACTACACAACCACTAGACCGGGAGACCGTGCGCTCCTATGCGCTTTTTATCAATGTAACTGACGGTACAACTTCTGTCAGCGAGCCACTGTCAATCACCGTTCTTGACAAGAATGACTCGCCTTCTTTCACCGCAGGCTCCTACGCTGTCAGCGTGGTCGAAAACGACGCAACAGCCGTTGTTTACACAGCTAACGCAACAGATCAAGATAGTGGCGATTCTTTGACGTTTACTCTAACTGGATCTGGAAGTGTGGACTTTTCGCTTAACCCTATCACAGGCGTGGTGATTCTGACACGTGCTTTGGATTTTGAGGCCACGCCTGTGTATTACCTCACTGTCACAGCCAGTGATTCGAACGGAGGCGTGGCCACTACAAGCCTTAATGTGACAGTTGTCAATCAGGACGACTTGCCACAGTTTGTAGGTACACCGTACAGCGTGAATATCGATGAAAATCTCCCTGCAGGAACCACTGTGGTAACAGTACAAGCGAGCGATGAAGACGCTTCAGACGCTCTGAGCTACAGCTTATCTGGAGTCAATAGCAATCATTTTAGAATAAGCTTAAGCACCGGAGTTATCACCACAGCACAAGAGCTCAACAGAGAAAATATTAGTTCTTATATACTGAACGTGTCGGTATCAGACGGCAATGTGACTGTTGTTGAACGAATAACTATCACTGTGGATAACGCAAACGACGCTCCCATGTTTTCTAACACGCCTTACACTGTCAGTGTCGACGAAAACGTCAACAGTGGAAATCTTTTCACTGTAAGTGCCTCAGACGAGGACGGGGATGCCATTTCGTTCACCTTATATGGGGTAGGAAGTGAGTTATTTTCAGTGCATTCCAGTAGTGGAGTCGTGTCTTTGGTTGAAGTACTTGATTTTGAATCTGTCAGCGGTTACACACTAACGGTCCGGGCTAGTGACAGTTATGGAGGAGTGGCAGTTACGTCACTCTATGTCAACGTTGTCAATCAAAATGATGGCCCCGCCTTTGTGGGAACGCCTTATAGTGCGAGCGTGAACGAGAACGTTGCAATTGGTAGCACTGTCATTTCTCTTACGGCGACTGATCAAGACGGCGACTTTTTGACGTTCAATCTAACCGGAAGTAATGACTTTACCATTGGTACATCCAACGGAATTATAAAAACCAACCAGGTATATATATTCTATCATAAAAACTTTTCTAGATGATTATGTAAAGGAAAACTGTAAACTGGGGTGGGTTATTGTGTCTAGTTCATTCTGACGAGTGTATTTCGATCGAGTATCGTGAAACCAGACACAGTGTTTATAACAGCCAGTTAGAAATATGGATATGCCATATGACGCTAATAAGGACTTTATGGGGAATAGCGGTAAATGCAGTTAAGCGAAGAAAAACGCCGGCGGTTAAACTGTCTGGTTTCAGTTTCTTGCATTTTTTGATGAGGGTTTTGCGAGTTTTTGAAACCAGTTAGGGAGTTTACTGCAGAAAAAAAGGAAATCCCTTATACTTTTTAACACTTAAATAAAAGTTGCTTCAGAGTCTTCTTATAACCATACCTGGAATCTGAATTTGGGATTTTCTTCAGTCTTTAATCGAAAAGATTTTTGTTGACGATGCTTCTGACAAAAGTCAAAGATCAAATTGTTTTGATTTTTATCTACTTACTTTGGTTTTTTGTCATTTATGCCAGAAGTGTTTTATCTATTTGGCCAACCACCATGTTAAACCGTAATCGATCAAACGTGACTCATGTTCTTTCCCGCGTTTTGCCTGTGCCTGTTACATGTTCTTTCTTTTGGTAGCCTCGCGTAGATATGTGTTTGCCATCTCTTCTTACCAGGTTTTGGATTATGAAGCGAACAGCTCTTACTCCCTGACCGTGCGTGTTTCTGATGGCTCGGCGATAGTCTCTCAGCCGCTGACTATTAGCATCCGGGACGTGAATGACCCTCCAGTATTTACTGATGCGCCTTACGCCGTGAACGTGAATGAAAACGAGGTTGCAGGCGCAGTTTATACAGTCAGCGCCACAGATCAAGATGCTGGTAAGTGTGTTAGGGAGGATGATACCTCTCGTTTGGTATCTCTTGTGAGGGTTCATGTGTTTGCAGCTTTTTCTTTTCATACGCCAAAGATGTATGTGAGATTGACCCGCTGTTGATTAAGAGCGTTTGTTGATTTACTAGCTCGAACCTCTTGACATTTCTTTGATACCTTGGAGCATTATACTTAAGTTACAAAATTAATTCAAAATTAATCTGAGAGCACGAGAGTTCTTGTATTGTTGTCTAAATGGAAAAATACTCAGCAAAAAACATCTAACGTGTGTTTCGGAGATATCAATCAGACTGAACTGTGTGTGAACTTCTTTTTATTCCAGTTGTTGACTTCTTTCTCTCATTAGTGACGAAAATGAACACTAATTATACGTACATAATTAGCCGTTAATGTACTGATTTCATGACACCCTCCCGGGCCAAAAAATGCCGATCTAATATTTACACTGTCAAAAGGTAATAGTATTTAAAGTTCATTAAGTTTAGAGAGTTCATTTATTTTTATTGCAGCTCGTTGATCACTAGTATCTAATTTCCCGGGTCTCGGCACCAGTTTCGGAGATATCAATCAGACTGAACTGTGTGTGAACTTGTGTTTATTCCAGTTAGTCAAATACTTCTTTCTCTCATTAGTGACGTACATAATTAAAGATGATGATATGAGATTTTGGACTTCCTTTTTTTTATTTAGGTGATTCAGTTACATTTCTGCTGGCTGGTCCAGGAAGTACTGACTTCTCCATTCATCTAACTAGCGGTGTTGTATCATTAAGTCAGGCGCTAGATTACGAATCACTTCCATTCTATTTGTTAACAGTCATTGCCTCCGACACGAATGGCGGTATGGCTCAAACTATACTCAATGTGTCAGTTGTAGATCAGAATGACTCGCCTGCCTTCGTTGGTGCTCCATTTGCAGCCCAAATTGATGAAAATCAAGTCAGCGGTTCCACCGTGTTAAAACTTACTGCCACTGATCAAGATGCAGGTGATTTGCTGACCTTCAGTATCGCGGGTTCGGACCACTTCGCTTTATCTTCAAGTGGGCGTATTACGACCACCAAAATCTTAGACTTTGAGTCTGTGAACACTTACACTCTGAGTATCTCTGTCTCTGACGGTAAGACTTCTGTAACAGAAGCTATAACCATCTCAGTCCGTGACACAAATGATTCGCCAGTGTTTGTTAATTCGCCTTCTGCTGTCACCTTACCCGAAAACAATGCTAGCGCTGTCGTGAATGCAATGAGTGCCATTGATGACGACAGCGGTGAGATACTGACATTTTTCCTATCAGGGATAGGCAGTAGTGATTTTTCCATCCTGTCATCTACTGGGTTAGTTTCACTTAGCAGAGCGTTAGATTACGAGAGCAAGTCTAGTTACGTGTTAAACGTTATTGTGCGTGATGAATACGGCGGTCAAGCGAGTTCTTCTTTGAGCGTTACGGTCTCTGACGAAAATGATGCCCCTAGTTTTGTTGGGACTCCGTACAGCGTGTCACTTGATGAAGATTTACCCGTAGGAACCATAGTGTTGCAGGCTTCTGCAGTTGATGAAGATTCGTCCGATATCCTAGAATACACCCTCTCTGGTGATAACAGCACAGATTTCAGCATTGCTCAAAACAGTGGCATGATCACAACGGCTGTTAGTCTTGATTACGAGTTAGTTAGCTCTTATTCCCTAACAGTGTCTGTTACAGATGGAAAATCTTCAGTCTCGCAAGTGATCACTATTAGTATTACGGATGAAAATGACTCACCTACCTTTGTAGCCGCGCCTTATTCAGTCACAGTCGCAGAAAACACCACCACAAGCACACTGCTCACGGTGAGTGCCACTGACAAAGACAAGCCGGACAGCTTGAATTTTCTACTTTTGGGATTTGGCAGTGAATTTTTTTCACTGCACCCAACATCCGGGGTATTGGCTTTAACTACGGCATTGGATCGCGAGGTGACATCATTATATACTTTAACTGTCTTTTTATCTGACAATAATGGGGCAGTCACGACCACATCAGTATCTGTTTCTGTCTCGGATGTCAATGATTCTCCCCAGTTTCTTGGCACACCTTATGCAGCGACCGTCAGTGAGAATCTTCCTAGCGGAAGTGACGTTATAAAAATTGCTGCAAACGATGCAGACGGTGATGCTTTGAGTTACAGTTTATCAGGAACAGACAGCGGATGTTTCAAGATTTTTCCCTCTTCCGGTTTGATTGAAACTTCAAAGGAGCTGGACTTTGAGGCAGTCAGTTCTTACTCTCTGACTGTAACTGTAAGTGACGGAAAAATCAATATCTCCACGGATCTTGCTATCTCTGTCATAAACGTAAACGATGCACCTTACGTCACTAATCTACCTGCCAACGTCAGTTTGTTCGAGAATGACGTCACGGTTCCCGTGATTGACGTCAATGCAACAGATCCCGACGGCGACAACATCACTTTCAGCCTAAGTGGAAGCGGAAGTGACGACCTTGTCATAAATCCCGCCACAGGACGCATAACCTTAAGCAAGCCGCTTAACTATGAACTACAGGCGCTCTATTCGTTGACAGTGAGGGTGTCTGATGGGATAGGAGGCGTGGCTGTAGCGTCAATCACCGTCATAGTTGTCGATCAAAATGACGTGCCTGTAATCCTAGGCGCTCCACACACAACAAGCATTGACGAGAATGTGAATGACGGAATTGTGGTCTATGAAGTCGCAGTCGTTGACGAAGATACCGAGGATTCTTTTACCTTCAGTATATCAGGGAAAAACAGTAACCATTTTGCAATTTCAGCCGCTGGAGTCATAACCTCAACTCAGAAGCTGGATTTTGAGGCTGTTTCTTTGTATACTCTTATTATAACCGTCTATGATGGCACAGAAACTGTCAACACAACAATGACAATCTCCGTCGTGGATAGCAATGACCCGCCCCAGATCCTCAACGGCCCGTACACGGTCACTGTGGATGAGAACGATGGTAGTGCTACTGTGGTCAATGTTACTGCGGTGGACTTCGACAGTGGTGAGTCTCATATTTCGTTGTACAAACGTATAACCGTTACGAAGAAAAACTGAACATCGCCTTCTTGATGACATGGCTATGTTCGACGCTTAACCTGAAATTTCTTTAATATCCACAAAAAACCCATAGCTCTGCCCTGATTGATGACATCCTTCTGTAGCCTTCTTCTCAGTTTGATGGCCAGAGCTTGGGTGGGAAAGGCAAGCCATTTGCTTCTTTCTGGAAAGGATAGTAGTCCATCGTGGGCAACTCTTTGCGCGAATACCTAAGAATTCACGAGCATTATTTATACTCTTTAATTGAGTAAGGCGGAGAGCGAGTTTATCCTTCTTAGCTCCTATGAGTGATCAAAAAAAAATTTTTTTCCTCACAATATCAACACAAGATCAGGCTTACAAGTAATGAGAATATATTAATATCAATTACGGGATTATCAGTTGATCTAATGCCAGATTTTCAAGTCTAAGGGCTCAAGAAGTGTCTAGCAGACAGTAAGCAGAATTGCCAATGAGATCTTGGGAGTGAAAGGGTTTAGTGCGTTTCGTAAAACATATGTACAGTGACTCATTGGAGGTTCAGACCGTGGGCCCATTTCTTCAGTAAATGTTCTGTAAATTACCGGTACCGTGAAAACCAATCAGAATGGATCGTTGCTTTTTGTTTTTAGCTCAACCTACTGTTTGTAAGATTTTTAAACATGGTTTTTAAACCATTCAAATTAACAGGAATTTTGAGAAACAGGCCCTTAACTGCAAGATCCTTATGCCAATGCACTCATTATTTCTTGTGTGAAATTTCCTTAGGTCCAGCCGATTTGCTGACCTTTTTTATGCATGGTGCTGGTAGCAACTACTTGTCCATCCACCCAACCACAGGAGTAGTAAGCCTCTCACAAGCCTTAGACTTTGAACAAGTCCCCCAGATTATAATGACAGTGGAAGCCAGGGATGGCCGCGGGGGATTGGCCGCGACCAGTTTGACTGTTAATGTAAATGACAGAAACGATGCACCTGCATTCCAGGGAACCCCGTTCAGTGTTGCTATCAACGAAAATGTCCCGTATCGTTCAACTGTGGTCCAAATCACAGCTACTGATCCAGATAGCAGTGATACCCTCAATTACACGCTATCGGGAACAAACAGCTCTTATTTCCAGATCTCTTCTGCGACTGGTCTGATACTGACCGCGCGAGAATTGGATTACGAAGATGTGAATTATTTCTTTCTCACTGTAAGTGTTAGTGACGGGAAGACGACAGTTACCCAACCGCTGACCGTCACAATCACTGACACAAACGATTTACCCATGTTTTTAAATGCCCCTTACTCAGTGCAAATCAACGAAAATGTCATCTACAGTTCCATTATCTGGGCAAACGCCACGGACCCTGATAACGACACATTGCGTTTCACGCTTTCTGGATCACGAAGCTCACAATTCACGATTCACGGATTGACTGGCTTAGTCTCCCTAACCGAAACGCTGAACTTTGAAGAATTCACTACGTTCGTGTTGACACTAACGTGTCAGACGGAAAAGGTGGTGTGAGTGATACCACACTGACTGTCGAGGTCATTGACCATAATGATCCGCCTACCTTCGTTAACACTCCATTCAGTGCGGTAATCGATGAAAACATCGATATTGGAACACAAATTATCCAAGCGTCAGCTACTGACGAAGACAAGAACTCCTCTCTCACGTATTCGCTCACTGGAGCCAACAGCTCGGTTTTTACGATTTCCGTAACAGGTATCATATCTACGATAGGGGTGATCGACTTCGAAAGCCGCAGTTTGTACTCATTGACTATCTGGGTGGGGGACGGTGCCTCAACTGTGAGCACTCCTCTGACGGTGGCCATCAATGATATCAATGATATGCCAGTGTTCACCAACACATCCTACACTTTATCACTGAAGGAACGAACCGGTGCATCAGTCAGCATTTTGCAGGTCTCTGCTAGCGATCAAGACGGAGACAATATTGCATATACCTTCGTAGGAATCACTAGCTCAGATTTTACCATAAACAGTGCAAATGGTGTCATAGCTACATCTGTCGTTCTGGATTACGAGAGAACACCTTCCTACGTCCTTAACGCGCAAGCAGATGATGGAAACGGCGGAAAGACCTTGTCCAATGTCATAGTAAATGTTATTGACCTTAATGATGAAACACCATTATTCAATAGTGCCTCTTACAACAGTCACGTGACAGAAAACGCTTTGATTGGCTCATCTGTTATGACAGTGACTGCGTCAGACGAAGACGCTGCTGACAGCGCGCTGGCTTATGAACTGTCAGGAACAAACAGCTCTCACTTTACTGTGACAAGCAACGGTTTGATACAAACAGGGAGAGACATTGACTTCGAGAGTGTCCAGGGCTACTCGCTAACTCTAACAGCCGCAGACAGTGCGAATAACACAGGCACAACTGTTATAATAATTACAGTGGTGAATGTGAATGATAATGATCCAGTTTTTAGCGCTGCAACGCTCAGTGTAGATGTGTCGGAAGGCAGTGCTCCTGGTACGAGTGTCGCCCAGTTAACAGCAACTGACGGTGACCTTGAGGACACTATAACATACGCATTGTCAGGTAAAGTATCTTTTAATCATTACTAGTACCTTATGATGTTAGTACATTTAGCTTTGTTACACACGGACGAGTCTTTTTTCTTTTGTTTAATGCTCCCATAATGCTGTTAATTATACTCATTAAAATTTCCTTACATGTGAGTGGTGGATGAATGCCTCATTTTTCGCTAATGATTCTGTCCAGTTGTAATCGGCCCAGTATAATCGAGTATTTGGATTAAATCGGACAGTTACATCAGCTAGTCACTTTGGGAATACTCAAATGAATCCACCAATAAAACAATTAATCAAAGTGACCATAGCAATGGCATATCATCCCAATCTAAAGATTTCCCAAAACAAAGGAAGCTGTTTCTAGAGTTTTTCGGTGTGTTTTTGTCGAAGATTATAGTGGTTTATTGTTGAAAGATTAGAATAACAGACCTTTTTTTAATCAATACATTTTTTTTAAACTTGGAAATTAAAATGGTTTATAGTTGATCTTCCAATTCGGTAGGTGGTCATAATCGTGATAAAAAAGAGAATCGATCGGTTGTTTTCCCTCAGCTTTTAGCTGCATAAGCAATTTGTCGAACTGAAGGAAGTGAAGCTTACTTTCGATGACGTGCATACTTGAAACATAACTCAGTATTAGTTTTAATGTTACTAAATCTACCCTGACATAGGATCTGACAGTGTCAACTTTGCTGTCAATGAAAATACTGGAGTTGTCTCCACTATTGCCCTACTGGATCGTGAATCCCAAGATTTTTATTCCCTGACTCTCACTGCCACGGATTCTGGGGGTCTTTACTCAATGGCTACAATTAACGTCACAGTCACTGACGTCAACGATAACACTCCCGTATGTGCAGAGGCCGTCTACGCAGCTTCAGTGGCAGAAAACGTAGCTGTTGCTTCTTCTTTGGTAACGGTATCATGTTCTGACCTGGACGCGGGCTCAAACGGAGAGGTTTGTAACCTTGCTGCTCTATCAATTTTATCCATTCTTCTTGCCTCAGGCTGCCCTTTTCTCTTTGTGCACCATTGCATACGAATCTCGTGGGTTGATTTTTCTTATAATTGTTTTTAATAAAAGCGGGTGCAGAAGTCTACGGGTCGTGCTGGTGAGAGAAATTTTAAGTTACACAATTGATTAGTAAACTCTCTCCTAAGTTTCACAAAAGCAGCAATGTTTGAAAGCATTTTGATTTTTTCTCTGTCTTCAGGTGACTTACAGTATTTTGTCGGGAGATGGCGGAGTCTTTGTAGTGAACTCTTTAACTGGCGTAATAAGTGTCAGTGCTTCTCCAGATTATGAGTCGTTACAAGAGTACTTACTGACTATACAGGCCACAGACGCTGATTCGCTGCCGCTGACCTCCATTACCACGGTAGTCCTTACAATTACAGGAGTCAATGAATTTATTCCTCACTTTATCCCTAATAACTCTTACATCGTCACGGCTGCAGAGAGCTTGGCGCTAGGACATAACTTGATCACTGTGTCGGCCAATGACGCAGATGCTGGTTCCCAAGGCGAGGTTACTTACACCATAAGTACAGGAGATACATACGGGAATTTCGTGATTGATAGTCACACTGGAGTCATTGAATTGGTTTCTAGTTTAGATCACGAGGCTAGTTCTCAGATCACTCTCACGGTGACTGCCACTGACAGCGATTCAGCGAGTCCGCTCAGTGCCCAGGCAACCGTGACAGTGAATGTGGTCGACGTGAATGACAATCACCCAGAATGCCTTCCGACATTGCTAGCACCCGCAGTACTAGAGTCAGCTGTTTCTGGCGATGTTGTGGCCACCCTTAATTGCAGCGATCCAGACAGTGGAGGCAATGGAGAATTATTTTATACCATCTCAGTAGGAAACTCAGATGGTGAGATTACGAATACTGAACAAATTATGGAAATGTTGTGAACTTCGTAAATCTGATGTCGAAAATTGTCTTTTCTGAAGGTTTTTAAACCTTTTCCATCGAAGAGGCTTTTCTTTGCAACTCGTTCAAACTAAACGAGAATTTTTCAGGATATTAAAGATGTTTATGTTATGGCCATAACGAAACTGTCTACTGCCTTTAGATAATTTTACCTTAATAGATTGTTTCGTAAAGCTGTGCTGTTTTTTTCTCCCTCAGGAAGATTCAATATTTCAAATGCAGGCAAAGTGAGCGTGACAGACATTTTAGATTACGAGACAGTCACGTCATACTACCTGGTAATCACCGTCACAGATGGAGGTGTCCCTCCTTTGTCAACTGAGGTTTCTGTCGCGATATCTGTGTCTCCCGTCAACGAGTATGCCCCAGTCTTCGTCAGCAGTGGCAGCTATTCGGTCTCAGTCCCTGAAGATACAGACCTCGGCATGGAGCTCATTCGTGTTACGGCAAACGACGGGGATGACTCAAGTCATGCGCACGGAAGAGTAATTTACTCCATCATTTCCGGAGATACCGGATTCTTTTTCTTCATATCTGCTGACAGTGGGGCGATACAGCTCGCAAGGAGCCTGGATCGAGAAGTAGAGTCATCCTATGTCCTTATAGTCAAGGCTACCGATGGAGAAAATGACGTGAATGCCACAGTGTCAATCACTGTCACAGACTCCAACGACAACCAACCCATTTGTAGCCCTTCCTCGTATAGTGCTGCAGTCAGTGAAGATGTGGGGCTGGGAACTAGTATATTGATTATCACATGCTCTGATGACGATGAAGGGAATAACGGGCTATTAATTTACAGGTGATGGTTTCTCACGTGTTTACTTATCCACCATGTACTCATTGACTGAGTGAGAGGACAGGGAAGATGTTTAGCTCGAAGTTACAATGTACGAACCGAGCGCAGCGAGGTCCGTACGTCATGACCGAGAGCCAAATATTTCCCATCAAGCCCGACCTAACTCAGTTAATTATAAAAAGAATTTTATCGTATGGCCGTTGCTTTCCCTTTTTCCTCCTTTCTCCTTTTAGCTAGCATCTAACAGCCATCATACGAAGAATTTTGTCTAACATTTCTCATTCCAAATGCGGGACCTAACGGGTCATATAATAGTACAATTATTTATGACCAACTGTTAATCAAAATTCATCAGATTGTGTGTTACACTTGCCTTTCGCGAGCCACTGTCCTCTTCTTTCGCGGATGCAATCCCGCAGCTCTATGTGGTGTTTCAAATGTCAACTGAGCGTTGAATATTTTTGTTCTTTGTATCTTTATAGTATCATATCCGGGAACACTAACAGTAGCTTCACCATGGACTCTAACGGCACCCTGTTTACAGTCGCGTGGTTAGACTACGAGACCACGCCCACTTTCACATTGTCAGTTCGTGCAAGTGACTCGAGCAGTCCGTCATCATCTCAAAAATCCACTTTTATGGAAATAAGTATTGATGTTATTGCAGTGAATGAGCATGAGCCCTTGTTTGCCTTTGCTCAGTATGTTACGAGCGTAACTGAGGACACGGCCGTGGGAACTTCAATTATCAGGGTAACGGCTACGGATCAAGATTACGGACTGCAAGGTAATCCCCGATGTCTTTGTTAAAAAGTTCTACGAAATGATAGCATAGGATATTTGCGCAGCAGAATACTAACTTCAACTTGAAGAATAAAACACAATGGTAGTTTTGTAAGATAGAAAAATACAAGAGAGGGTTGAGGACTCTAGAAGCATCAAGGATGGCTAAGAATAGAGAAAATTTTCTCGTACAATGATCGTCAAATGTTCGTGAAACGAATTGTTCCCGAAAGACCGCTAAATAGATTTTGATTGGTTCCGATGTTATTCTTTTTGTTATACTTAGTTACTATCGTGAGCCTGTACGATAGCAAAGTGAGTATGCGCAGTAGTCCCAAATAATTGAACTTGAAAAATCGAAATACCATTTTGTAAGAGATATTTAAGAGGTAGGTATGTTGCATACCTGACTGAAGGTTAATCAACTTATCGAATACCAAGAGCATCCTGATGCATACTCAGTTCAAATATGAGTTTTACTGAGTCAGACATTTTTAAATGCTGTCTTAGGAGATGTTAGTTACACCCTGACACCGTTATCAGAACCGTTCTATATCGACACTAACAGTGGTGTGATTCGTGTGAAGACCAGCCTTGACAGGGAGAATGTCGATACCTACATTTTGACAGTCACCGCCACTGACAGGGACCGCAACATAGCCGATCGTAGATCATCGTCCGTGAATGTCACTGTTACTTTGACTGATGTTAATGACAATGATCCTGTGTTTTTTCCTGATCATTATAAAGTAAGTGTATTAAAATTCATCAAAATGTAAGGTTTATAAATGCAAGATTTTGTCCTGGTTTCTGTCGTACGAGGCAACTGATTGATTCGTACTTTTACTGAGAATAACCCTTTGATACAGGTTGAATTTTATGAAAATACCACAGCCGGTTCCAGTATCACTCAACTGCAATGCACCGATCAGGACCTGGGCACTAACTCAGCCCTTGTGTACAGCATAACCGATGGTGACCCGGATGGTTTTTTTAACATTTCCTCTGGCACTGGTCGAATAACCTCAGCTAAAAAACTCGACTTTGAAGACGCCCAATCATATTCCTTGACTGTTGAGGTAAGTGACAGTAGTTCACCATTCAACTCGCGACACACGTCTGTATCTCATGTTGATGTCATAGTGACTCCACTAAATGAACACGCGCCTGTGTTTAGCCAGTCGTCGTATGACGTCACCATCTCGGAAAATACGGCGATTGGTGCTTCAGTTCTGTCAGTTACTGCTACAGATGGTGATTCTGGCTCGCAAGGGGAGTTGAGTTTTGCTCTGTCCAGCGGCTCGCCATTTTACATCGACAAGATCAGCGGCGTCATAAGATTACAACAGGAGTTGGACTTCGAAGCTGTGACGTCATATTCTTTATCGGTGACAGCAACTGACGGAGATTTAAATTCCCCTAAATCGTCAGTTGTTAACATAACCGTAAAGTTGCGTGATGACAATGATAACGCACCAAAGTTTAGTCCCGTCCTGTATAGCGTGACAATCACTGAAGATACGGCCGTTTTTACTAACATCTTGAATCTGACATGCGCGGATGCCGATTCTGGTACGAATGGACAATTTCATTTGGCAATAACATCAGGTAAATAACTACTTACATATTTCAGCGCAAAACTTATTGCTCGTAAACTAACTAACCTTAGATGCATTAGAGGTCTGTAGCACTTCATGGCCGATGATCCAATAAATGCTTTGGAGGGGGGGGGGGACACGCATGTCATCTGGTCGTGATTGGTTTGAATCTGACCTCTCAATGGCTCTTAGTAAGGCACAAATCGGAGCCGATTTTCATATCAAATTCAAACCCCAGACAATGAAGGATTATCTTTTTAAACTTAGTAAACAATTTTCCTATGTTTTTCTTCCTCACTCCCTAAGGGAATGCTGGTACAGGATTCTCCATCTCAGACGAGGGATTTCTAAGTGTTGCCTCTTCTCTAGATGCAGAAACAGCTTCTTTCTATTCTCTTGAGATCACCGCAACAGACCGGCACCCAAGCCAGCCGCTCTCCAACACAGCAAAAGTAGCGGTTACCGTTACTGGTAAGAAAGGTCATCTCGTTATTTACAATGGCACTTTTCAAATAACCGAGGGAGTACGAGCTAGCTGTTTGAATTTTTAAATTCTTGACTTGTTGATCTGCTGAGTTATGTTAAATGAAGTTGAAGTGAAAGTGAAATATTAGTTATACCCGGATACATTAAATCTGCAATACCCTTTTTTTCTTCTCTCTCCCCTAGAAATATAAATTTTTTTTCATCGCCGTTAGCTCTATCTTTAATCGTAATTTGGAAAGCACCTTTTCCTTTTCTTTTTTCTAGATGCAAACGAACACTCTCCGCAATTTACAAATGGCGGATCGTACATCGCCCTGTTGGCAGAGAATGTTGGTGTAGGAGCATTAGTTTCCAGTGTTTCAGCGTCTGATCTTGACATCGGCTCTGCATATGGCGTTGTTACTTACGCAATCACATCCGGAAATACCAATGATGTCTTTGCGATCAGGCCGACTGATGGTATGGTTTTTGTGAAGCGTTCGCTTGACAGGGAGACAACAAGCTCTTACAGTCTTACAATTAAAGCCAGTGATCAAGATCCAGTTTCTCCCTTGTCATCCACAGCCACGCTTCAAGTTACTCTCACGGACACCAATGACAACGCACCTATATGCAATCCTTGCATTTACGGAGCATCCATCAAAGAGTCTGTTGCCATAGGGACAATAGTTATTCAGTTAAACTGTTCGGACGCAGATCTTAAGCCGAATGCGATCAGTGGGTACACAATAACTACTGGTTAGTATCAATACAGAACTTCAAACGTTGACAATCTCGCACTCTGATTTGTTTTCCTGAATGGGTTTGCTGCTTATAACTAACGCAACGTAACGTAACGGTCGCTGATTTTTCCTTTTACGATAGGGTCCTTATCTTGCTACCGGGTTGTGCCGCTTACCTCGAAAGATACATGTTAGAATTTTCCTTAGAACAAGGAAAAATCTTGGTTGATATTCTGGGCATTCAAGTTCATGAATTCTAGACCCTGCTGAGAAGAGCACAAGAAAATATTGAGGAATGAAAATAGCCTTGTTGTATTTTCCCAAATATTTGTATTATTGTAAGAAACACTCTAGATACATAAAGAAACGTGCCATAAACAATGAATCACCATGGTTTTCGTTCTCTAGTTCTTAAAATTGCTTCTGGAAATTGTTGTTTAAGTCAATTATTGTTTTGGATAGATGCTCTTCGTCGTATTTAATCGAATCATTCTTCACTGTTTATGTGAAGTTCATTGATAAAGACAATACATGCAGTTTATGAGGATTAAGGAGTTGTTCGATTTGATCGTTTAGTTAAATAATTTTTTTTAGAGTAAAAATCCTTTTTAGAGCAAGTCAACTTCGAAGTAGTCCCATGTAAGTGGTTGTCAAGGCCTATGGTCGTTAAGTTCGATATATGCATAATGGCCTTAATTTGATGAAGTATTTATTTCGTATATCTAACATTTGCTGCTGTTCTTCTGACTGCATAGCTGTACGTTTTCCTTTCAGGGAATACGACTGCCTTTGGTGTGAACGGAGATGGTCTAGTCACGACACTCGTCACTCTAGACTTTGAGGCTATTAAGTCCTACCTGCTCGTGATCACGGTATCTGATGGCGGCTCGCCCAAGCTCACCACCAACGTAACTGTCAGTATCCAGGTCACCGGAGTAAATGAGTTTTCGCCTGTGTTTAGTAACTCGACATATGCAGTCAGCCACTCAGAGGTTAGTTAAAGATACTTATCTGTTTTGTATGGATTATAAAAACTCAATTTTTTTCTCTAAGGGATAGGGGATGGCCTTATGTCCGCATAATACACAAATGTCCTAATTTATGTTTTGAACGGTCGTTATAGGACATTATCTTTGGCACCACTATCACATCAGTGACAGCCACTGACCGAGACCACGGACCTGATGGCTCTGTCCTCTTCTCTTTAATCGATGGCGACTCCGAAGGGAGATTTCAAATCGATCCTAAATCGGGCGTAATCGAACTAAGAAAACAGCTAGATCGTGAAACGAAGGAAATGTATTCTTTGATCATTCGAGCCACTGACCAAGGTGTTCCAAGCTTGTCAAGTACAGCGACAGTTCATGTTGAATTACTTGATGTCAATGATAATCCACCACTTTGTAACAATTCCTCTTACGTCATCGAAGTGGCAGAGAACTTCACGGTCAATGGGACGGTACTGAAACTGCAATGTAGTGACGCTGACGTTGGAGAAAATTCTGTTGTTTCATGCAATATATCTTCAGGTAAAGCCTCCGTTGTTCATACCTTGAATTGGAACAGTGGAAAATCAAATTGATTTCAATTAAATTTTAACTCTTTTTTTTCTTTTGCTGTTAGTTGGTAATTGGTTCGACTTCTTAGGCGACGCAACCAGGATATCATGTGCATGCCATCAATACAGGGATTTGTAGCAGCATGGTCTCGAAAAACTCGACTTGTACTGTTAAACGCTTATGTTTCCAACTTCACATTGCGAGGCCGTATAGGCCTAACCACCCAAAGCTGTAAGGACTCACTCAAACCTGATCATCACGTTTTTTATTTGTCGACCTACCCATAGTGTTCCTATAACTTCTTGTAGGTGGAGAACATATGTTGAGGCCTAATAGTAATGCCTTTTCTTTATTCCCAGGAAACACAAATTCTACATTTAGTGTTGATTCGAACACAGGGATCCTATCCTTGTCAGCTACCCTAAACCTGGAGTCACAGGCATACTTCGATTTGATCATCGCTGTTAGCGATAATGGATCTCCACAACTCTCTACTCAGGTCACTGCGTATATTGTGATTACAGCCGTTAATGAATTCGCTCCAATATTCACTCGGAATGGCTTCTACAATTTATCTGTTCCCGAGGATACCCCTGTTGGTACCAGTTTGGTAACAGTGCAGGCTCAAGACGAGGACAGCGGTAAACAAGGCATGGTTTTCTATTCCTTATCGATTGGTAATGAGGACGGTATGTTCCTTCTTGATCCAAACCTTGGGAATTTGATCCTAAGGAAGCCATTGGACCGTGAGGCACGTTCTCGGTATAGCTTGACGGTGCGCGCGTCTGACAACGCTCCCGCGCCCTTAACGAAATGGAGCCTTGCGATCGTGAACATAACTATTTCGGACCTCAACGATAACCCGCCTTCGTGCTTCCAAAGTGCAGTGGTAGTTTCTTTGTTGGAGTCCACAGTTGTAGGGACTGTGATTTTCACTGCAAACTGTACAGATGTAGACTCCTTTTCGATTCTTTCTTATCAAATAACTCAGGGGAACAACAAAGGAAATTTCAATGTGTCTTCCTCATCTGAAGTGAGACTCAACAGGTCACTTGACATCGAGGATGAGTCATTATTCAGTCTGCTGCTGACTGTTTCTGATTCCGGCTCACCCGTGAAACATGCGTACATCTCATTGACGGTGAAAGTACTTCCGGTGAATGAACATAAGCCAACGTTTGTTGCCAATGACCAGCTGTATAATCTGGATGTCTTGGAAAATATCACATTAGGTGGGTTAAAAATGTCGTTCGTATCTTCCATAAAAAAGTTTTCCTAGACAAATCTTTTCTGTTTATTGAACAGAAAAACTAATATTTGTTGAAAACACCAATAATCTTTTTCTTCATAAGGAACTGTCGTTTTTCAAGCCCAAGTGATCGACAATGACTCAGGAGTTCACGGAGACCTGCGGTACGTTCTTGTCAGCGGCAACGAAGACAACAAATTCTATTTGGACGAGGAACAGGGAAGACTGGTACTAGTCAAGGGTTTAGACAGAGAGACCACTGACCAGTATAACATTAGTCTCAGGGTAGAGGACAGTCCATTGAGTTCCCCGGATGTTAAGTGTTCCAATGTGACAGTGTACATTTCAGTTTCAGATGTAAATGATAACCCACCTGTGTGTACACCAGCTTTATTTGCCGAAGAAATTTTAGAAGGTAGGTGGAAAATAAGTGTAGAAAGTGACAGAAAATGATTGTATTGATCAATTTAACAACAACTTGGTTTCTGTCTTGTGATGGTTGATGAAGACAAACTCGAATTAACTATCACGCATAGAAATTGAGAGCAAATGATCAAACTCTATCCGAAAATAAATTTTCAAAGAAATTTAACACAATCTGTTTTGATACTAAAGCAAACTGTTAGAGTAATCACTTTCCTCACTGTCTATAACAGAAAAGATAGCCCGCAGTAGCGTGACCAGTCAGACATCAGCATTTTTGATAGGCCGCTATTAGATTTACACAAGATAACAATTAAACTTAGCCACTTGAAAAAGTAAGAAGTGGCCACAATGTTGCCCGTTCAACAAAAGCACCATTTCCTGAAAACACCAGATTTCGTAGCAAACTTTGAAAAGTGTTTTGAACAATGAAGTTCACATCTACACTATTTCCCAGACAGGTTTCGTTGTCAAGGCATCTACCAGAACAAAGTTATCTTTACAAAGATTTCCTTTGATGAGTTTCCTTGTTTAAAATGTGACATGAGTGAGACATTTTTAGAACAAGGAGAGTTACCGTGGAAAAAAATTCATTTTCAGACATCTACACTACCGAGGAATATGTATCCTCCACATTTTCCAAAAAGAGAGTAAAAGCATAAGGGTAATAATAATCTCGCTTCTCTTTTCTAATTTTAATTTATGTACATTGTTTTCTTTTTTTTGTTTTGTTTTTTGTTGTTGTTGTTGTTTTTTTTTCAGACATTCCTATTGACACAAACGTGACGGCAATTGCCTGTACCGATGAAGACCTGGGACCAAATGGAAATTTCTCTTTTGAAATTGTCAGCGGAAACTTTGGAAAGAAGTTCAGACTGGACGACAACAGAGTCGTTGTAAATGATAGGCTAGATCATGAGAACGAACATGAATATAGCTTGGAGATTCACGTGACAGACCACGGTGTTCAAAATAATGTAGCTGTTGTTATGGTAACATTGTATGTAAAAGCTAAAAACGAGTTCGCCCCAGTCTTCCAGCACTCCAACTACACCATCAATATCTCCGAAGCTACAGCAGTGGGTAAGTTTATTCGAAAATTTCTTTTTCAAAATTTCATGGCAGAATTGCATCCATTGTCCATTGGCCTGAGAGGAAACAAAAAATCTATCGTCTGAAAAAATCACTACATTGAATTACTGACTCATCACACACGAAGGTCTTTTAAAGAGTATTAACGCTAGAGGCAACTTACATAGCATGGGGAAAAGTGCTTCTGGAAAGGAAGGAATACAACTGAGTGTTCAATGATGGTTTTATCCAACTTGGACTTAAGGCCAGAAGGAAATACCGTTAACAGTACATTAAGTACTCCTTGATAGTGCTCAACAAGTTTTATTCGAATGGCAACACGCTTGGAATCACTCATTACCGATTCATTAAGGTTAGCCAGCTCTATGGGCGCGTTACAAAATAGTCTTTTTTTAGTTCATTCATTTATGAAGAGCCACGCAGAACTATCTTGCATCCAGAGCGAGTTTACGTAGACTAGATAAACGTAGGCCCCGGTTTTATTGCATGCAAGAGCTTTATTTAAACCCTGGAATTCGAAATTAAAGGGAATCAGTGCTAGAACAATTTGGAAGCGAAGGTTAGCTTTTCTTTGTTTTCCAAACATTCATGACTCTGAATTCTTCAGGTTCTCAAGTATTTGACGCAAACGCAACCGACTCGGATCAAGGCCTTCACGGTCAGCTAGAATATTTCATCACCAGCGGTCTGGACGGAGGAATTGACTTCGTTATGGACTTACTAGAGGGACACGTTTTTGTGGGGGCTGAATTAGATAGAGAAACAAAGGAACTCTATGTCTTGAACCTTACGGTTAAGGACAGAGCTGATAAAGAGAGCGACCGTAGATATGCTATTATGGAGGTTAGTGCAGATGGGAGCTACTGGTAAAGATATAAAAAGCTTGATTAAACTTTGTAACCAGTATTTTTGATGATGCAGTTTAATGTTGAGTCTAGGTCCCCGGTCAACGCGTTTTGCGAAGTTCTCGGTAAAACGAAAACTCCTTTTGTACGGGTTCTCAAGGGAGTAGGGCTGGGAAGACGGGTATTCTGAGAGATAACAAACAACTGACTCTGTTTACGATATGACAGCTTCAACAAAGTGTTCTCTAACTAACAGAACGGAGTGACCTCCAAAGGTATTAGGTTTGCCTCTCTGGTTGCCAGACGTAAGAAGTTCCAATACGTTTTGAAATAAGCAGACATCATTTCCTATGTTGGAAAGCAAGTTTATCATCAGTGGTACGTGTTATTGAAATCTGTAAACGTACCAACAAGTTTATTCTAAATTACTCACATTACCACCTTCCACCTTACAGTTAATCATCCGCATATCCGACGAGAACGATAATCCCCCGGTCTTCACCCAGGAGATATACACTGCCACTATCCCTGAGAATGTACCCTCAGGAGTTTTAGTCACTCGTGTTAGCACTACAGACGCCGACATCGGAATCAATGCTGAGCGCACTTTCACAATCACGGGTACGAAAACAATAAGAGAATTTCTTTAATTATAGTGCAAATCAGTAGACCTGGTTATCGAGTTGAATCAGTTTTAAAGGAATTTAGCTTTAGCTACAAGGTCCTCAAAATAGGCCGGCAAACGGAGCATTTAACCGTCTATTCTAGGAAACAAACTTCAGATTTGTTAAAAAAATAAAAAAATAATAAAAAAAAAAAATAAAAGAGGCAATGGACCCACCTAACGACCTTTGTGGCATTACAGGTGTAAAAGTTTACCGCCTACTTTGCATCATAGTCCGGTTACTCAAAATCTTTATAGCGACCCAGTAAATAGTTTTACCTGTTTAATTACCAATGATAATTCATTTTGTCCTCTTTTTCATTTTGTTCGCTGAACTTCAATTATTGTTATCATTATTATCATTATTATTTATTTTGATTTAAGGAGGCGATGGTGTCGGGAAATTCAGCATCAACAGTTCATCTGGCATGATATCCGCTCTGTCAGGTCTGGACCGAGAAACCAAAGACACCTACTACTTGTCAGTCACAGCCCTAGATGGTGGCACCCCGCCGCTGACCGGTTTGTGTGCAGTGCGCGTGTTTATCTCGGATACTAATGACCACAAGCCCGTTTTCAGTCCGACCCTATATCTAACGAGCATTTCAGAAGCTACACCTACTGGAACTGACGTGATACCTGTATATGCGTACGATATGGATGAGGGATTAAACGCTGAAATAGATTTTTCTATCGTTGGTGGCGATCCTAGGAACCAATTTCAGGTGAGTTTCCTAGGATGAGTAGAACATCTCTACTTAAACAATTATTTTAATATTTTTTTGAAAACGATGAAATCTCGACTTGTAAATTATCATGACTACAAGGCCTAACCTAACCTTAGCCTATTAACCCTTTTAATCCCATGAGTGACCAAGACCGAATTTCTCCTTACAATATCAATACAATATCATGCGGACAAGTGATGAGAATAAACCTAAATACCAATTAGGAGATTATTAGTTGATCCAAGGACAAATTCTCCAAACTAACATCATTGAATTGTAAGGCAGAAAGTAAGGAGAAATACAAGTAAGGTCTTGGGAGTGAAAGGGTTAAAAAGAACCAGAATTGGTTTTCCGTTTTCAGCAAATATTGTATTTTGCGTTTGAAGTCTTTGTTATCAGTTGACCTCTCTTTGAACATGGCTGTGCAAAAGTTTACTTGAAATTAAATATTGAGTTGGATTAATGGGACTTTCATCTCAATCCAAAAGCGTATTTGTTATATCGTTGTATAATCGTTCATTCTTCTGATACCCTAATGAGCGCATCGAACTGGAAACGATTCTGCCTTTAATGCAATTTACATTGCTCTCCACCACAGATAAATTCTACAGGTGTGATAAGCATCAAGAGTTCCTTAGATCGGGAGGACATTTCTTTCTATACCCTGCTAGTTCAAGCGTCAGACCAAGGCACCCCTCCCCTGACAGAAACCGTTTCTGTAAACGTAACAATCGAGGATATCAACGACAATTCACCGGTATTTTCTGACAGTAATTTCACCGTAACTGTGGCTGAAAATCTGCCAGTTGGCACACGATTTCTGAATGTAACTGCATCAGATTCTGATATAGGGGACAATGCCCTGCTAGCATGGTCTATCGTGAGTGGAAACGTTGGCGACGTCATGGCCATCGATTCATCCTCGGGGAGGTTATATAATGTGGGTGAGTTATCAATGACCATCGTAAAGACGTTTCCAACTGATCGTGGACAGTTTATCTCCAGGAGTGCATCAGTTTTGCTTTACAACACTCTGTGATTAGCTTTGAAATCTCGCACCACCTTTTTTAACCAATCTATACAAAGGAGGAAAGTTTTTAAAGAAACTGTGATGCTGCGTCTGTGCGGTGTTTTGCAAGATAATTTGGTTTCATCTACTGAGTTTTTAATGAAAATTTACTGCCGTAATGAGCCTTTAAAGCTGACGTTTTGAGCATTAGCCCTTCGTCAGAGCGAAGGGATGGCTAATATCTGTTTGGTTACTCGCTTTGTCTCTGTTTCAGGGAGTTTGCTTGTCTGTAATTTGAGTTCTCATTTTGCCTTCTGTTATGTTTTCCTTCGTGGTGACTTCAAGTTACTTTATGGTTAGACGTTTTCTGTAGAGCATCTAAGAAGTATTCAGGTTAAATCGATATGTTTCTCTACCATTTCTTCGTTGGCAGGTTCATTTGACCGTGAGACTACCCCGGAATACCTCTTGACAGTGAGTGTCGAGGATGCTGGAAAACCTTCTTTGAACTCCTCAACCAAAGTCACAGTGAGAATAAGCGACAGTAACGACAACTCCCCCGAGTTCAACGAAGCCGATTACACCTTCTTCGTCGTAGAAAACCAGGCAATAGGAACTTTCGTTGGAGAAGTGCAGGCCAATGATAATGATAACGGCACGCATGCGCAGCTTGTGTATTCTATCGAGTCTGGAGATGTTAGTGATCATTTTTCAATTAACCCGTCTCAGGGGACCATTTACACGGCCAAAGTGCTGGACAGGGAAGATGTTAGGGAGTATAGAATTAGTGTTAAAGCTTCAGATTCGGCTGTATTTCCATTTGACCTATCAAACGTCACGAACGTTTACATAACAGTCTTAGATCAGAATGACAACAGCCCCAGTTTTCCTCAGCCGTTTTATAATGCGTCGGTCTTGGAAAATTCCCAATCCGGGGTATCGGTTACAACAGTAACGGCTGAAGATCCTGACAGTGACGCTAATGCAGAGTTAACGTATAGCATTACCCATGAATCTTCAGTAGAGTATTTTAGTATTAGTAGTGTGACCGGAGAGGTGTTCGTAAAGAACCTGTTTGACTACGAGGAAGTGAAATTTGTGAACGTTACAGTTACCGCGGAAGATAATGGGATTGTCAGGCGCAGCGGCTCTGTTTCCTTGATTGTTTACATAAAGGATGCAAATGACAATGCTCCAGTTGTTGAAAAAGGTCAGTGCACTAGCCTTGCAGCAGCTCTTGCTGTGGATATTCCTGTACTAGTCAACGTACGTATTTTTTTAACTTCCCTCTTAAAGCTTTTTGTCTCCTATTTTGGCCAAATGTTTAGATAAGAATAAACAAAAATATGTTTACGAGAATGGTTTATTATGGAGAAGATTTTTGAACGAAAAGGTATGCATAATGGGGTTGAAAAACTTGGTGTCAAGATAAACATTGTTCATCGTTATCAATCATTGTCATCAACCTTATTAGGCAATGGACAGATCTCAGATTTTCTTAGATTGTTTTAATTCAGCTCGTGGCCGCTTGATGATAAAAAGTGTTTATCGAAACATCTGTGTTTTTGAGTAAGAATTCCCTGCTTAAACGAGACTTATCTTCTTTGTAGTTGTTGTAAAGGAATGCAATTCGTTTTCAAATAGCTCAATTCACTCTTCTTCGTTTGCGATATTCTTGTAACTTCGCAGATTTCTACGATGCACTCATTCGCCAAGACCGATCGTTCGACTCAGCTCCCATTGTTACAGTCTCTGCGACAGATAGGGACTCTGGTGACGCGGGGACTGTGGAATATGGCCTGCTGGAACCCTCTTCGGTTTTCACTTTGGGACGCAGCGATGGCAATATTCGCCTTTCATCATCTCCTGAGATCGGTAGAGTAAACTATTCTCATAAGTCTTCTGAAGTGATTCTGATTGTAAGATTTCTAAAGAAAAAGAACTAATTCAAGTCTTTGATCAGGAACATGTCTTTGCTCAGAAGACGTCTTTTATTTTACTCTTTTATAGGGAAACCATACGTGCTGCGCCTGCGCGCTACAGACCAAGGCACGCCGCCGCTGACCAGTGGTACCATTACGGTGCGAATTGATGTGACTGATCCAGAGAACACTATGGTTGATCTAGAACTGGAAATAAGTTTGGAACAATTTGAGGCAAATCGTGAGCTGTTTCTAGAGAAAATATCTCAGCTTTTGGGAGCTGAAGTAGGGATTTCAGAGATCGCTGTTATTACTGAAGAATTAAGAAGAAGAAAAAGAGAAACGAAAACTCGGTAAGAGCTAATTTTCTTGTTTGTACCCGTATGGTGTCCACTCATATTTCCATGCTCGTACCTATTTCTGCATAGCGCTTTTCTTTGCCGTGCGTTTGATGAGTAACCATGCGTGTCTTTGGTCTTTCTGGACACCTTCACCAGTTGTCTCAATTAATTTTAATGCCTTAAAATAATGTTTTGTAGCCTAAAGTTTGCTCTAGTTAAGTATTGCAGCTTTCAGTCACTGCTTTTGAGAAACTTGGTGTTTACCTTGATTCTTTCGATTTCATCCAACTTCACTTTTTATATTCATTTTTTTTTCTAGATTAAAAGTCACCATATATGCTGTAAAAAATCCAACCGGAAATACAACAGATCTTAATGAGAAATTATCGCATATCAAAGACTACATGACGCGAGACGATATTCTGAAAGTTCTCCTCGATGAGGATGGAAATCCAAGTACAAACCTGACAAATGACAAGGAGTTAGAGGTAAAGGGTTGCTACTAACGCCAAGCGCAGAAATAATAGCCACTGACTCTAAGCGCAGGAAAAGTTGTTTACTGATTCCAAGCGCGGGGAAGGTTGCTACTAACTCCGAGCGCGTGAAACCTTTCCCTAATTCTACTGTGGGAGTAGTTGTTACTGATTCGAAGCGTGAGAAAAGTTGCCACTTACTTGAAGTGCGGAAAAAGTTGCTTCCGACTCCAAGCACGGAAAAATTTTATTCTGACTCCACGCAAGGGAAAAGTTGCCACTGACTCCAAATGCAAGAAAAGTTGCCACTGACTTGAAGCGTGGGAAAAGTTGCTCCTGACCCCGAGCGCAGGGAAAGTTGCTTCTGACTCTAAGCGCGGGAAAGTTGCCATTGACTCCAAACGTGGGAAAGTTGCCACGGACTCCAAGCGCGGGAGATTCAATTCGTAGTTCAGACCTGGAATTGTAGGTCTGAGGACGTTGATTATTGAATAAGTTCATTCGACTTTAAATCCTCGGTAAAGAGAAGTATAAACCCTGTACACCCTAAGATCAGTATGTACATTCTCCATACTGTCCTCAATACATTTCCTAAGGTACCAGTAAGGAGAGTTTGTTTGACAATCCAGAGCTTCTTTACTTGCTGATGATTTTCTTTATTCTCGTGACCTAACTGTGTGATTCAAGGGTATTACTGTAGGGAGTAACTAGATGCTGGTCACTCTCAGGGGTTAAAGTGATCTATACTTAAGGAGCTGCAACAGTTAAAGAAAAGATATATATTCAATTTAGACAGTTTCCGTTGTACTTGCAAGTAGCGAAGTTTTTGTTCTTCATTTGTAATTAGTACACTATCACCATAAAGCTCTGTTGAGGGTGAAACTTTTTTCTAGGTGTTTAACATTCGCACAGTGAAGGCCACTAAACCCACCATACCATCACCAATACCTTTCTTCAAGACAACTGTTGGTATCGTTAGTCTAGTGTTTGGCTGTTTAATGGTGTTGGTGGCGATTGCTTCTGTTGTATTTTGGAAAAAGCGGGCAAAGAAGAGGTTGGTAGAAATACCTCATTTTTCCGAAGTTCATAAATACGCGAAATTTTCTTTACCTTAACTGTTTTTCAGTTATTTTCTACGCTAACGTCCTAGCCTGTGTTTTTGTTCGTGTTTTTGTTGTAGTTTGTTGGAATTTCTGTAGTTGGCCCTTCGACGTTGCTGTTTGCACCTGCTATATGAAAAACAGCTTACGCTGTCGTAAACTCGCAATGCGAAACTAAAGTTGTCGACAGCGCAAATTTCGTTCTTGATATCTGAAATCTCTGTTTACACTGTCGACCGAGCAGTGTTTAATTTTTACACATAATACATTTTCATGATGATTTATATTCTGATTTTTACATCGACAGAATACGAAGACTGGAATCTCGAGAACCTAATTTAAGGCCGAATAGAGGCCTCACAAACAGAGAAGTTGCTTTATACAAAGGTACGTGTTCCTTTCTTTAGAAAGTGGGCGGCATAAATTGTTCCCTAAAAGGGCCTTGAGGACCTTATAAACTTCTTTTGATTCATGCTCCAATTAATTTCTGAATGTGAAGTAGTGAAAAATTGATATCTAAGCTTTCTTCTTTCTAAAGGCAAGGATAAGCGAAACAAAATGGTCTCACCTATCATGGCGGAAAACCAAGAAATTGTAAGTATTCACGAAAGAGAGTCTAACTGTCGAAACGCCAGCTTTTAAAATTTCTTCTTCTTCTTCTTCTTCTGCGGCCAATTTACGTTATTAACTCAGTTGATAATACTAAATTAAGTGTACTGTTACTGCGTCTGTGCGGGAATCCATCAGAGTCTATGTGAAGTTGACCTTGATTTAGTGGACGGAAAGCTAACCTGGCTAAAACGTTGTACGGCTAATTGTAATTTAATCACCGTAATTCTTTGTGAATATCTTCTTTGCACAGGTTTCTCACAATGGAAGGCGATTCGATGGAAGAGCTGTGGATCCAGGTATTTGTAAAGCCTTAATAAAAACGGTATTATTCATTATGGTTGAAAAAGATGTTCAATGTATGATACCAATAAAAATGCCAATACGGAGTTGTGCAAACTACTTATTACTGCTAGGTGTTCTCAATGTTCAAGGAGAATGTTAAACGAGTACTTGGAGGTAATTATTTAATAAGATCAACGCTTTCAATTCCCGTTCCCCTCGTACTTTTTGAAACGTAGTTTCGTCAAGGCGTTTGTCTTTCTAATTAATTTTTCTTTTCTCAACTATTTTTCCACAGTGACTGGGAAAGTTTACCTTTTCAATAAAACAACTGGTGAGCGCATGTGGCTCGAAGACTTGCGCGAGGGAAGGAATGGTCCCCAGTCCCTTTATGGTCACCGTCAAGCGCATTCGAGGTACGGTGATCGTCAGTACCACAGAGTGCAGGACTTACCACCACCCCGAGCGTCAATAGAGAAAATACACGAATATGACCACAGAGGCAATCATCTCCAGTTACCAGGAACACCTGAGGGGCATTCATAGCGGACTCTGTATGAGCTTGGATGACAAAAAATTAAATGTTTTGACGTGTTAAGTGCACCACTGAACCTCTGAATTTAAATAATTCGGTCACAACTCTACAGAGCAATATAAAGTTTCATTAATCAAAAGCTGAACGCGGGTTTGCGTTATTTGCAGCACACTGACAAGGACGGGCAGTCAAACACAAAATGGAAAACCTACAATACCTCTGTGGCACATGCCATGCTAATCAGTTAAAATGCTCCCTTCCCCTCCTAGAACCGCCCCTTCCTTCACCCCCCCCCCAAGAAGATATGCTAGTGATCACTTGGTCAAGCGTTGGAAACTGGACGGGAGTGTCCAATAATGAACGATAGCGTCAGAAATTGGACCATAGCGTCCAGAAGCGCGGAGGCTTGGGTCCGAAAACAGAAAAAGCCTAGACGAAACCTTCCGAAGCATAAGATAATTGTTTTAAAATTAGACGGAGATTTTGATGTCTTTTCCTTAGAGGTCCAGCCCATATTGATCCGTTTTTTTCTTTACTTTGAGGAAATAAACTCTAAGATCGTTTTTTCTGCTTAATGTCATTATGTCATTATGTCATTATGTCATATCATTGTTGGTCTGCGCAACATTTTATTTAAATAAAGTTCAGGATAACGTGTAGAATGTCCGGAACCCGAGATCACTGTGCGAATTTAAAAAAAATCTTCGTATACGAGACGAAATCGATGACAGCATCAGAAAGCGGACTACAACGTCTGAAGTCCGAAAAAAGTGTCACTGAAAAAACGCCAGGACTATTGAAGGGCACTTTTTGCCGTAAGGAATTAAGAAGAAAGACAAACTTGATGAAAAAAAACCCTGCCACCCATCCCACCGTAGCTATTTGTATCCATGTAAGGAAAATTCATTTAATATTAGCATTGCCGACCGTTTGAATCATTGCGATCGTGCGGTAATGGGAATTTTTGAAAGTCTTACGCGTATTTTGAAGCTGTTGTCGCCATTATTCCAAAATGACCGTGTAGGATTTTTCAAGGTTGTACAATAAAGCCTGTTGTCATCAAAGTTAATCCGCTTTTCTTGATACGAGTCAATAAAACTGTTCAAATTAAAGGGAACTACTCAGCGGAGAGAAGGGCTTTACAGAGAGGACAAAAGTTTTACTGTAGCAGGATTTGCTATTTACTTATCTTCGGAAGAAAAATCCGAAATGGAAAGAGAAATCACCATTGCTGCAAATCTTTTATTTTGCTTTTGTGAACGAGTTGATTTTTTGGGGATGATTAACTTTAACCTGCATGTAGACTGGATGACATGCCATTAACTTCAGCAAAACACGCAAATTTGAAGTTGCCAAAAAAAAGGTTAAGCGGCTTCTATGAAGAAAACAATTTTAAACCGTGTTTAACAAAACAGATTTAAAACATGTTTACGCTGTGGTATGAAAATATATGAGATATATATTCAGGCGAGTTTTAAAAAACATTGGAAATCAACTTGTAACTTATGTTTGTCTACTAAAATATGAAGTCCCTACTAGATAAATGTGAAAGTAATGCCACGAAAAATATTACTTGGAAGTCCCTCTTCTCCGTATGCGTATGAATAACGCAAATCAGCGCTCTACAAAGCTAAAGTTTGTTCTGCTTATAGATGTATCCCCTCGATGCTTTCAGTTCTCAGTTCTTCATAGCGCACTCTACACAATGGTGCAGGCAATAGAGGTTCTTAATTCTTCACAGCGCACTCTACACAATGGTGCAGGCAATAGAGGTTCTTAACTCTTCGCAGCGCACTCTACACAATGGTGCAGGCAATAGAGGTTCTTAACTCTTCACAGCGCACTCTACACAATGGTGCAGGCAATAGTAGTTCTCAGTTCTTCACAGCACATTCTTCACAAAGGTGCAAGCTAAAGTAGTTCTCAATTCTTCACAACGCACTCTACATAAACTAATGCAATTTAAATTTGGAATTTAACAAGGTGACCGTTTGCGTAACAAAAATAATATAAGATACTCGAGAAGTTTAAAGGATGACGACATCCACTTGATAAAGGTGTCCGTTTGCTGAGAGTTAATTTACTGTACATTTGAGAAGTAAGGGATTTGAGTAGTGACCGCTTAATAAGAGCCGCATCATACAGACTGAAGTTGGAGTCATCGTTTAATTTTTTTTGAATGACCCCAGTAACAGTTTTAGTACCGAAACGTCAGCTAATTTCACTGATTAACGATTAGAAAACCGCACGCGCAACATCAATTACCTCTGTGACGTCAACTAGCAAAGACATATTCAAACCTTTCTCAACCTATATCAGTATTTGCGACTATGCCTTTCGTCACACTGTGGCAGGCGTTATTCGCCGTCGGTGAAATCATGAAGGGTTTCATGGGAGGAGATGACACGGATACTTCAAGCGACGGAGTAGAAAAGGTATATCTCAATTTAGTGTTATCAGAGTTTTCGAAAAGGCACACAAAAATCACCATTGAATTTAGCAGTGCGAGAGTCACTTAAAACTCCCTTTTTTCTTCACATTACATGAAAAATCAAATTAAGTGCACAACACTAGTACTCTTTACAAGAATACTTAGAAATTGAAGCCAAGTACAGACTTTCAGTGTGGTATAACGTCAGAGTCAATTAGTCTGACAAGTGGGGCGAACGATCGATCCAGGAAAATAACAGTGGCTGTAATCCTGAGTTGAGCCAGGATAAAGTTGACAGGAAAGAGGTGTTATTAAGTTTAATGTTTTCCTACTTTTCTGAAAAATTAAATGAATCCTCTATTCCGTTCTGAAGTAAGGATCTATGTCTAGATTGGTAGACAATGTTTGTTATGGTAAGCATCACTACAACACGTTTGTTTCCACGTTTTACACAGGTGGTCCAGGGGCATGAGCCCGAAAGAGGGAACGAGAAAGATGTAGGGTGCAACAAAAAGATGGCTGAACGAGCGTCATTCCCCGAATGCGCTCGGGTGGAAAACTTTAATAACAGTAAACCTAAGTTGAACCGGGATATAGATGACAGGAAAGAGGTATTATCAAGTGTAACATTTTCCTTTTTTCTAAAAGGGTAAATTGAGCCTCCATCTCGTTATGAATTAAGGGATCCATGATTCAAATTGGAAGACAATTTTGTAATGGGAAAAATCACTATGACACGTTTGTTTCCACGTTTCACACAGGTGGTTCAGGTGCAAGATACCGAAAGAGGGAACAAGAAAGATGCAGAGCGTAGCAAAGAGAAAGCTGAACGAGTGCCATCCTCAGAACGCGCTGGTGTGGAAACAATTAATGACTGTGGTTCTAATTACGGTGATTGTGAACCTGAGTCGAGTCGGAATACGAAAGAGGTAACATCAAGTTTAACATTATCCCACTTTTATAAAAGGGTAGATTAAGTCTCCTTTCCGTTCTTAAGTAGGGAATTCATAATTTAAATTGGAAGACAATGTCTGGTGTGAGACAGATCACTATAAAACGTTTGTTACTACGTCCGACACAGGTGGTTCAGGTGCATGACCTGGAAAAAGGGAACGAGAAGGATGCAGAGCGCAGCAAAGAGAAGGCTGAACGAGTACAATTCTCAGAACGCACTGGTGTGGAAAAAGTTAATGACTGTGGTTCTAATTACGGTGATTGTGAACCTGAGTCGAGTCGGAATACAAAAGAGGTAACATCAAGTTTAACATTATCCCACTTTTATAAAAGAGTAGATTAAGTCTCCTTTCTGTTCTTAAGTAGAGGATCCATAATTTAAATTGGAAGACATTGGTTGGTGTGAGACAGATCACCGTGACACGTTTTGTTTTGCGTCCCACACAGGTGGTTCAGGTGCATGACCTGGAAAAAGGGAACGAGAAGGATGCAGAGCGCAGCAAAGAGAAGGTTGAACGAGTACCATTGCCAGAATGCACTGGTTTGGAAAAAGTGAACAACGGTGACTCTGAACCTGCTGGTGTGGAAAAAGTTTAACATTATCCCACTTTTATAAAAGAGTAGATTAATGACTGTTCTTAAGTTCTAATTAAATTGGTGATTGTGAACCTGAGTCGAGTCCTCGAAACAGGTAACGGAATACAAAAAGAGGTAACATCAAGTTTAACATTATCCCACTTTTAACATTATCCCAATTTAATAAAAGAGTAGATTAAGTCTCCTTTCTGTTCTTAAGTAGAGGATCCATAACTCAAATTGGAAAGACATTGGTTGGTGTGAGACAGATCACCGTGACACGTTTGTTTTTGCGTCCCACACAGGTGGTTCAGGTGCATGACCTCGAAAAAGGGAACGAGAAGGATGCAGAGCGCAGCAAAGAGAAGGCTGAACGAGTACCCTTCCCAGAATGTGCTGGTGTGGAAAAAGTGAGCAACGGTGACTGTGAACCTGGGTCGAGCCGGGATACAAAAGAGGTAACATTAAGTTTAACATTATCCCACTTTTATAAAAGAGTAGATTAAGTCTCCTTTCTGTTCTTAAGTAGATTATCCATAATTCAAATTGGAAGACAATGTTTGATGTAAGACAGATCACCGTGACACGTTTGTTTTCGCGTCCCACACAGGTGGTTCAGGTGCATGACCTCGAAACAGGTAACGAGAAGGATGCAGAGCGTAGCAAAGAGAAGGCTGAACGAGTGCCACTTCCAGAATGCGCTGGTGTGGAAAATGTGAACAACGGTGACTGTGAACCTGAGTCGAGCCTGGATACAAAAGAGGTAACATCAAGTTTAACATTATCCCACTTTTATAAAAGATTAAATTAAGTCTCCTCTCTGTTCTTAAGTAGAGGACTACACTGTGTTTTATACTCTTATGCTTTTCTAGAAAGGTAGATTAAGCCTCCATTTTGTTCTAAGGTAATCGATAACTTGTCGAGAGACAAGAGATCTTTTGTGACAGAGCAATCCACAGGGAACGCATCAATGTTGGCAATAAATTTTTGCTTTGCAAAAGTTAGTAAACAATCAAATATGTGAGATTTGACAGAATAATGAAAAAAAACAACAACTTAGGTTTATATAACTTAGTCATAGCCATTTAATGTTTTTACAAATTTTGACGCAGAACTCTGGTGTTTCCCAACATAACAGCCACGGTGAATATATTGCGCACACCAGTTCTGAAAGGTAAGAGATTTCACGGCCGAAATTTTCACTGATTATACTGTTCAAGGAATAGGACCTGCAAATGCTTAGTGGCAAACAATCCTTACTCAGATTAAATTCTGAAAAATTAACGGAGATGTTAGACGGTGATTGAGTTTTAGGTTGGAGGGTAAGAGTACAGCGGAGAAGGGTGTCGAGAATAGTTCTGTCTTTCAAAATACTAGATTACAAAGTCACGATTTAACTTAACATACTCTTCGTTTTGTTTACTTTCACAGTGGTGTCAACAAGAGCACATTGAACCCTCTAGCAAGAGAATTTCGACCGGCAACTAAGGTCTGGAAGTTTATTTTTTTAGCAGATTGTGTGAATCTTTTGAAATGAACCTTCTCTTTTCCTGGAGCAGGTCATTACTTTAACTAATTTTAATTTTCTTTAAAAAGAAAACGAATATCGTTATCTTCCACTATCTCTACCCAGAGCTTAAAATCTTTTCAAATCGCAATTGATATTAAAGCCGTCTTCATAAAAGAAGCTTCAAAATCCCTTTTAAAAATTTATATTCTAGATGTGATTGACGAGAAAAAATACCCTAACAAGCTTCCCGTGGCATTATATATTTATCTACAGAATATTTATCCGAATAAAGAGGTGCAACCCAAGACAAAGGCATCGATGGGTAGAAGTTACGACAAGCCAACAGCCCAAGAGCGGCGGCGGATGCGTTCATGCGGTCCTCCACAGATGCTTGGAGTGGAGGCACCTCCATGGAGCCATCCCAAACCAAGCTATCTCCTGCCAAGGATTCGTCCCAGTCCACCAGGTGAGTGGCACAGACGAAGAAAGAGCACAGACTAAGCAAAGCAGCTTAAGATCATACGCACTAACGTTTTAGTGATTCTTATTGTGTATATGGCTTCTTAAGTATCCATAGAATGAAATAAAAAGTCTAGAGTAAGATGCAGTTTAATGAAACTTGGTGATCTAACGCAACGGAGAAATGTCAAGCGCAGTACGATGCAGAGGAATGGAAGAAAACACTACCCAGCTTAGATGGGAGGGACACAACGCAGCTGTCAGTATTCAACCTAACTCAGCGGCGTGCGAAGTAATGCAATGAAACTGTTATTGCTTGGCTTTTCTCGCTTCATTACAATATAAGGTTTTACTGTGGTTAATGCAGCTTAATGCAACTTGCTCATTCAACCCAACACAGAGCTACTAGGCCAAAACGCACTGTAGTGGACTGCGTATATTGAATGCAACAGAACAAATAAGTCTCGACTAGGCACAGTGAAATCTTTTAAAAACAACGCCAGAAAGTCAACAAAGCTACCAAGGACAGTGCTGCATCAGGTCGTAATTTACTACAGTTATAGCACAGCGGAATACGAGGGTATGGCAATACAGCACATGTCTATGCATACCCCTAAACAAAAGTCATTAAAACACGATTCAACGCAAGGAGATGGAAAGCAGCTAAATACAAAGAAGAGCGACGCATACGTGATACGTTGCCATTATGTAATAAATAGAGATATTGTATTCTCTTTTATAGGGAGACACTGCAGGATGGAAACACCAAGGGTACGGTTTACTACCTCTCACTCTCGTCCAATTCACCCACCAGTTAACATTGTGCCCAACGCATGGCAAAACACGAACATGGCTTACACAGACCAAGGAAACAATGTCGTTACGAGACAGAATCGACATCCTAGTAACCCTGTGGGGCCGTTTCCAGGAGTAGCACCATGGCCAAGGCCTTTTCTTCCCAACAATTGGCCAACTCCCCCACCGATGAGCATTTCTGCAGTACAGAATCCAAGTGCTGTTAATCTTATGGGGCCTATGCCAGGAGTAGCACCCTTTCCACTGCCCTCTTCTTCCAACACCTGGCAAACTCCGTTAACGATGAACGTTGGACCAAACACATGGGAAAAAAACTACGTGCCTGACATGGAACATGGATTTTGGATACCTGCGGAACAGAATCCGTTTCCTCATAACTACATTGGATCTGGCCCGATGCAAGTTCAACAGTTATCACCATACCCAACAGGTTTTTAATTTGCATTATAGTTCCTCTTAACGCCCAGCCATTAGCTATGTAAAAAATCCGTTTACGGAAAAAGAGGCTAGAGTCTAAACTCCGTAGAAAATATGTATTAAACTTGTTTAATGAACCACAACATTTGGCTGAAATAAAAACTCCAAAATTTTTTAAAATTCCAAACAAAGAGGTAACATATTTACGCGAACGAAAGTTCAAAAACAACAAACTAAAACTCCACGAACACAAATTAAAAGTACGCGAAAAATGTCCACATCAGTTTTTCAATTTCAAGGTAAGAGTTCGTTAACGTGATTGGCTAATTTGTGAAATCACGTACAAAATACCTAGGACGTTCGTTGATAAGAAACTTTCTCTTTCCTACCCTCTATAAGAAAGTCTATCAGAAAAATAGCCTCTCTTTAGGGCTAAGTATTTTGTGGAAGACAACTACTTGAGCAAATAAAATTACACTTAGAGAAATTAAATTGCTAATCTGTGTGTGGAGTATTCATAATCTTAGGAATTTAGGTGATTATCTCAGTGTGGCCACAATTAGTGGTTTCGCAATTGAGTACTATTAGACTTGACACTTACGTAGAGTTTCTCATCTTATCTCATCAAGCACCTTACGTAGCGGAGCAGTCTCATGCATATGGTACTAGTCCATCAGAAACTGTGAATCCTTGATCATCATGCAAAGTGCTGACCGTACCCAGCAGGTTTGTATAAATACTTATTTGAATGTTCATCTTAAAATAATTCTTCGTTGCGTTATCATTCAACTCCCACGAGAAGCAGAAACAAAAGACCCTCCCTACAAAATTAAGACCGTGACTGCAACAAGCTAAGCTCTTTTCTGGTTAGTTGTACAAAACCTTATGCAGCTAAGGCACTAGTAATTAGCAGAGCACAACTGTTTGCGCTATGGTGTTATAATGTATCTTTTACATAAGGAGGAATCAGTCGAAAATTCCTTGGAATTGTCGAGCTATTGATAGCCTTGGTTTTATAAACAGACGTCTAGAACCGTGATACGCAGCAATTTCAAGATTTTTACAACTTGTCTTTGTCAACGAATTTTTTTTTAACCAACAGGTGATCTACATCACAGGAGATGCCAGCATTTTTCTTCTGAACCTGTTTTCTATTCCCCTTAATTAACTTTTAAAGAGTGTTGTTAAATTGAGTTATGAAAGAGTTTATTTGTAAATTGGTCGTAATGTTTCCACGATCGTCAATTGCAAATTTTAGAGAACATGTCGGTTATTAAAATGATCACAAATTGCGGACCTCTTGTTCTTTTTTTTCTTGAGTAAGTAAAATTAAGTTGCTTTTGGGACAGTTGTTTCTGAAATGCGTCTGGTCGTCTGCACTTATCTCTTTCAAAAGAAAGGTAAACTACTCAGGGTCTATTGCTGTGGTGAACTGGTACAATTGTGGTGTAGGTAATAATTACAGCCAAGTGGATAAATTGGTGGATAAACTGTTTCCTCTCTTGATACAGATTAGAACACGGACAAAATTAAAGTATGTCACATGAGATTTTAATTTTCGTCTCGTACGGGAATAATTTTCAGATCTCGGTCTATCACCCTGAACTCTTATGTGTTTTTTTCATCTGCTTCTCGAAAGTTCCAGGAGCATTTTAGGGTCTGGTGCCACATTTTAAAATCTACACCTATGTAGGCGAATAGTAGTGAAGGCCTTATTTCGAAACCCTATCCCATCTGTTTCATCTTCGAAAATTTGCTCAAAACATTTGAAACAATAACGAAGGTTCTCAGCTGCTTGAAAATACCGCCGACTTGTATGCGTGTTGATCGCTTTGCAAACTGTGAAAACATCGTCCCTCGGTTCCAGACCCCGTTAATTCTGGCGGCCCCCCTCCCCCCCTCCCCCCCTCCCGCTCGCCCCATCCGCCATCCAGTTTATATTATTGCGAAGGGCTGGAAAATAAACTATCAAAAGCTCCACTGTTAGGCTTGGGTAAATCTATATATTGTATCGGCCTAAAATTTTAACTCGGCGATTATTAATGAGGAAGTTTTGAAAGTCTTACCACTTCTATTTTCACCGACTGGAAGCTAGAGTATGTCTTCATATCCAAGAAAAAAAGAAAAGTGTGACTGAAATATTATTGCCCTTTTATTCAGTTTTGTGTTAGAAGCTGTCGGATTAACTTATCGACCGAAAAGGGGGAATAACCTTGTTTGGGACACGTGCATCTGTTAATCAGAAAGGTTCTTGAGACCATTAGGCATCATCCGGATAAACCTGAAAAATTCTCACGAGCAGAGACTGGGAATAGCGACGAAACAATCAATGAACCGTGTAACCACGCAATATTTATCTAGGCTGAGCAGCCAGGTCTGTATAAGACATCTGAGGTTGTTTGAGCACTAAGTGCATCCTTGATTAAGCTGGAAAAGTCGTGAATAATCCCGTCTCTCGCGGTAAGTTTTATAGGCAACAAACTTAGCCCTCGCTTAAATATTGCAGAGATGATTCGTGAAATCAGAAATTTCTTTTCTCAACGATCGAGGCAAGTGTTTTTATTAGAGACGTGATTTTCCAGCAATTTTCCAACGATTTTGGAGCTAGCTCACATGCATGCGTAAAACTGTTGTTGAAATTCACGCTACAAACGATCTATGTAAACTTAGATTCTTAAAATCGTAAACCAGGGGTCTAATGCATATTATATGCCGGTAATTTATGCTGATCCGAAATACTGCGGTCGATTTGACTCTTGTACTTTCAATTTTGCTCAACGCAATGAATTAATCGCGTCGCGTCGATTTGCTGTCTGTAATATGGCGCGTTCGGTTTCAAAAACATGGGAAACATATGTTATTGGTCACAATCACTGTAGCGGGAAATCAAACTGAGTATCTGATTTTCACCAGAATTACTCAATGTTGCCTCACATTGTCAAATTAAGTGGTAACTACAAGCGGTTTCCAATGACAGTTCTCATCTTCTGTTGATTTACACAAAGATTTTGATTTGTTGTTCCAGAGTGGGTATCCTTAACGCAAGTAGGTATTGATTCTGGTGGGTTTATGTACTTCTTTGATTTTTCTTACTAGCAAGTACAGGTTATGTAATTTGTTTTGGTAACATTTTTACGATTAAAACAATTTCTTTTCATTCATAGCCAATTTAACTGTCAGCTTTAATGTGCATGTGATTTTAATTAAATTCTTTCTTGCTACAGCGTATGAACATGCTTCACTGTATAGCCTATTATCTGTGTTCTTTTGACTGCATTCTGGAAAAAAAGTCTTATTAAACATAGATTTAACTATCCATACACTATAGCACATCAGATATTCCAGCATGAATGCAATTGGTTTAGAAACGCAATTTAACAGAGTATTCCCCAGTCAGAGTTGTACAATACCACTATGGAGTATGTAAACAATAGCCTCTACTTAGGGCAAAAATGTGCACTGATATTTTCCCAGGGACATTTTCTGTTCCAAGATGTGAGCTGCTTTCCAAGAGTGAAGCTCGAGGAAAACTGTGAGCTTTGAGGAATAGATAATTTCCAAGAACAAATGTACAAGCATATTTTTGCACCAAATGAAGGTTGTTGTGGTTATTATCCTTCAAAGGTGCAGGAAAAAATGTTAGCGAACAGCTAACGGCTTATGGTGTCTGATGGTTACTTTTCGTTGTTCTCTAGTATGATTATGAACAAATTAATATGTTCTTTCTTCTGTAACAACCTCACAATGCTTTCTCATCTTGAATGAAAGTGAAATGCAGAATTTTCTGTATTAGACGCAAGGTTTCAAAATTGTGGAATATGACGTGGGGTATATCCCGGGGTATATCCTTGGATATCTCCAGTTTTAGGTGGGGGATATTCAGTCATGTGATGCATTTTGAACAATTGGGCTCAAGCAAAAATAATTTTTTTGATTATTACTGGTGATATTCCTGCAGTGATCTTTCCCAATTTCCAATCCTGGCATCTAATGCACCAATTGTCTTCCATTAGGAGTGGTTTCAAATTAGTAGAAGGTTTTGTTGTTGATACAGAAAAGAAATAAAATTGTTTTTTATAATTATGGTCACCCAGAAAAGTCAACATCTCTTTTATAGGGTAAGGTATTTTGAACATTTTGTACTGTATGCTCTTAAAAAAAAATGCATTTACAGATTATAAACACAGTAGCCACTATTTGCAAAAATAAAAATAATGCTAACAATTTTCTTTGAGTTTCACTATAGGAAAACTGTTCAAGCTTCTTGTAGCTGATAATGTTAGTGGACAAATATCCTAGCATGTTTTGACACCAAATTGTGACTGTGTTGAATCTCTGATTTATAATTACTGTATACAAAACTACTGATGGACAGGAATATTTAATTAATTTAACCCCTTTCATCCATCTACATTTCCTGATGATGCTGTAGATCAGCAAAAGCTTGGAAAACTAAATTATTGTAGCATACCTGGCCTCACTTGATTTACAGGTCTGACTCTATTTATTGTTCCAGGTCATTACATGCATGACAGGCAGTGATCATGGCATTGTAGAGAAGAAGATTTAGGATGAAGTAATGATGGACAGAGATCTTGCGACTCGCAAACGAAAGAAAAGTATAGAGGATGTTGCTAGGAATGCAAAGAAATCATTGAAAAATGGATCAGGTAAGGTCAAGGGTTATGTTGTCATTTTAGCTGCCTAGTAGCTCATGTTGTAGAGTGCCAGACGGTTGTGGGGGAGGTTAACCCTTTAACTCCCAATATCTTATCGGTAGTTCTCCTTACTGTCTGCCTTACAGTTCATATGATGTTAATATGGAGAATTTGGAATTGGATCAACTAATAATCTCCTGATTGGTATTTTTCTTTATTCTCATTACTTGTCTGCTTGATATTGTACTGATAGTGTAAGGAGAAATTCTGTCTTGATCAATAGTAGGACTTCAAGGGTTAAGGGATCCATCCCAGACTGGTGCAACACTCAGGGTCTTAAAATATACTGTAACTGAGGAGAAAGTGCTGCCTTTGCTTTTACATCTGAAAATGGTTTCATGTTCTAGTATTTTTGGATGAGGACAATGATGTATACAGTACATGTAGTTCCCTCTCTCCCTTATTCTCTCTGTACTGGTTAGTAAGGGAAGTTAAGGAACCCACTCACATCTCCCAGAGAGTAGGAAACCTAGTTCGTGGTGTTGTGGTCTGTCGTTGTTCGTAAAAGTGGGGGCAGCTGCATAATTGTAAGCTGCTCAACTTAGCCTGGTCAAAGTCCCCCTTCAAGGTGTTGTAAAGCATATAGGAACATACAGCAAGTCCTGTTTAGAATGAAAATATTTGCATACATGCAGGCAGTTTTTGTGTCATGAAGCTGGGTGTCAAGTGGTTTATCTTCGTCTATTGTTTTGCCTGCTTGAAATAAATAGTTTCCTCAGAAATGCACTCAAGATCCTGGAAAAGTTCTCTGAGCCTCTTAATCCTTGATTCTCAATACTTGAGCCTTGGGTAACGATTCTCGATAGTTTTAAGTATAGAGGATCAAGTTTCAAGTCAAGACTGTCAACTTACTTTTGAGTGGTGCTGTAAGCATGGATAGTGCTCCACATGTAAATAAATGCTACATCATCATCATCATCATCATCATCATCATCATTATCATCATCATCATCATCATCAGAAATGACTGGACCTTCTGAAAAATGTCATTTTGAATTATAAATTGTAAGATATTAGAGAGCTTCGAAAATTTAAACTAGCACCAAAAGGGGGAAAAACTTGTACCCAGTTAATCCATTATACATGTATATGGTCCATTTATACAAGTTGTATCTAGAATGTGAAAGCTTCATAGGGAACTGTGAAACACAGTTTGGCTGCTGGCTTTGCAACCAAAAAAATCCAGCTTAGAGAACTGCTGTAGTTGTGCACAACTTTACTATTCATTGTGAATTTTGGGTGGATTTTACCCATTGAACCTTGGTGTGACTAGCTTCTAATTTCTCCCGCAGTTTCACTTGTGAATCAAAAAAGGAAGGTCATGAGAATTAAGGAAATGATTGCCATTAAAAGAAGCTTTTGTTAAATTAATTCTCCTTTCTGGATCTGCAGGAAATGTATGAAGAACAGGGTGGAGTATATAGATACTGATGTCAGGGTGTAAAGGGCGAAGGTCATACTGTCATAGCAGTGATATGTATGTCATTCTTTATTACAGGGTCAGATGAAGAAGATGAAGAGCTCTTTTCCTGGGAAGAATATTTAAAAAAGTATCATGCTAAGGCTGTTCCTAAGGAAACATTTAAACATGTAAGCATTAATACATGTAGATGTACATGTAATTGTAAATGCTTTTTCATTTTCACTGCATGTACTAGACACAACCTATTAACCCTTTTACTCTCAAGATCTCATCAGTAATTCTCCTTACTATCTGCCATACAACTCATATGATGTTCCTTTGGAGAATTTGGTATTGGATCAACTAAAAATCCCCTTATGGCTACTTTTCTTTATTCTCATCACTTATCTGCTTGATATTGCATTGACATTCTAAGGAGAACTTCTCTCTTCGTCACTCATGGGAGTTAAAGGGTTAAATGAAGAATAGATAAGCCTGATATCCACCCAAAAGAAGGAATGTGATAGGTCTGAGTGTGCTTCCTGCAGGGTTGAAAACCCTCTTTGTCTCCATGGTTACAGGGTTTTCTTGGAGCAATATACAGTTCAGCAAGGGAACATTAATTAGTCAAAGGAGAATACTCTTTATGTCTGAATAGAATATAACTCACTTCATGAGAATTTAGTCAGAAAATTCCATATAAATGCAGGAGATTTCTCCTATCTCTGTAGCTTTGTGATCACTTAGCTACTTGTGGAGAAAAAAAGTGGAAGTTAACTTTTTTCCTTGACATGTATTTACATTTATTTTGCTCCAGGTACAAGACACAAAAGTCCAAGGGTTTGTTCCTGGTATGAAGTTGGAATCCATGGATCGTACATCATTAGAGGCTGATACCTACTGGGTAGCTACAGTTGTCATGGCATCTGGACCACTGCTTCTGTTGCGGTATGATGGCTACGATGATGATCGCAGTGGAGACTTCTGGTGTGATGCAGCATCTGATGATCTTCAACCTGTTGGCTGGTGTGCAAGAAATAATCACATACTTATCCCTCCTGCAGGTATATGAATAACTGAAATGTTCACAGTGTACAGTGTTCAGTGATGTCTGCATTCAATTCTGACTCATGTGCGCATCAGAGCTTACTGTGGTTCCTGTTATTGATAACAGTAAACTCATTTGGAAGCAATTTTTAACAAAATATAAAAAAAGTTTTCTGTTTTTGCTGCAGATTGAACAAATTAATGGGAATTTCAATGTGCATTATAATCTTTCCTACCTTAAGAACTCAATAGCCATTTAATTCTCAGGAGTGACCAAGACAAAATTGCTCCTTACAATATTAATACAATATCAAGCAGATAAGTGATGAGAATAAAGAAATATATAATGTAAGGTAGTTGATTCAGTTAGTTGATCCAATGCCAAATTCTCCTGACTAACATTAGAAGAATTGTATGGCAGATAGTAAGGAGAATTACTATGATTGAGATCTTGGGATTGAGGTGGTTAATAGACAAGATGGTTTTGTCATGAGTGCAAAAAAAGCACAGAAGGAAAAAAAATGAGACAAGTTTTTCTCCTACTGGGGACTAGCATTTAAATTCTGGTTGTAACCAATCAATCTTCAGTTACAATGTTCACAATTTGGAATGCAAAAAACTTGAACTTCTGTTCCTAAAAATATATTAAACATTATAAACTGTTATAATGATTTCAAAAGGGCATTGTTAATGTATAAATATTATTATATAGCCATCAGGCATAAGGAGTCAAACTGGGCCAAGTTTCTGAAGCAAGATCTGGAAGGGGCTGTCTGTGCACCGGCTCATTTGTTCCACAGGGTAGGTAACCAACTAAATTGCTGGGCATCTTGGACTTCATTGTGTGCCAGGTTTTTCATTATGAAATTGAACATGCCTCACAAATTATTTTTATCTTCAGTCATGTTGCTGAAATGTCACCATAATTATGCACTTTGCTCTTCAATGTTCAATGGTACATGAAGCTCATGTTTTTAATTTTTGATTATTAAAATTGAATTTGGGGCAACATTATGAAGATGAGCACTATGTAAGCCATTCTATTTTCTGATGTTTTGTTAAGTGAAATAGAGTATTATACTAATTAGATTTGTTTCAAACCATTTGAATTTATCATTGGCCAATTGTACTTGTTAACCATTTAACTCCCATGAGTAATCAAGAGAGAATTTCTCCTTACAATATCAATACAATTTCAAGCAAACAAGTGATGAGAATAAAAAATATTAACTTAGAATCCCCTAATCAATCAGGGAATTATTAGTTGATTCAATACCAAATTCTCTAAACCTACATCTTAGAATTGTACAGCAGACAGTAAGGAGTATTACTACACGTAATTTGTTCATGGAAATAAAAAAGTTGCTGCAATAGTTACAGATGTGCCTGGGTGTGTTTTCAGAGATCAAATCCAGATGAAGAAAATCAGCTGAAGCCAGGATTGAAGTTAGAGGTGCTGCACAAGAATGATCCACTCAGTTACTGGGTTGCGTCAGTGGTAGATTCCTATGGTTTGAGACTAAGATTACGACTAGAAGGATCGGAAGATGAAGCCAATGATGTTTGGGTTTATTTCCTGTCAGACACTGTTCACCAACTTGGTTGGGGGAAGAAAAAGAAGTTGAGACTCAACATTCCTCCTGGTAAGTACTGTGCATGTGCCTGCCTGAAAATGCCAACTCTCTTACTGTTTTTCAACCAGTGCTGAAGAGTATGAGGCCAAGATGCCACAGTATTTCTTATATGAACTGCAGCTTGTGCATCAGTCAAGTATGATTCCCATTTTTTACATGTGAGCACCATTTACTGTAGATTGTGTGTGAAACATACAAGTACAAGACTCTCAATTGACTTTAAGATGTATGTAAATTACATGCGATCGATCAGCCTGAATTTATCAAATGCATGCACGAAAGTGCACGTAGTCAGACTACAAGAGTGTCTGGTTAAAGTTTGACAAATTTCTCTTTTATTTGAAAGCAGAATACTCATTACCCCATTCTACTGTTTCTTAGACTGGGGTCTTGTTAACAAACATGTACTGGGTATATTAGGGATTTGTTTTATGAGCATTTCAATTTAATTTATTAATAAATTATTATGTTAATAGGATTGATTAGGATTGATTTTTCAATGAATCTCTTTTATGGATTTGATTCAGTAATTGATTTTTTTTTCATTCCATTGAAGATCTAAAGACAAGGTATCCATCAAAAGACTGGGCACAAATCAGAGGAAGGCTTCTTGGTATTTGTAATATGACATCAAATGACATGTCACTCAACGAGGCACTAAACAAGGTACACTGTACAGTGTATACCATCTTCTCAATAGAGATCATTGTAGAGGAATTTGAGTTGAGTCTCACAAGTGATATGCGATTGTGTTGGCTTTGCTGTACTGCAATCTGATTGGTCAAGAAATTGTGGGTCACTCTTTCAGCCAACCACATGAAAAACCAAAACCAGTCATGACTTTTTCACTTGCATTTCTGGCACTACAACTAGTTTGCTTGTTTTTATGTTACGCCTTTCTGTTACACTCTCAATCTCATCCGCAGTTGTGATTACTTGTACTTTGGGTTTTTTTTTTTTTACAACACTTGATCTGAAAGTGCTTTGCTACCAACTCAATGAGCTACTCTGTAGAACAGCTTGCTCTAGTGATGACAAAATGCATAAAGCATATATTTAGCATCAGCAATGATTGTTCACCCTGAATTTCTTGGATGTTATGTTGAGGGAGGATATGGTTTGAAGAGCCTGAAAGTGGTTGGTGCATAGAAATCTCAATCTCTTTTCGTTATGGTACCATAATGCAGAATTTGAAAATTCTAAACCTCTATGGCATCAAAATGTGGTGAGAACAAGAATGTAGTACATGATGTACTTAGCACCTGATCTGTTACTGTACAAATCCATGGCAACGTGGAATCTGTTTGTTTTACACGATGAAAAAGAAAAATTTTGTTGAAGGTAATGTCTTCTGTGCATCTCTCTTCCAATAGATCATAAGAAAGTGCTCAAAATGCAGGCATAATTCAGCTTATCATATAAAAACCAAATATGAAAATATTGAAATTGGGCCAGCAGTGTATATTTGATGTGATGTTTGAGAATTGTTCCTCTTCTTCAGTCTGACAGCTTGCCAAGACCACATGGATTTACAAAAGGTTTGAAACTAGAAGCTGTGAATCCCAGTGATCCTTCTTCCATCTGTGCTGCTACAGTTACCAAAATTCCTAGCGAGTTCTTCTTCCAGGTGGAGATTGACAGCATGATCACATGTAGTGACAGCAACCGACCTGCCATGTGGTGTACCTCAAATTCTAGGAATATCTTCCCTGTAGGGTGGTGTGCGCAGAACAACATTCAACTTACCCCACCCCCAGGTATGGAATTTTTTAACACTGCACATTTGATATCAATGTTCATTTTTGCAGTTAGAACATTTGTGGTTATGTCACTTAATCCTTTACACCCTAACATCAGGTTATATATTCTCCATACTGTTCTCTATACATTTCCTAAGGTGCTGACAAGGAGAATTTGTTTAACAATCAAGAGCTTCTTTAGTAACATAGGCAATCATTACCTTTATTGTCATTACTTTAATGTGTGATTCAGGGGTGATATTGTAAGGAGAAATTAGATGCTGTCAAAGGGTTAAATTGGTATTGAACTGTTCACCGAATGTAGAAAGGAAGTTGTTTGGAATCACTTCTTACGAGCTCTTCAGAAAAAAATTACTTTGTGTCCTTGATCGTGATTACAACTCATGATGCGTCTTGCTACCATCTGAATGTTCTTTCAACTGAGCCACAGAAAATGTATTGCAATTTAGGCAAAATTCAGGGTATAAATTGTTCTTTCAACATTGCGCAGGGTGAATGAGTGGCAAAAAGTCAAGTTCAGAAAAATGTTTCCTACCCTTGAGATCAAGTTTGTTGGTTTGTGTTTGATGCATCTTGAATTCTGCCAGATCAGAAATGTCGTGAATTGTCTGTGGGCTCATACAGCATTCATGATAATGCTGTTTTATGCTTTCAATGGATTTTACAGGGGGATGGTATACAGCGCCATAACCGGTGGCGGCTAAGTGAAAAAAGCGGGGGAGGGCTGGGTCTGGTCGACCCAAACTCTTTCCCTTTTTCATCCGCCATTACAATAGCGCCGTTTACTATTTTGCATCCAGTGAACGCCTCTGAAAGCCTGGAATGGACTATTTTTCTTACAAAATGATTTGGTTTGATCAACTGAGTTGATAATATAGACTGGCCACCGTAAGGAATGTTTAAAGCTGACGCTTCAGCCTAAGCCCTCTATCAAGGCGAGTAACGATGGACTAACGCTCGAAACGTCGGCCTTATAAATTCTTTCCGGTGACCAATCTATATTATCAACTCAATTGATGAAACCAAATGATCTGTTTATTCTTCTCCACCGACGCGGCACCACAGTTTCTGTAGAACACCCTTTAACTTTTCTTACAATTGTTAGTATGTGCGTTTACAACGTTCCGCCCTAGTTTTCTTTGTGTAAACTTGTGAACGTCTTTATATTTTTCACTTTATCTTATGTTTTGTAATTGTATTTTCTCGGCAGGATATCTTGTTCATCCCTTCAACTGGCAGACATACCTTGAACTTACAAACTCGACTGCAGCAGCAGACTCTCTGTTTACTTTGGTAATGCTCTTAACTTATAAACAACTGTGATTGACAAAATAACTGATAAAATTGTGAACCCAACAGGTGTGTTGAGTATTGATACAATATTGGTTTTGCTCGTGCATTTGATTTTGGGGAAAGAATTAACGTTTATCATGCGAGAAAGCATCTCACATATATCACTATAAGCTAGAAATAGTATTTGGTAAGGCGCATCTTTCTCGTGCATCTTTTTCCGTAAGGTGAAGCTTGACTTGATGAAGAATCTAACTTGAGTTATTTATCCACTGTAGGCAGTTCCACCTCATGAGTTTGATATCGGAATGAAGCTCGAAGCAGTCGATCAAACAGATCCCAGCACCATAACAGTAGCTTCGGTCTCACAAGTGGTCGGACGCACCATGTGGGTGTTACTTGATGGATACAAGAATGACTCTGTGGAACATATCTACGATGTGGAATCATTGGATCTTTTTCCAGTTGGATGGTGTAGCATGAACGGGCACCCGCTCGTTACACCGAGAATACAGCGTAAGAAATTTTGGCTGATAAACTGTGACGTTACAGCAGTATTTGTTCGATCATGAGAAACGATAACTGAGTGATCTTCCTGAAAATGTCGTAAGGGTACAAAGTCTTATTCCAAAGGGCGGATAATGCTATTCAACGGATAAATCACTATCCAGCTGATAATTGTTGACAGAACATACTGCAGGTTGTACTCAATAGCGATTTATCCAGTGGATAGAGTTATCGACTCTTTTAACAACCGGGGCCAGATGTATACTTGACTGTGTCTCTTTTGTCATCTTTGCTCAGGTCCTCCCGAGGAAAACAGGCGTCTTGCTTCGCTAAGGTATTTTAGAAATCGTTATTACGTATTGGATGTGAGCTGGTGGTCGATATGATAAAAGTGGACACATTTTCCAGTGAACTATTCATATTGTGATGATGTTGGCATGCGAGAGCAGTGAATTTACTCTCATAAACAACATCTCAGTATGACTTCTCCTCACCGTCTGCCTTATATTTCTCACTAGTTTTGTTCTGAGAATGTGCTGATAGATCAAGCAAAATTCTTCATTTGATAGTTTTCTTTCTTCTCCTTACCTTTTTGCGCAACTATGTATTGATATTGTGAGGAGAAATTACCTATTAATCATGAGTTAATCTCTTGCAGAACCACAAGACAAAGAGAAAGTAACAAAAAAGTGACAGATACAAGCGCAGCCAACATCACCAATATCTCAACAACTAGAACTTATGAAACGAGTACTACAAATTCTACAACTACGCCTCTAAATTCTGTAAACGTTACACCTGTCACAGATGGAAACAACGTGACAAGCGTGATCCAGCGTGACACAAATCACCAGCAGAGCGTTAACATGACATCCATAAACACTGAAAACGAAGTCAAAATGGAGTCCAATTCTCACACAGAAAAAACGGAGTCTTGTTCTCTCGAAGAGGTGAACACAAAGTCACAAGAGAAACAGTCACCCATATCTTCTAAGGGTAAATATGATTTGAGGCCCTCGACACTTGTCCCGCGGGATTACGGTGAAGAGGAAGAGGAGGAAAGTGCGGAAAAGAAGAAAGTTGAAGCTGTGATTGATCTGACAGAAGACGACGAGGTTGAGGTGGAGAGAAAGGAAAGTAAGCCTGTTGAGACCAAACCAGGTCTACCTTCGAAGGATGATTCAGGTATGCGTTCATGACGGCTTTGTCATTCTTTAAGTATAATGTTGAGCCGCACTTTATGACTTGTTTTGTGACTTTTTTATTACAATCTACATTATTACAACCTACAATCGGGAACAAAATGTGATCTTTTCAACCCCCTGTTACTACAATTTTATCTCTCTTACCGTATTTAAGTTAACCTACTTGCCCCCTCCCCTTCCCCCCATAAAAGAAACAGAACAAAGCGAAGCAAAACAAACAAAAAACAATGTTGAACTTTTAACTAAATACAGGCAACATTGAATGGTAGAAGGGGGGGGGTCTCATTAATTAAGAATGTGGTAAAAACAGGAGTGTTATTCTAGACAGATAGGACTCTTCAAACATAATGTGTCAACTAATTTTGATACTGAATGTAGTCTCCTAGGTAGCCGCTGTTCTGTCACGGCACACACCACCTTCTGTCCTCCTTGCGTGAAGGGACCAAATAACGGCTACGAAGGAGACTTTAAATCGTCCTTCCCCTTGCTCACGAAAAGATGAAAAACATCTTTCTGTGTTTTATTATCGTCCTATTCTATTTCTTCACACGACGCTTTTGAAAATGCTGATCTTAGGAGTGTATTAAACGCGTGTCACGTATCTCAGCCGCCATAGAGACTTTTTGTGGTTCAGTGGAAGAAAATCGGAGTGCAGATTTCGAAGATCTGAGTCTCCATTCGTTATAAAGAGTTAGAATTTTTTCTTAATTTCACGCTTGTGGCAAGACGAGAAGAAAATCTTTCTACATGGTAGACTCTATGTTGATCTTTCTTCAAAAATTTGCTTTTGTTTTCCTTTATAGGGATTTGTATTTATGTCAAAAAATCCTGTGAACCGGGCCCGTTTCTTAAGCAAGCTAAAGTAGCAAGTCTTCCTGCTGTCATTGGTCCAGCGGGTCCCAATATTGTCTTAAGACAACTTGTTGAGCAAATTGTTCTCAGCGCTCATTCGTCGAAACAAGTTCTGAAGCTGCTTGCTTCTGAGACTGATAAAATGACTATTGCTTCAATTTTGAAGGTACTGTGTTCTTTTCTGTAGGGTTTTTGAGCTTAGGTAGATTCGAGAGCACGAAGAGCATAGATAAAGAAGCTGAAGGCAGTCGTCTTAGTTGACAGTCACCATGGTTTATTTTCTGAAATATCCCTTAGATTATTTTCACAGTCCTTGTCATGTTTGCTCGACTTCCAACGTGGGTATCCAGTGGTTTGTGACGTCAGACACCTATTACTAAGCAACACCGCTGTGTGACAGGTGGACTCAGTCAATTACAGAATCATATCGCTTCTCCGCCTTTATCTTTACGAGCTTGATGTTTGTTATTTTCTATTGCAGACGTTAAAAAACAAACTCTCTTTGTGCGAGAATCTCATCAGTTTGAATAAAGTCGCACTGTGTGCGCACTGTGATGCTCAGAAAGGTTAGAATTATGCATCGATAATTCGAAGCTTTAACATCATTCTCCGGGTAAAATTGTGTTCTAATACCCCGTTCAAAAGCCGGAATTGATCGTCAATTTTTTGTAAAAGGTAACATTAGGGTGGGTTAAGTAAAGGTTAAGAAAAATGTTCTCAGACAACTGCTACTTGTACTCCAAATCAAAGTCAACTTGGTTTAAAGCCCAGGTCGGAAGGAGTCAAGTCATTTGGTTGTGTACAAGCGTGGTCGGGGAAAATTGAACACGGGACCACCAAGGGAACTGCTGAGGAATAGGTTCGCTTTTTGTCGTAGCGGGACTCGAACTCGGGACTTCGGGATTCCGAATTCAGTGACTTTATCAATCGACCACACCACCTTTCGGGTTAATATCATTTTTCCCGTATCTTAATCATATCAGATACGTGAAAGTTTTGTCTGACCCCAAATTTTGACTGTCTTTTCACTTGAACTTTTAAACTTATGTTTTAATTTTTGTTCTGTTTCAGTTCCTCTTTCTCCACCCGCTTCATCTCTCCGCAAAAATTACGAATCGCCGACAACACCAAGTCCAGCGACGTCACCCTTGAACGACACACCATCCCCAATAAGAAAAGCCGCCCCTAAAGTAGATAGCCACCTGGTGGGTTATCCCGCGGGTAATCCTGCGGGTCAACCCGCAAAGTCCCTTCCCGTTCTAAAGATTGCCCTCCCTAAAGCAAAGAATATCCCGAAAGCTACACCTTTTGTAAAGAATCTCCCTCCAGAGCCCCCCAGACCCGAATCCTCGGGATCACCGAGCATTTCGGGTTCGCGTTCATCAAAACACGTATCTCAATGGAGCGTTCAAGATGTAATGGATTTCATAAGAACAACTGACTGTTTTAAGTTTGCAGACGAGTTTCAGAGACAGGTAACAGCGAGGTTTTATTACTATTGTTAATCAGATGGCAAGAAGTCTCTTTTTATGAGGGATTCACTCAAGTCTGAGGTCGATTTTCGTGTTAAAATATCGAGGTCAACATTTATTGACTGTATGTTACCTGATTAGTGCCTTTTAGTTCCCAATATTTTGTAAATAATTCTGAGATGGTAGAATTTATTTTCCTACATGAAATTTATCGGGAGGAGGTCGAAGAGTGTAAAGGGAGGAAGTAAAGAATATTGGGATCAATATCAGTATCTAGGCAACTGCCCACCTACCCCTCCCCTAACCCACCATCGTATCCATCTATTTTAACAGCTCACTACCGAGTTCCGATGACGTTACATATCCTCCAGTGAGTTGGGGGGGGGGGGGAATCCGGTAAATTTTCCCACCCCTCCCTCCCTTTCCCCCCTCTTCCTCACGCTATAAATAACGACAAGTCCTTGATTAGAAGTTACATGTTGATAAAAACTTCAGGCAGTATATAGATGAACAAAATTATTTTACTTTCTCCACATCGCAGGAAATCGACGGTCGAGCTTTAACTTTACTATCCTTAGACGAGATTCACAAGTGTCTGGGAGTAACTCTTGGACCCGCCATTAAACTTCACTTTACTGTACAGAAACTGAAAAAGAAACCTCGATAACACAGGCTGTTACATTTCATTCCAACGACGCATTCTATGATTTGGGCCTCCAGTCCTGAGAATGAGGTTGCGGAAGGTCCGTTTATCGTGTGTGTTTTATGAAGCTTTGTTGTCTTCAAACTCCTCGATAACTTTCTTATCGGTTTCAAGCCGGGTCTGAATGGCGTATTTGCCTCTGCATTGCGTCCCTTACTTAAGGAAACGTTCCTCATCGGAAAAAAATTCTCTATTGCAGGGAAATCTAATCTGGTACGGTGGATACTGGGAACGTACGTAAGCCCACCATTCACCGCTTAAATTTTGAAGACAGCGGTCTTCATTATTAAGTCTACAATTCCTCTACTACGTACTATTGGTTACTGTTTACGAAGACTATTTTTTTACAAGTACTATTTGTTGAGAAGTGCGGTAATGATAGGCTTAAAGACTGGAGTGTAAACTCGCCTCAAGTCTTCTCGCTGCATCTCTCAACTGACTGCACGTTTGCAGAGCTCAGAATCGTTTCGACTTCATATCAGCAGGGTACTAACAAGTGAACGTGCAAGTATGAAAATATCTCGATCTGTGCTGTGATTTCAAGATTTCGTAGTGTCTTGGTTTTAGATATCATCCAAGATCACGTGCAGAGACCTTAAATGTAGTTGTAGCAGTGTGTGTGTGTGTGTGTGTGTGTGTGTGGCGGGGGGGGTAAGAGGAAGGGGAGGGGAAGGGGAGGGGAGGGGAAGGGGGTGGGGGGAGGGAAGAATCTTTGAAGATTCAAATTGTGCGATGAAAAAAATTGATACACAGCAAGTGTACTAATATATAAATCCCTTCAATTCAACCTCTAAACCATCCCTCCCATCTCAGAAAAACCAACAAACAAAGCAAAAGTAAACAAACGAGGATGAAGTAAAAATTAACATTTCAAGAAAATTGAAACACAAAAGAGGTTACGCGAAAGAAAAAAATTTTGTTTGGCAAATTTGAAACACGAGAAGATTTGGCCTGAAGATTCCTAAGCCTCACTACCCCTTCATTCTATTTTCTCTCTTAAACAGTAGTACTGTTGTAAGGTGCAGAGTTTGTATGTTGGTGTAATGCGCAGTATTACGATATCATCAACGAAACCTTTCGCCGGTTCTTGTATCTTCAGTCTTGTAACAATTTATTCTTGATGGCTTAAATTATATCCTTTTTATTAGTTTTTAATTGCAACCTCCGTGCATTTTAGCAGTCCTTACTGAAAATGTAGCTGGTATGACTAAGTTGTAATTGCCTTATCAAAACTTTTTTTCCTTACATTTTGACCCATGAGGGTAACTAGTATCCAATTTCTCGTCACAAAATCACACCTGAATCAAACAATAAGGTAACAAGAGTGGAGGAAATGATCACTAAACTAAAGAACTCTTGATTATTAAACACATTCTCCTTGTCAGCACCTTCCCATATCAGTATATACTTTTAAGGAGACCTCAGCCAAACTGAGGTGATAGATTCCTTGCTCTCATGTCTCTCTTCGAACAAGGGTTATCATGCAAATTTAATTTCGTGACGATTGAACTCGTCAACACGTGCAGTCACTCGACGGAAGAAATAAAATCACGCGATCTTGAAGAGCCTCGTGTTCTCGGCACCAGACATCTCGCTTAACATTCCCGAGAGTGTTGTGTTTAGCGACTTCGTTTGGCGACTTAAATTTACGGTTGTTTTCACGAGTAACATATTTATTGTATTTCAAGGAGAGTACGCGCGTGATAAATTTCATGTGAACAACATGGCAAGAGATGGAAATAGCGTTCGCCTATAGCTAACTCGGCTTTGCATTTCTTGGGTCGAAAGGAAGGAACACTTCTAGCATTACTTTCCCGAATCATTTGGAGAAGGAGAGCTTGTTTTGCCGGCTGAGACTCGAAATGAAACCCGTGTTTAGTTTTCTATTTGACAGCCTAATCATATAAATGCCCTCAAGTATCTCCTCATTGGCACATATTATTTTCCGACAAGCCTAAGCTAATTGGTTTGGTGGCTGATAATTAAATTAAATTTACTTCAGGTACTTTTGCCGACAGACTTTGATTTTGTTAATCAAGTTAAAGATTACTACTTAAACAAATTCGAAACATTTAATCGAAGACCTCAAAACACACTTGAGCTTTGAGAAAAAAGCCAATGTTGACGTAGAATGAACACTTTATTTCAATTGTTTAAAGTCTCCGTGTAGCGTTAACTCCCTAATGACCTTTTTTTGCGGTAAACAGTTTCACCCGTGGATTCTATTTCGGGCCTTGTTTACATTCGCGCGTTTGGCTGTTTACTTTTCCAAAATATTAATGCAAGTTTCTCATCATGAAAATTTCGAAAAGGGAAAATTTCCTTTGTTAAAATCCGAAGGTAAGCCATGATATAAGAAAGGCCCTGTCCCCATAATTTTGTAGTGAAACTACGGGGCGCGGCAGAGTGGTTTCACTTTTGTTTTGAACATGGTTGACGTCATTTCTATGATCAATAAGGTTATAGACAATGAAAACTTGTGATCAATTTGATAACCGACTTGAAAAAACGTTTCGTAAATAAAGATCACGAGATCCTAAAGAATTTTGATTCCCAGGTTAAAATAGTATGCTTAATTAAGTCACGTTTTCTCGGAATCAGGGACACCCAAGGCGAAAAATTACGACATCTGTAGAGATCAATTTTAGGATCACGAGAGCTGTCTTGAAGTGATCTGGTTGGTTGCTTTAAATAGGCTGCCTCCTCAGGCAAGCCTTCTCGGAATCTAAAACACATTTCGCGGCTGTGTTTTTTTCTGAAATTCGTGATGGAGTCGCTTCTTAAAAACCTCAAAGAGCATGTAACATGTTCGATTTGTCTGGATACTTACACCAAACCCAAGACCATCGCTTGCCTTCATACGTTCTGCTGTGAATGCCTGGAGCGACATGCCTTAACAAGCCAAAAACAAGGGTTTTATCGATGCCCCGAGTGTCAGGCACAAATTTGTATCCCTGAAGGAAAGCGTTTTGATAATCTGCCCAGCAGTTTTCTGCACAACAGTTTGTTGAGTCTTCTTGCTGTTCGACGCAGTGGCGAAGGAAGCGAGATCAGCTGTAGTACATGCCAGAAGAAGAGTGCTGAGATCAATTACTGCTTCGATTGCGAGAAGTTTATGTGCCCCGACTGTGTGAAAGCACACGAAGTGTTTCGAGATACTATATTTCAGGGACACAAAGTCACACCAGTTCGACAGTTTCAAGCTGCAGACTACGAGGCCTTGTTGAAACGGCAATCGTTTTGCTCGGAGAAGTATCACGAGAAAGAGGTAACGAAGTTTTTCTGCGTGGGATGTCAAAGCTGTGTTTGTCAAGTTTGTATTAACACCGATCACAAAAGCCATGATGTTGTTCCGCTTGAAAAGGCAGCAGACGATGAAAAAGCAAACATCACTGCCCGAACCGAGCTTGTAAAAGAGAAGAAAGAGGTCTGCCGAGATGTTACTCGTGAATTTGAGAAGACGGAGCATGAGTTGGAAACAAACATTAGCACAGCTAAACGCCGAGTTTCCCAAGCAACCGAACAGATGATGGGAAAGCTTCGCCAACTGGAGCGTGAAGCCATTACTACCCTCGAGAAGTCTCGCGTGTCGAGGATTGCGAAGTTACATTCTGGAAAAGCATCGGTTGTGTCTTTTGAAAAGCAACTTGACCAAGCATTTGAGTTCAGTAACAACCTGGTTGAGAGGAGCTCAAGCTCAGACATAATGCAAAACAAGAAAAATTTGCAAGAACGAATTGAAGACCTCATCAAGACCACAATGCCAGCACTTCCGGTTAGCTCGTGTGTGGAGTTTGTGTCGACATGTGAACCAGAGAGTTTGAGTCTGGGATTTACGAAATTCAGCGAAACAGATGTGCAAGGATCGACCGTGGAAGGCTTGGATCAGAATTTTCAAGCTGGTGTAGAAGCAGAGCTGCTGATTTGTCCCAAAACAAGCGAAGGAGAAATCAGAAACACTCAGCCCACAGATCGTGTTGAATTACACATAGACCCTGCTGATCAAGTAAGGAGTTTGGTGACGAGTGAAAAAGAAGATGAATGTTTCCAGGCAAAATTTGTGGTGAAAGTACCAGGTACATATAAAATAGAAGTTAAGGTAAACGGACAGAGACTTGTCAAGAGTCCTTTTACTATTGTGGTCAAAGCACGAGAGTTTAACATTGTTGGTAAGTTGGACTTTCAGGGAGAAGTGCCTCAGTTTCTAGCCGGCATTGCAGTGAACAGTAAAGGTGTTATTGCTTTGGCTGATTATGATGGTCACTGTATCCTGGTATTTGATGAGACAGGAAAGTTTGTGCGAAAGATTGGTGGTCAAGGTAACAAGGATGGGCAATTTCAGAATCCGCCTGACGTCACGTTCCTCAACGATGACGAGATTCTAGTGGCAGATCAATTTAATCACCGAATACAGCAGATAAATGTTCAGACAGGGAACTTTGTGAAAAGCTTTGGAAAAAAGAGAAGTGGAGATGGAGAGTTTGGGTATCCTGTAAGTGTTTGTATTACAAGTGATGGACGTTTTATCGCTGTAGCGGAGTTTGCTAACAGCAGAATTCAGGTGTTTACAATGGATGGTGAACCTGTGTTCAAGTTTGGAGACAGCGGCCCAGAAAGGCTGGATCATCCCACCAGCTGCGTTTGTTACGATGAAAAGTTCTTTGTAACTGACCGCAATAATAACTGTGTGAAAGTGTTTGATGGCAAGGGACGGTTTTTGTACAAGTTTGGAGAAAAAGGAAACGGTGATGGACAGTTGAATTCTCCGTATGGCTTATGTGTTGACAAGTATGGCAACCTTCTCGTATGTGACCCGGGAAATGGACGCATTCAACAGTTTTCATTGGAGGGAACTTTTATTGGCAAGATAAGTGCTAAGGTAGCCATTAATATACCTTGGGGTGTTGCCGCAATGCCAGATGATCGGATTTTGATCTCTGAATGCCTTAAGAAAGAAGTAAAAATTACAACTACAAATAACAATTTCATTACCAGTGCGACATGGATATGTTGAGGCTTCATGTTTTTTTTTATCATTTGGCAAAAATTCTCTTAAAATGTTTTAATAGAGGGCCAGGACTGACGACTAAGAATTTTCACCATTGCACTGACACATTCTTCTCGTTTGTTCTTTTCTTTGGTAAATTACTCGTCATAATGAAGCCGAAAAATAGCTTATGATCCAAGGGACCCGTAGTATATCGCTGTTAAGGTTGGTAAATTTTGGGAACCTTTTTTATATCTTAACTAAGACAAATCGGATCTTCTTAGATGGAAATGTTAAGGACTTAATGCTACGCAATGTTTGAATGGATTGACTTTTATGGACTATATGGTCGATAGACTTGAGAAAAATTGATTTTGAGCTAAAATATTTGTTAACTGTTTCTTTAACTACAAAAAGCTCAAATTTGTCAAGCGATTGCACCAGAGAGCTTTCCTTGAACTACACATTATTTTCGATAATTGTAAGTCGTGTTATTTACTTAATTTATCAGTAGAATTTAGCAGACTGTTGAAATGCATAAGAGAGGTGATCATGTGATCAAAAAACTTCGTTTGATTTTGTATAAATTAAATGAGGAGTTCTTTACATTGTGATAATTGCATAAT